AAGAAAATAATATAAATGATAGATTGAACTATAAATTTATTTCTTTGATACATTTTCCTAGAAATATTTGCTAAAGATTCTTCAGAAAAATACATTTACTTCATTTAAATATGTATTCATTTAACTTTTTAACCACAATGTTTTCCTATACGCACACACTTTAGTTTGCGTTTTACTTTTATACCTTTTAAAAGCTGCCGTTCGTCTATGATAAACAAATAATATATTTTTAGTTTTACAAATTCTAACTTTCTTGTTAATAAATACCTCTGTTAATAATATATATTTAATTATATTTCTTTAAGGACTAGCATTATGGCACAATTAGATCGTATATATTTAATAACCAACCTCTTCTCTATTTAATTTTCGTAAAAATTCACCACACCCTTGGATTAAGTTTAAGGATCAAAATGCCTCAAAATGGAAGTTGAGCCAAACTGTGGCCACCCAAAAAGTGAGCTGTCCAAATGGAATAATCTCTGCCTGCCTGCACCTCGCACTTGACTTGATTTGCCTTCTCCCGCCCGAGATAATAGCCAGAGGGAATGGACACAGGAGCATGGACTGGTGGTGGACTGCGGGGCTGACAGCTGGCGGGTTCGCAGTTGACTGACTCCTTATCTCCTGCCCCGCGGCAGATGTGAATGTGTCAACTTGGCTCGCGCCTCCGCAAATCCTTCCGTCGTTCGCACTGACATTGAAATGGAAGTGGGGTATCGGCGGGACGTTGTCTAGCTATTAAATATGCAATAAATGATTAGGTGCCGAGAGAAGGCTGCTGCGCTGAGTCACAGCATTCCACTCAGGGATCGCATTGTAAATTACTGAAGCTCGGGGCCAAACTGCGATAAATGATGGTGCAGAAAAGTGCATTGACAGCACTGACAGTTGCCATAAAATATGGTTCAATAACTTCTCTGGGCTCAAGTGGGATTTCTCTCGGCAACTATTCGGGAAACTATTCCACCACGACCATAACACGAATCTAGAGTAAATATTTTGATGGCATCCCCTAAGATGTTTACGAAACTGCTGCCAAAGTCGGAAAAAAGAAGCCAGAATAATCATTGGTTTTATCTCAGGCTCACTCACTATCTATCTTTTACAACTTCTGCTGCGGCAAGTCGTGCGCCAACAAAGTCACAGAGGGGAGTAAATAAAATAAAACTAAATAAAAGCGGTTAGCACTCAATATGGTTGCCACATAACGTTTACGTATGCATCGCCACCATGATTTAATACATTTCATCCTGAGTCGCCCCCCGGAAAACGTCGTGCTGCACGCCACATGGCAGAGTTGCTTGCCGACTATAAATTTAAATGGCCATTTCCAGTGTGGCAAAACGGATAATAACCCATTTGATGTGCGGACACACTTTTTCCATTATACCTAAACACAATGCGATGCTCGCTCACCGAAGAAATATGGCCTAAAAGGTGGAAATGAGCCCTGTCCGGGGCGGTATTAAATGTGAGTGTGTGTGTGTGTGTGAGAAAGGACTTGAAACACCTTTATGCCCGCAACTTATGGCGCACATCGCACACACGTTACGCATACGCACGATTGGCCCATAAATGCTTGTTTCCCTATTCATGATGGTATTGTTAACTCTTTTTAATTGAAATCGTGTTGTGGTTTCACTTTCGCTTTTGAATGCCGACAGAACAAATTTGGATTACACATCTAATGGGGGATTCCGGATGGGATTCTATATTACGTATACGCCTAGTGTGCTTTAATTGTTTAGTTTAAATGAAAATGCAATCGTTTTAAGTCACTCCATGCTTTAATTGAAATAAAAATGGTTTTTTTATTACAGTTTACTATATTACATGATTATATATTAGAAAATTACGCATTCGTATTGAACTGTACCTCATTTCCCTTTCCCTTCGGTAGCTCAAAACGATTATTAAAAGCTGTTAATTGAAATTGTGTCGAGGGCTTATCTTCCTTTTTTATCAAACATTGAGTGACAATTTCGTCACTCGCTGGCACAACTCATTTGCAACTCAATTTCCACTGGAAATTGAATCAAACCCGTCCACACAGGCTGTCAATTATGACATTATCACCAACGGAAAACTAAGTTCCAACTTGGCAGCCAGCACCCCGCCCCCGCTCCCCCTTTGGCAAAACATTGCTCCAATTACAAAAGGGTGTCTGTCTGTCGGTATGCATGAGCTTCCCCTTCCCTTTTTATCTTTTATCTGCAAATACACATACACATGTACATACTCTACTACTGCTTCGGTGGCTGCTCCTAATTTGCATGCCCCTTCTTTCCTTGCACCCTCGCAGCTTGTAATTGAATTAGTTTTAATGCGATATTGTAGCGCGATAAGGCCGGCACCCGGACAGCTCTTTTATTCATTTTTGAACGCTCGTTTATCAATTGCAATTCGCACAATTCACTTGCAATTGCCCAAACAAAAAGACACGAAAAACCCGAAAGTTATAGCACAGCTAAAAAAACAACAAACAAAAAAGGAATAAGACAAAAACGCAAAATAAAATAAGAAGAAAAAAAAGAGCACAAATCACAGAGCAAGCAGAAAATACGATGTTTTGTATACAAGAGTTGAAGAGAACGTTCTCTAGAATTTTTCAATTCGGATTGCTGTTTGTTTGTAATTAACAAAAACAAAAGGTGTTCATTCTTTTCAGTTTCAAATATTATCTATTTTCACAAACAATTTTTGGGAATATTCAAAATAAATAATAAATGCCTCAACACAATAAACAAGATTCACTGAAGCTGTTACATATAAGTATTTCACGGTTTAACACCTTTTGTAAAATGATTATTATTGTAGATTTACTTTTCTTTTTTCTTTGCACTTTTGCGGTGACTCCGCCCCCACTTTATACCCTTCGGATCATCTCTCGGATATGTGTGATATGCGGTGATAAAAAGCTAATCAAGCGGCTGGCCTTTGTTGTTCTGGCCACCGCAAGTGTCACTGGCTGCTCCCCATTACCTGAGCGATGATCCTATCCACCTGCGCTGCGGAACAGGTGCAGCTGCCGCAGATGAAGATGCAGATGCAGATTTAGCTACCGATTCAGATGCTCTGGCGGAATTCCCTTGGAGCGTACCGTCAGTGGGTCGGTTTCGGAACTCGGGAATAGCAATCGCAATCGCAACGTTCTCGACGCGTCACATGAACTTTTCAGACTGAGCGTTTTCAGACCGAGCGGCGAGTCGGAAGCGAGCGGCCACCCGAGCCAAAAAAAAACAACTAAATGAGAGCAGCCAAAGAAAGCCGACGCCGACGTTGACTTCGTCGCTGCCGGTCGCCGGTAGCAGAAGCTTTGAATCCGACCGAGGCAGAGCGACCGAATGGGGGTGGTGGGCGCATGTAAAATAGGAAGAGTGAGCGTACTCAGCCGCCGAGCAGAGCAGCGGCAGCGAAGGCCACTCAAAGCAAATGAGTGAAAACGAAAGCGATGCAGGGAATCGGTTGCAAATCATTGAATTATATTCCGATAAATTTTAAGCAAATTTAAGATTTGTTTAATAATTTAAAAATTTAATAATGTCAAAAACATGTTCTTAAATGTCTAAAAAACATCAAAAGAATTTAATGAAAGATTTTAAATATTTTTTAAATATTTATTTCAGACAATTAAGCATTCACTATTTTCAAACATACTCCTAATTTATTTTCAAAGCTGCAGAAGAAAATGAAATTTTAAATCCCTCAACATACAATAATAATAATTTGCTAGACATACCTATAAAAAATGTATTTTTCATTACAATTTTTAATGATAGAATTTAAATAATAAGTATCATTAATTTGTCATGTCCAAAAGAGTTATAAAAAATATATTGAGACTTTTTGGGAATTTTGTTAGCACCAATATTCATGAAACACATCAAAATAAAATAAATGAATTTTTTACTTCCTTCTTTTCTTTTATATCTTAGTAAAAGCTTAGGAAATACTTGATATACATAAATACACCGAAAGGAACTACCTAACTGACTCAAACGAAATTATAATATGTAACTTCAAAAAAATAGATTGCCGAATGAAGTAACGCAACAAACTAACAAAACAATCAATTTAAATATTTGCAATCAATAAATATTTAATTAATTTAAAAGATCCGATAAGGCCCTTAAAAGCCAGTGAGATATTATTATAATGACACCATAACCTCCAAAAATATTTGTTATTACATTTGGTGTCAACTCAAACTCATATTAACAGATAAATAAAAAAATTTGAGTCTAATTTAGAAACATGAGGTAAAACATTACCTTCTGCTTTATTGAAAATATTTTGAACAGACTGAAGGATGATGACTTTAGACTAGTTTTTTGAGCTGTTATAACAATCTACAAATTTCATATTTAAATACGCCGGTACCTTTACAAGTTTACTTCTTTAACCCCTGTTTCTTGCATTTTCAAAAGTCCCCAAGTACACTCAATATTTTCCTAAAACAATAAAATACCTATTTACGATCGGGCAATAGAAAGCTGATTTTCAATTCAATTCTGCGTGAATGTATTAGAAGTCTCGTTGCGCACACTAATCGCCACAAAATGATTCACAATAAATATTTAATTAAGTAAAATTAAACGTACGAATTAAAGTTATTTATAGATTGTAAGATTTTAAATAGAAATGTGCTCAAAATAAATACAAACGTAATTAGCTGTTGGCACCGCTTGCACAGATGTATGGACTTGGTAGCTAAAACCCACAATGTAGAATCTAATTTTAATTAAACAATCGTTTTAATGCACGAATACGCACAGCCACACGCGCTGAAGTGTCTCTGTATGACGTAAAAAGCCACGAAAAGCTTGCTTCCAACCAACAATCACATAAAAATGAAATGCCATTGAAATAAGATTTAATACAATATCGATCAAAGGGCTTGAAAGCAAACAAACCTTTTCCGGTTTTATTATGTTCACTCCCTAATTAGAATTCAAATGTAAAAGAAGAACCCTTCCCACAGTGAATATCAAGAGGCATATTTTCGAAAGTTTTTTAATAATCAAGTTCGTGTAATCATTCGCCGCCAATCAATCCGCTTTTATAGTTTTTGTATTCATTTTCCTTTTTTTTTTTGTAATAAGAGCCGAATTGTTAAAACAAAAACTCAACAGGTGGGTCTATATTAAATAAATCTAATGACTATGATTAAGTTAGGCACTGTCCGATTTGAATCAATAGTATCTGGCGGCATTCTTAACTGAAAAAGTACACAGAGTCGAGTACGTTGCGCAGGTCGAAGTCTCCTTTCTGAGGCAATTGCTTCAGAGTACGGTTCAGCTGGCGCTTGGACAGATCCTCCACGGAGCCATCGTTGGTGAAGTCGCTGGGGGATTAAAATGATTGATTCATTGATAACTGTCAAACGAAAGGGTTTAAATACTCACGAGTCGTGGAAGCTGTAGGTGCGCTTCATGAACTCCGAGAGCTGCTCCAGGATGGGTTGCGAGTGCAGGGCCACAAACTGCTCTCGGCACATCCGATTCAGCTCCGGCACCGTGTTCGCGTGCGTCCAGAAGCAGTCGTGCACCGAGACGAAGGTTATGCCCTTCCGCTCACAGTGCAGCGAGGTGAGCATCATGTGCGAGGAGTCCAGCGAGTGGATAAAGTTGGGTGGAAAGGCGTTCTTTTGTTTAAGAATGTTTGGTCTCTCGAACATATCCATGGGCAGGTTAGCGGTGACCTTCAGACCCGTGCGAGCGGTATGCTTTGCCTCCTGGCGATTGTACGGCTGCACCACCGGCAAGCCCAAGGGCGTCACCCACTCCACGTTCTGGCTACAAACGCCAGCAATGAGGCGAGCGCACTCCGTAAACCAATCTTGAATCTCTCTCGTAGACGTAAACATTTCTCGTAGACTCTCGAAAGTTTTAGTCGTAAGGTATGTGGAGGCCGGCCACACCCAGTCCTTGGGGAAGTCGTCAATGTCCTTCAGCTGGCGTGCGATCTGCAGTCTTGCTCCATAGCGGGTAACACCATACACCGTCGTCATCACGGTCTGCTTGATCACTTTACGCCGCACAAATCCGGCTAGAGCTTCCGCCACATGCAGGCCGTTCTGAGCATCGGCTTTCCTGCTTCGCTCCACTAGAGTAGCCACGGCACTGTACACATCCTGCGGGATAGCGGAAGGCGCCAGGTTAACACTACAAGCTCCCGCCTTATCCCTTCCCAAGGCCGCATAGTGCTGCAACCCGTTACAGGAACCATCCTGGTGGATGGGAAAGCGGCTGAGGTAGGCGGCGGGATCCGGGCAACGATGCACCTTGGCGATTTCCATGCAGCAGGCCAGAGTTTGCCACGGCTCGTCCGATTTGGCCCACCATTGGCGTCCGGTGAGGGGATTGTCTGCCGAGTCCAATATCTCCGGCATGATCTCCTCCGCGTAGAGAAGACGCTCCCGTACTGAGTCCCTTTTCTTTAGACCCGTTAAATTGATGCAATGCAGCTTCAGCCAGCTGAAACCGTCCACTCCCAGGGGCTGGGCTTGATCAAAGATAAGCATAGAGCGGGCCAAGTCCGAGCCAAGATGATTAAGATGCGGAGGCACGGGATAGACGCGTCCGCGAAAGTCCATGTTGTGCGGCAACCAAAAGACTTTGTCGCGGTACTGACAAAACATGAATGAACGGGAAAATAAACAGGCATATCGTTTGGGTTTCACATTAATACTTACGTGCTGAGCCAGCGACAGCCTATAGAGAGCATCGCACCACAAGCTGTACATCTCGGCTTGCTTCCTGCGGTGACCCATCTTATCTCGGAACTGTTTCGCACGATCCGCATTGGAGGCAGCATTTCCGTCGGCGTCCTTGGCCGGCAGCGTGGGCAGCTGAGGCAGAGAACTGGGTGGCTGGGGGACATCCAGTTTGGCGTCGCCACCATTCTGGAATACCTCAACAATCACATCCAAAAGCTGAGTGTTTACCCGCCAAGGAACGCTGGCCAGCTGATTCAGGGAGTCCAGGGCAGGATACAGATGCTGTGGATTAGACGCTCCAATGCGCTCCCACTGCTGGATGGCCTGGTGGGGCAGACGAATAAGCTCCGATTTGTTTAGCAGGTAACCACCGTTGTGTGGAGTACTCCAGGGTTGCGGGGGACACAGCATTGGCACCAGATTCGATTCAAATGTAAGCGTCTGCTGGCGCGAAGCTCGGAGCAATCTCGCCAAAACAGGATGTGGCTTGACCTCCTCCTTAACCAAACGTCCCTGGTTACGGAACAGAGTATAGAAAGCGGGTAACAGATTCTGGGGCTGGCCAGTCGTCTTGGACTTGCTCTTCTGCTTCCTCATCACATGGGCATCGATCTTGATGTCTCTCATCAATATATTGTACAGGAAGCGTCCCACGCCAGTGAGGACATTGGAAGGCCATGGCACCTCTGGCAGGTCCATGCTTGGACCACTATTGCGCTGTTCGTGCACGAGGCGCTGCCACGCCTGCCGCGTGTTGTCCTGCGTCCGGCCGCTATCCCACAGATCACAGTACGAGCTATAGATTTCTCCCACCTTCTCTAGCGTGCCGTTGTGCTTCTTTTGCTCAATCTGGAAGCGTCGTTGCACCTTCTGGCCAAGTTCCTTATACAGCTGTCCGACCGTCGGACTAAATGTCTCCGAGCCCTCGGCCAGCTTGTAGAGCTCCTTGATAAGAATGTCGGAAAAGTGCGAGGTGTCCAGAGTCTTCAGGTATGTATAGTAGGTCATGAAGCCATGCGGTTTAAAGCGGACCTGAGCCCGCATGGTATTGAGATCCCGGACAATTGCCGCGGAGATTTGCTTTCGCCAAGTTTCCTCTAGCTCTTTCAGGCGTTCTCGCTAAAATAAAATTAATTTTCAGTGAGGGAACACATTTAATACAATCAAACTTACGCATCGTTCGGCATTGGCAAACTCCTTGGTTTTCTCAATAGACTTGATGGTGATGCATCCGTCCAGTTCAACCTTGAGCTGTTCCCGGGCGAGCTGCTCCAATTGAGCTTTGCTGTAGCCCAGCTTTGAGTTCATTATCGCATAGTCAGAGTCCCCCGCTTCTGCTGATACTCCCACTGGTAGAGTGTGCTCATTGAGATGATTCAGCAGCTCGTTGTCATAGCCCAGCTGGGGTGGCACATAGACGGGCGTGAAGTCCGGACGAATTCGCCGAATGGCGTCCAGGGCTATATCTCGCTGATCCGATACGAACTTTGAACGATCCATAATTTGGTTCAGGGTGAATCCTTCCTCCTCCGCTTGTGCTATGTATTTGGCTATAGTTTGTTGATTCTCTTCGTCTGACTCCAGGCGGCCCAGGCACTCGAATATAGCGGCATAACTTTGTTCATTCAACGCTAGACCATCCTCTTCGATGAGGGTAAACAGCTCCTGCGACCTTTCAAATGCGCCCTTGGCCGCATAACCATGTAGCAAGATATTGTACAGATCGACGGTGATAAGGCCTGGGGACAGATGGGGCAGCGAACTCTTCCTCACTCTTCCGCGATACGCAATGATGGTGGATAAGGCACGACTCAGCATATTGGCCGACACACAAACACTCAGATATGTGCTCAGGTTCAAGTGCAGCGCCCTTTGCTTGGCCATACGCTCCTGCTCTTCGTTTACATGAATCTTTGACTTAAAACTGGAAAAATAATAATTGAATAATCGATGCATTAATTTTGGTTAAAATTAAAGCTCACCGTTTTTTTGACTTCGCCGTAACCGCACTGGCTGTTGGGATGACCACTGACGTTACAGAGGATGGACTGCTTCTCTCCATAGGATTAATGTAGGGTTCCATGGCCTCAAAGGGATCGACAGAGGTCTCGGGATCTTCAGATGGCACCTTGGAACTTAGGCTGAAGGATTAAAAGTGATTTACATATAAAGAGGACTTTCAAGGGATAATTTAATAATCATCTTACCCAAAATCCGCTTCGTGACGTTCGTTCTCAATGCTCTCGATAATGTCCCGAAAGTTGTTGAAACTCTTAAGAATGTTCTGCACTTCCTCGGGATTAGCTATCACCTGCTTGGTGTACTCATCCTTACCAAAGAATAGCATCGGCCGGTCGTCGTAGAGGCCGGACTCAAGAAGGGAGGCATCCAATGCCTCCATGTCGATTTTTTGGTACTCTACAGGTTGCCGCTGTGATAACTCTAATGCGCCGGTCCTGCTCTTCTTATTATCCTTCATGTCCTCCCGCGCACGCTTCTCCAGGATCTGTAGCTGGGCTTTCTGTATGAAGTCGGCTAGCTTCTTGGACTTGAGCCGCTTCACCCGCGACCTGCGCTCGCTGATGGCCTGCTCTGTGACTGGAAAAAGAAACACAGAATGATATATTTTAGATGAACCTTCTGATTGAGATGGGACCTACCCTCCAGAAGTTCTACGTATTTGGCATAGCGCGGCTTGCGCAACCGCTTCTTTTTGGTTTGGGCCACTGCATCTGTCTGTGTGGGTATCGTTGTTTGTGTGCGTGCCGCCGTCGCCGATGTTGCTGTTGCCGCTTCAAGTGTCACTAAAATGGGCAAGAAGCACATGTCTCGTTCAGAAAACACTTATTAGCAGCTGCTATTTGTCATCACTCTCACCTGCCGGCATTTGGCGGTATAACATCTGATAATACTGCTGATAGTGGCCGTAATTTGGAGGCGCAAATCCAGAGTTACCGCCGCATCCGCAGCACACTGTTGTTGTTGTGTGGGCGGTGGGAGGCACTCGCAGTGCCTTTTGCACCGCCGCCGCTCGATTTGCACTCAACAGACGATACATTTCGGGAAACTGCAGCTAGCGGCACGCTGTCCTCGCAAATTGCATCAGATTATGTCGTTTATCGGCAGGTTTCACACAGCTTTTGCTTGCATAATACACACGACCTCGTCCAATTTGTTGTTCATTCTTCACGTGTGGATGACAGTGTGGCCATAGCTCGAAACATTTGAGTATTTTCATCTCTGCCAAATCTGGTCCCTCTAAAGTACGGTACGAAATTAAAAATACTAGAAAGTTGGATGGCGTTAGGAGATTCCTGACGGAACACTTTTAGTGTTTTCAGAGCGGGCAGCTCCTTCAAATATTTAAAATTATAGATCCCGCCATAAAAAAAAACCGTAAGGAAAAGAATTCAGAAGTTCACAAAAACTGATACAGTTTAAATTATGAGAAGCAAATACAACATTTCGTAGTTGTGGCAATTATATTAATTTGTAAAGAATATGAAAACCTTGAAGAGAAATATTAATAAGAAACCGCAGGCCAGCAGGGACAAAAGGGCCATAGCGGCCAGTACCAACCTAGAGAGGATTTGAATATTGCAGATGATTATTTGCAGAATATCCGCATTGAAATGTTATTTCTGCAAAGAACTAGGTGCCGGAATTGTGGATTACATGGGCCCTCAAAATACTCAAATCAACAGGTTAACACAAACAAGTCTATTTTAAATTTCAGAATTTTAAAGCTATAATGAATAAAGCTAAGTAATTCCTGACGTAGAAAAAAAGGTGTCTAGTGGCATGCGGTAGCGGTCAAATATCGTCGAATTGAATATGGAAATCGTAGCGCAACCCAAATCGTCGAGCTTAAGCAAAAATGCGAATGTACAATTTGAACAAGAATACTTCTTCAGTACGATGAACGAATTAGTAGCTTTAGCGCCTTCTTAGTTCACGATTGGAGACAAAGCCTTGGAGTCCCTGAAAATACAATGCATACGCCAGTAGATCACCATCATATGGCCTTTATTGCCAGTATCTGGCCCACGGCAATAGTGATGACCACCTACCTGGTGTTCGTCCTAAAGCTGGGTCCAAAAATGATGGCCCATCGGAAGGCTTTCGAGCTGCGTGGAATAATCAAGGTTTATAACATCGTTCAGATCTTGTACAATATCGTGACTTTCATATATGTGAGTATTTATTCAGCAACCTGAAACGAGTAAATAATCACGTCTCAATGAACAGTTCACACACTTCATGTTCATCCTGCGACCCTACAGTCTGCGCTGCATGGTTTCACTGCCCCTGGACCACGAGCATAAGGACAGAGAGCGCTTCATCACATATTTGTATTTGAGCAATAAATTCATGGACCTCCTGGATACGGTGTTCTTCGTACTGCGCAAAAAGAATAGACAGATATCCTTCCTGCACGTGTTTCATCATGTGGCCCTGGTCACATTCTCCTATGCGATACCGAGATTCTACGGTGCCGGCGGCTCCCCACTCCTCATGGCTTTCCTTAACCAGATCGTGCATGCGATAATGTACACCTACTATCTACTGTCCTCAATAAGCCCGGCGGCGCAGGCGAGTCTCTGGTGGAAGAAGTATATCACGATGTTTCAGTTGATCCAGTTCGCTCTCATATTCCTCCAATGCATCGACATGCTGCTGCAACCAAATTGTGAAGCTCCGCGAACGGTGGCCTATGTGTTTGCAGCCTTCTCCGTGGCCTTGGCTGTGATGTTCTCCAAATTCTACTTTAAGACGTATATTCGACCAAACAGGAGGAAGTCGGGGAGATCTTAGATCTAACAATTTGTCGAATATGTTAATTGTTATTAGCATTAGCTTTATATATACGAGGCTAAGTAAGACAGGGCTATTAAAACTGCGGCTCAGCGGCACAACGAAGCCTTTCTCTCCAGTTTTGAAATAAAAAATATTACAGTTATATGTAAGTATGACTTTGTGCTCTACAATATGACAGCTTTGTCTAATTTTTGCGTAATAAAACGAGTTCCAATTCGATTTTAAATACAAAACACAATCCCAGAGTTTGACGAAAAAATGCCGCCAAAAAAGAAAAGGGAACCAAGGCTCCAGAGAAAGTTGAGGAGGATCTGGACCCCCTTCCGCAGCCGCCAAACGTTTTTCTCTACGTCCAGCTGGCTAACATTGAAAATCTGCCGGTTTCCGGCTATCCGCTGGAGATTCACATTAGCCAGGACGAGAGTGTGATCGTCAAATGCGTGGAACACTACAATGTAGATGGAATTATACCCGAAGCAGAGTTTCTCTCCAAGCCTACCTTCACGCTGATCTTCCAGCAGGACAATGTGGATCGGATGAACATTGCTGCCGATAATCCGCTGCTTATCCAGTTGTACATGCGCGTGATTCCGCGGGCTCCGACCATGGACACGGACGAGGAACAGTTCTTCGTCGAGGAAGAAGTGGAGGCGGAGTCCGATGTGGCCCTGTCTCTGAAGAGGATCATTGAGGTGGAAGAAGAGATCCTTTCAATGGAGCCGGAAAGACTGGAGCTGCTAAGTGTGGGCTACCTGGATGTGATCAAATTGTTCGGTCACCGGCGGAGCATGATCATCGAACAGCTCTTTCTGTACCCCATGCCAGATGTGCCCGACGAGCTGCGCTCCACCGTCCATTCGGAATGGCACCTGTACACTCTCCTGCCGATTGCCAAGGAGCTCTCTTTCACCAACATGGCCTTTGTGACATTCGAGAGCATCTACAACTTGTGGGAGGAGTACCAACTGAATGTGGAGTCGATGACCGTGCGATTGAGCTTCCGCTCCAGGTTGCAGGGCGATCGGAACGACTTCCAACTTATCCCGCTCTGCGAGTTCAGCCATCTGGAGCGAAAGATCATCAGCATGCAGGACGCCCACCTAGTATTTGAGTCGTTTCGCCGCTCTATGGATGTGCCGAACGTCACTGGCTTGAAGACCGGCCTTCACTTGGAGATGTTTAAGCTCTTCTCGGGACTTTCATGCACCGAAGGAATGACGGTGGCCTTTTCTGGTATCGATCTGCACTACGATGAGGCCCTTGTCTGCAACTCCTTCCACCGCTACATTCTCACCCAGAACATGGCCGATGCTCTGTCGCAAGCTGTTATATGTCAGCAGTATGTGATAGCGGTAGATGTTTTTCAAACTATTGGATCTGCTAAGCCCCAAAAGGTTTTCCAAGGAGTCCTGGATCCATCCATAATGGTATTCCCGGAAAGTAAGTACAGCCTTGCGAATCATCAATGGGATATGCTAAGGCATTACGCTTATATTTAATAGCGATCTTTAAGAAATTAATCGGTATTAGGAACACATTTTCCCTACTTTTATAGCTGAGTTTGATTTTAGTGTTTTTATTTTAAATTTTTGATTTATCTATTGCTTTGGAACAGTGCAAAACATGAGGTTCGCCGTCCAACTGGAATATTTGGGAAAGTTGAGGCCTCCTACAAAGAACCAGACCCAATTGAGCCTGGGCAGCGCAAGGCGTACGATGAGTAATTCCAATCCTAACCATCAACCCACATTCGCCATCATTAGGCTGTGTTTTCTGGCGCCGATCGGAGAGATTTACAATGAGCTGAAGGTGTTCCGCGAGAGCTTTGTCATGCAGAATCGTCTTCTCTCCTGCCACCATCCGTACCAGCAGAGTAAAGTGATGCCACTGGCCGCCATCCAGCAAGAAGCCTATGGCCGTTTCGAGTCGTTTGTCCGCGGCTGCATCAGCTTTATTGTGGAAAAGAATGTGAGGCAAATAGAGGATCGCAAGCAGTACTTTTGTTGTGCCGTCCAGAACCTGACGAACATCCTCTTGAAATTGGTGGGCAGTGTGTACAACACACGAATCCCAACAAAGACCAGCGCGGAGTTTTCGGTCCGTGGATCCAGTGGCCTTTTGTCTCGCATTACTTGACCTCATCTCCATCCCCCAGAATCTCTGCGCCTTGGTATACAATGAACTGGAGCCGCGGATCTATTCCCTGGTGGAGCAGGCTCAGAACGAAGGCTTTGAAAGTTATGCGACCAAAAAGGAAGTGCAGATCGCTCGGATCATCGACCACATGAACGCAATCAAACTGCTGAGTACGGTGAATGATGAGCCTTTCGCGAGCCTTTTACTCGAGAAGGTTAGCTCACAGTGTGATTCATTAATTAGTTAATAACTTTCTTTGTCAATAAGTAAGTCAAAGGTTTGACAGCTCTCGTAGCACTAATTAGTTATATGGAAAAATTGATAGATTGTCCCTGTTTTTTGCGAGTGAGTTTTCAATACCAATTATTACTAACTGACCACACTGAGCTATTTTTAAATGGTGTATGTACTAAGGTCTGTTACAATTTTGTTAACAGATAATGTTATTACCAAAGAAATGTGACAGCTAACAATAACTGCGGACTTCATCGGTTATTAACAGTAACCTGCGTCTTTTTAGTTATAATAAGATTCCCTAGGATAGACTACCAGTTTATTTATATTTCGCTATCAAACAGCTATTAGGGATTTTAATAACGAGAGAAGCGTAGTCTTAGTAGTATACCAGGGAAAAGAAAATTGTATTTCAAATACTTTAAACTGAACGCCTTTAACAATGTTTTTGCGAATGTAAACACCTAACGATTCACAAAAACCGGAAGGTGAATCAAGGTTCATTCGTTAATTTGATTAGAGTGAAAATTATGAATAAGAACGACAAGAAATTACTCGACCCTTTCCGGTAGTATATCAGTTTTGAATGAACTGAAATCGGAAGTAAACAATTGATCATTATGACTGTTAGGGTATGTTATCTAATTGATTAAATTTTCAATTCAACATAACTGGATATTATTATACACAGTGACTAAGGGAACACTAAGAAACAAGTCTTTGAGGATAGACCCATTTTCTTGAGCCTAAATAGGAACCACCAATCATCTCTATTTTTCTTTTCAAGATTACCGGAGAGTTCCCCAGTGAAGATGGCTTCCATTTCTTCATGCTTATCGCGCACATGGAAAGTGGCGAGTACGACAAGGCGAAGGCGTACTTCACCAAGAGTCACATGGCGGACAACCACGACTATTTAGCGTAAGCAGCGACCCATTGATATCGGCACTCCGATATACTTATATATAGACACTATCTTCCACGGACTGATATTGGCATTCACAGGGGCTGGATTAAGTTGTATATCAACTACGTGGACTCACGCGAGAATCCGGAAACCGCGGCCGACTGCACCGAGTGTCTTCTGCGGAGCATAGAACTGTTTGCAGATATGCATCCGCACCAACAGGAGGCCTGGATTCTTCTCTACTGCTATTACAAGCAGTTCAATTACGAGCCTGGCTGCGCCTACGCCCGCTGGCGCTTCGAGGATCAGCGGGTGCGTACCCAGTACACCTTTCCCTCGGTCCCGGAAAGCATTTGGAGCATCTACCTCCCCCTTGAGCCGAGCTTTGCATCCCCGAAGGGCAACTTCTTCTTCCAAGTCTTTATGAGCTTTGTGCGCTTGGGCCTCTACGAGTTTGCAAAGGTTGTCTTCGCCAGCGTGGAGCATCTATGTAGTGAAGCGGATCGATACATGATAAACACCCAAATGGACGTCCTGCTCAACCAATTGGATGGAAACTTGAAGCTAAAAACGTTCAAGTTCGGAGATGGCGATCAAGCAAGTCAAATGGTAAGTACTTCTCTATAAATAACTTAATTTTTAAATGATTTTAAGGATGACAGGAGTCTTTGTGCCTTAAGAGTGGCGAATATCTTTACCAGAGGCTAATACGAGTAATCATTAAAATGAATCGTTAACTCCTTTCTCCTAGGCTGCTCTGAATGCACAGGTAAATGGAAATGCTGAGTACTTCAGAGGGAACTTGGAGGCGGCGGCTCGCTACTACGAAACCTGCCTGACCCTGTCACCTACAGAGGGGATCGAACGCGACTGCTTTCAAGTGAGCAAAATCCGGCTGGCCTACATATCGTACGATATGGGCCAATATATGCAGTGCCTCCAGGCGCTGGAGGGACAGTTCATGGGTAAACTCCTGCCCCTGGTGACCAACTACCTAATGGGCAAGTCGTACTATAAGATGGACAACCTGGAGATGGCCCGTGAGTGCTTCGCCAACAGCACGAGGGGAGAAAGCCATATACCAAATGTGTGGGGCTTCCTGGCGCTGATAAACTTGCGACTAGGAGAGAACTTTAAGGCAATAGAATGTTGGAAATATGCAAAGATAGTAAGTGTAATCCCAAATGCTGCGAAATTAGAAAGCTATTTTTGATTAATCTGATTGATAAACTCATTTGCAATCCCCGTTTAGGAGCCCAGCTATGGCATTAGTGACCAAATGATATTCGATGAACTGGAAGCCATCGACTATGACTCCGTTGACTTGTATATAGACAGACCGGCGAAGATCCCCGACTATATCGTGGAGGATACCCAGAGCATGTTATGACCGAAATCAATCATATTATTTGTATATATATTTTATTTGTGTATGTTTCGAGCGGAGTGCGGTGAGTGCTAGAGAATCCATAAAATCCAACATTTCATGTGGCACTTCATGGCAGCCCAGCTGGTCTCGTAATAGCTTCATCTGGGGCTGCGGTGCACTGCGCCGGGTGAAAGTGGAACGTTGAGGGTCGGGTCTGTGGGGGCTTTTTTTTCCAACTTGGCTCATTTGTTGCTGTTTAGCTGGCGTGACTTGTTGACACAAGGTAATGAGACGGGACAGCCGCAATTTGCTTACATAAGATAGCCCCTTCGCCAGATGCACACACACACACACACACACACATATGCACACCGCCACACACTCTAACAGCTTGTTGCAGCATGGTTTATAATAGCATACTTATGGGGATGGCTGTGCTGCAGTCTGCGTCCAAACATGGCCCATGTCGGAAGTAGTGGCCTCTGCTCGGCATCCATGCTGGGCGAGAAGCCAGCGGTGAGTGTGGCCAGCAGCACAGCCTTGGCCATTCGGAACTCCACGATAATTGCCCACAGGCTGTCCATTTATTTGCCACAGCTTCTGCTGCCCTCGAGGGATCCCCAAAAGGTTAAAATAACTTAAGAATAAGAAAATAAATATTATCAAATAAAAAAGCTTTGTAACGTATTTTGGCAGGTGGCCAATCTTAATCCGTAACCCGTACTGACCTCCAATCCTCTTGAAACTGCATTTCTAAATCTTAATACATCCCTCTCTCCAGCTCATTACGGAAATCAATTGCCATGTGGCCCAGTTTCGGGAGCTGCTCATCTTTATAGGTCAGGCCAGGGATTCCCCAGAGCTGCGCGAGAAGATCAGAAAGCTGAGACGTAACTGCGTGGACGCCTGCAAGCACACCGCTCATCTAATTACACCACAGCCGCGTCACTGCCTGGGCAGTCCCAGTGAAAGGATGCACTTGACTCTGCTCTTTTACCTCACCCAGCAATTCCAGCATGAATTGATAAAGAGTTATCGGTTGATACAGCTGGTGCCTCTGGATATGACCGAGTATTATGGTAAGCAGGGTTTATATCAAACATATAAAGTCTTTTAAGGTGTCCTTGCAGCTCCCTCTCGAACTGCTCCCTCCAATCTGGGCAACGTGATAAGCCAGATATTGCTTTGTAAACAGATCAATCCCGATTTCCAGCAAGAGGAATTGTGTAGCATTGTCAAAGACTCACAAGAGTTGTCAGAGCTCTTGGAGGAGCTGCAAGCCCATTTGCCCATGCAAGAGATTTCTCCCGAATTCGACCTTGATCCGGCACAGAAATGTGAGTTGTTTAATGGATATAAAGAACACATTTCTTTCTATATATGAATTCTTTAATTCAGCTGAAAGCAGTCTCGTCTCACTCAACACTCCGACTTGGTACGTCCGCCAACGTAGAAGAAGCTGCAAGAGCCGGAGTCGCAGTCTATGTTGCTGCCTGGCCAAAAGTCATGCTAAGACCCCTTAAGGGAGCTCTTTTCCAATCAAAACCAATCTTAATACCAGGAAAAACAAACGAATGCCTAAGCAAGATATTTCATGGGTTGAAAAGACATTTATGGAGAGGAAGTGAAAACTTGTTAAAGATAGATACCAATTATCAGCTGGGAAAATGTGATCTAAAATCCATAAACAAGCCATTTAACGTGTAATCACTACAACGCTCATTGATAAGTGAACCAACTTTGGAGAACGGAGATAAAAATGTATTCCCAGAAATGATAATAAGAGGAGGACATCAAAGAGTCCAATAATAACCATAATGAAAGCAATACCGGAAAGCGATTACAACGAAACGAAATACAAACCGAAAATACAAATCGAGAGTTGGATTTTTGAGAAATTCCAAACAAGGGATGATGAAATTAAAAACCTGCGACGCCTTACATGAACACAAAGAGCAATAATTTATCCGAAAGCAGGTGAAATCCCAGTTTATGGCGCCCAAGAAAGATGTCATATATTTCTGGGGCGAGAGAAGAATCCCAGAAGCAGCACAAGTCAAGCGTGTTTGCGTTCCACTTAGCGAGGCAGGTGATGGTTATGGCGGCGCCCACCTGGTGATGATCATAAAAGCTGATTAGATTCCGGCTTACACCGCGTGCCGCCTCCCGTCATTGGACAATGGCAACCAAGTTGAGTGAAGCGCGAATCGTGAGCGCCTTGACAACAGGGAAGTCAGCATTAATTATTAAAAGAACAGATTTCTTGCTTTGATTTTTGCATAGTTTAAGTATTTAATTTTAAAAATATGCCTTTGTCTTTTACAAAACATATCTCTACATTAAAAATATATATATATGTATGTATATTGTATGCAGATTTATATGGTATATAATATAATATATAGGTGTATATAATAGGTATAAACTTGTCTACTTGTCATATGGATTTTCACAGAAAATCTTCAACTTTTTGAGTAATGCTTTTCAATTGTTTCCTTGTGCGTTTGCTTAAATATATACTCTTATTTTCCTTCGTTTGGTTTTCTTGCGCTTTCGCTTTCCCCTCGGTGAGAGAGACTGTTCAATCCTGTAGTTACTTTGTTGAGCATTATGCACATTATGGAAGATTCTTAGTACGCTCACTGAGCCCTCCGGTTTTACGGATCTCCTCGCTACCAGCAAGCTTTGACACAAGGCAAAAAGCAACAACAACTGACTAACTAATTGTTAACAACAATCTCTACACGATTACAACAGGGGCTGTTAAGTGTCGAATGCTTTAGTAGCTACCGTTAGACATTTGCTACCATTATCATTATAAATTCACTATTTGTTCACGATTCACGATTCTTTCTGGCTAATATCACCGTTATCACTGCAATGCCTAAACTCGGCTTAAGTCTAAGCAGAAAGAAGTATTTACCCGGATAGAACAGGTGTGGTGTGTGGTGTGCCATTTAAAGGTAAACAAAGGAACTAACTTAGCAGCTAAAACATCTGTGCGAACGAAACGAAAACGAAGCCGATGATGAAATCATACAACGAAAGGGAATTGTGCAAAAAAAGAGACTCAACGCGACACAACAATAAAAACTAACAACTAAAAAGCTTAGCAATTAGGCCCTAAATTACGGGTGAGACAGTGTGTTTTTATGTGGATCTGCTATCTGCTATCCGGATGAGTGGCTGTGCGGGGGTGTGACTGTGCATGTGGAGGCGTGTTTTTGCAGTCTGGCTGTCAAAGGAACTGTGACGCGGCAGTCGACGATCTAAATGCGTCCGCTTTTGCTCGCCGTTGACGTCGACAGCTGTTCCAGGCGGGAGCACAGCTCCTGGGCCAGGCGCAATTGATTCGCAGCTGCGGCAGCACACGAGGTGGCGGCTCCAGCGGCTCCTCCAACGGGCAACTGGACTCCAGACACGACTTCCGGATAACTGATGCACACGCCCACCCAGCGAGCTTGACTGCAGGCATGGGACTGTAAGAAAAAATAAAAGCCTTTAGTCTTGCGATCCAATTTCAAAATATATACAAATACTAAGTGGAATATTTACAACTCGAACGTTTATGAGAGCCACATTGTGCTATAAAGATATTGCGTAGTCATTGTTCACTGTGCAATAACTCGACTTTTCGTACATTTGATTAAACAGTAATCTAGCAAATATGTACTTTCAAGATACATATATTATATTAATTTCACGTCTTGAGTGCCACAAAAGGCTTATTTGCGTTGACTTATCGAAAAAAGTATTGAGGTGTCAACCAGTGGTGTTATGCATATTAACGTTTCCATCGGATATTTATCGGATTTACATTTCGTACTCGCATTTAATTAGTATCCATCAAAAGTGAGACTTGGCAAAGCAAACAATTAATTAGAGATATCGAAATCTGAATGGTGATGGCAGGAAATCTAGGAACTTAAGTTCGAGTCGCAGAGTTTCCGTTCGCCGGGAGGGACGGAGAAGTGAACTCACCATGGCAAAGTCACGCTTCCACTGAACACCGCACTGGCCGTCACAGAGGGGGCAGGGACGCTCCAGGCTGTAGCCACCGCACTCACTGCAGTCGAGCGACACATGGTCGTCCGTCCAGGATACGCCGCAGGTGAAGCAGGAGCCCATGTGCTGGCGCAGCTCCTCGATGGTCAGCACATTGTCCATGTTTATCTCCAGGGGGCTTCCCACCAGATCCGGCAGCGAGGCAGACAGGCCCAGATTGTGATGCCTGCAAGAGATTTGGAATAGAGCGGGGAATTCGTGATTAGTAATCATGACAAATCGTGGCGAGCGGGCGCTTAACCGTGACCTTGCCTAGTGGGTGGCGTCGGCATGCGCTGGCGTGATTATGATAATGAGCGCCGTGCCGGCAGAGCGGCAGGGCGAGCGGGATCGGGGGAGGACGGCGGATGAAATGATTGGCAACTGTACCCGAGCGGTTGCGTCGCGACTTTCGCCCGATCATGTGAGCGATGGCGATGGCGACGGCGCTTTGTTGCTATTGTGCGGCCCCAAAATGCGGAATGATAATGATAGGACGGTGAGTACAGTGTTCGCTCTACAGAGTAAACACTGTCTTGTTTGAATTATGATTGCGATTAGGAAGGTGAATACCAGTTAAGCTGGCCGGAAATATAATGGGGTTTTCTCATTCTTCGGTAACCAAAGGTTAACTGACATGATTCTAACATTTCGTACGTGAGAGAACTGACACTGACATTATATTAAAGACATAAGCACTCTCTTTGGCATTTTAACAAGTTGGCTGTATCGATCGTGACCTGTTTGACAAACACAGACAGACGACAGGCCAACTGTTGATCCGAAGGTGCTGGCCCCTTTCATTAATGGGCCAAAGTCGTGGCCAAATCGCAGGTGTGGCCCGCCATTGTACACATATATATGTATATTCGTACTGTTGTATTGGACGGATTTGTGGCTGGTGTACTCTGCACCCTGGCCGAATCGATAAGATTGCTGAAATCATGAATGAGCCATACAATTCCTCCCCTTTTGCTCCGTACTATTGAATCAACCCTGACATTGTTTACAGCGAATCTTTAACAAGTGCGAAACGGAAACGAAACGAAACAAATCGCAGCGAATCGGACTTCCAGCTAAACGTGAATCATGATCATGTGTGTGCGATCTATGGATATCTATAGGATCAGCAACATCCAAAATTAAATACTTACGACAAGGGGCTGCAGATGTCGGCGATTTGGGGACCGTGAACACTGGCGATCGACATATTGGCTGCTGCTGATGGCACTGCAAAGAGGAAGAGGAGAGAAGAGTCAGTGGAGTTCATCAAATGTAACGACAAGCGGCAGCACGGGTTGAATGCTGGACAGGTAAACGATCGCCGGCGAAGGTGAACGAGCTTATGGTGCAGGTGCGTGAGTGAGCTCGACTGTACCAAGTCGAGGTTCATTCAAATCCGATCGATATATAGATACACAGGTACCTACTGTCAAGTGCGAGTCACATTTTCCGCGGCAACTCGGACGACATTCTTGGCTAAAATTAACAACTATTGGCTGGTAGCAAAAACCGCTGAAATCCGGTTGAAAGCACCACACCAAAGCGAGGCCGATGATCGGAGATCACAGATCCAGGCGGTGCGTCATCCGTGTAGTTTCAATTGTTTTTGGCGACGGACGGACAATTAAAAAACTTTTAATGCGCGAATTATATGGAATTGGAGGCGAGATACGTTAATTGCTTATCCACATGGGGGAATACTGGCCCACACATATCTATATTCCGTATACGACCTGTCTACATTGGCGACACTGTTTTGGCAAAGTTGCAAAAAAGTATGTATTTTTCTCTATCCTCGGCAGGCACATGACTGCCGCCTCAGCATCATAATAAATAAATAAATATGTATGTGAAGACGCTTGGCGTTGTTATGCGGCCAGCCAGCCTGTTGTTCTATAATTAGTTTGGATCGTATGAGAAAGTATAATGAAGAGGCGGCGCGTGCTTTAAATAAATCCCGCGACATGCTGCTGCCGCTGCTGCTGCAGTCTGGGTTTGCGTCGCGGCTGAGTGCAACTCGCTGCGGTTCGAGACCCGACTGGGAGGCAACGGCGCAAAAACGAAATTGCTGTAATTTATCCCAGGCGAATTGTGTGTAAACACAACTAGTTGCATTTAATTTGATTTTATTTATTTATAGAAGGGCACGCATACAGCCTCATTCGAACACGGACGACTGGTTGTTTTTTTTTTTTTATTTAAGTTATTTTGGGCACGGAAATAATACTTACATTTGTTGTGTTATTTACAGCAACGGTTGGTTGTGGGGCGCTTTTTTATTATTTATTCTGCGCTATTAATAAATCCAAATTGGGATTTCTGTGTTGTTTGTTGTTGTTGTTGTTTTAACTTGGTTTTTGTTGTGTTGGTAATTGTAGTTGGCCTTGCGTAAGCCAGACAATCGAAATTACCTTTTTTATAATTGTTTGGAAATTAACATTAACCGTTGTTATTGGCAATTGTAAGTAACTTTTCACACGCGATGCGAGAGACAGTTAGCTTGAGCTCATGAAAAATTCAACGTTTTCCACAGCAATTTGCAATTATATCGTCGTTTGACAGAGACTAAAGCGCACTTTTATAGTTGGACTTGGAAGCGAAACTGAACTGAAACTGAATTGAGTGCGGAATTGAATTGAATTCGGATTCAGATTCGTTTACGTTTTCGTTTTCTCCAGAGCCAAAAGACCAAGTGGCAAGTACGACAAACAAACCGCGAAATTCGAATGAACGCCGCTCGCTGAATTCGCCTCGCTTTTATAGCCGAACGGCGAACGGCTGTCGGGCGAGAGAGCGGGAGAACCAGCTGGCTGCCAGGTTTGCTGAGAGTGCGAGTGGGAGGCGTGAGTGGGGGGACTGAGCAGGAGAGAGCGAGAGCAAGCGATATTGCTCGCCTCGGATGACAAAGCAAAGCTAACGAACTGAACTTGCACACCAACACTCACTCACTCACTGGCGTGCAAAAATCGTAATAAACATTTAACGGGGGGTAAATCACAAGCGAAAAGCCAAAACAAAGTCAGATGCTGACCAAATTAGCGGTAGTTGGCAACAGCCATCAAATCTCAGAGAGGCTCTCTCCAAGGCGATAACAAAGCAAAACAAAAATAATGCCCGAACTCTGCGGCAGATAGCGTGAGAGCAAGAGAGACGGAGACAGAGTGCACATTTAACGGCCACTCACACATACACACACGCATATCTGCAGGGCAGCGCAGTACGTATACGACACGTTGACCGGACGGACACTAGGACGTCGGCTAGGTGTAATCGCCCGCGGTTATTGACGCATGTCCAAGAAGGCAGCCTGCAAAACAGCCGCTACAACAACAGCAGGAGGCGAGAAGCGGACAAGCGGCTTGGCAACCGTCAGAAGAATCGACGGACAGACGCATTTCATTTGAATAACAAATCATTTTCCGCGCTGACAGGTAGAGCGCCGGCAAGGACAGGGACGGTTATGGGTTCGGGTTCGGATTCCGGTACGGGTTCAGGTCCGTGCAGCAAGCAGGTGGAAAACAAGAGTGAATGGCAGAGTTCAGGGCTCGGAAAAATGTGATCCTCGAAAAGGGGCAGGTAAACAGACATCCCTAATCGATGGAATTTTCCACTGGGATTGTTTTTCCACATCTAAAAGAGATCTATCTGGGCAATAACATGTTATTTATAAAAAAAGCTGACAAGCTATTTAAGTTATTTATAAAAATAATATTTTGTATTTACAGAAATACACTACGCAACTATTTTTCAAATACAATGATCTTAGAATAGAATTTTTATATGTGACCATTTCAGAAACCTTTACAAAATCAAAATAACAACAAATTCTATGACAAATACCTTTTGCTGAACATAACCATATCTCTTTCAGATATTTTAATGACATAAGTGATAAAACGTTTTATTTAATAGTCTTAAAATGACAGTATCAGGCGGAATTCATGCTTTCTTCAGCGCCTTGCATGTTTCCCAACCATAAATACATATAAATGTATATATCAACATTTTTCGCTTATCAATCAACCGCTAATCTTATCGTCAAAGTCTCCCTCCCCCTTTTTTTGCAGCCCATGCGCGTGTCTCTGCAGCGAATTGTAAAAAAAGTGTAACGGTGAAATCCATTTTGTATGTATAATGCGAAGACAATTCCCTCCCGAATGGAATTTTTCGCTGGCGTAGACATGTTAATGGGAGAATTAAAAACCTTCCAAAGTGCAGCTAGACGCGACTTAACTTATGCATAGGGGCCAAGCTTCAAACCGAGGCGCGCGCGTCGCTTGGAAGGCGTCTCCAATTTCGCCACAAACGAAAAGGGAGCACCCAAAATCAGAGACGAGGCGAAGTCATGCCCCAAACCAAAACCCCAGGCGACCCTCGCCAAATTAATGCAATTCAGCGTCAGAAGCGACGGTCAACTACACACACACACACACACACCGCACACACAGCAGGGGAGCAACACACATGGGAACACACAGAACAGCGTACATTATAAACAATTAATGTTTATTTAGAAAGCAAGAACGAACGGAGCCCTCGCGATCCGGGCACACTTTTCACTGGCATTCAACTTTGTCAAGGCGCAGTTTTAAAATATCAGTATACACTGAACAAAAAGGTATTAAACCTTATGCTTTATAAATGTTCGGGTTTTACATACATCATATATAAATATTAATCTTAATATCATATCTGTATCCCGTATAACGGAATTTATTGAGAGAGTACCCCCTAGATTACCTATTTTGCGGAAAAATTAGGTAATATATTAAAAATATTAATTATTAATTAATACAAAACAAAGATTATGTATTATTTATGCAATACATAATTTCAAGTATTTTTCCCTTAATAACATGGAAAATGCTTAATGTGTACTCTCAAATTACCTGCATTTAATTAAATGATATTAGACTGGTGTCAGCTGTATTTTGGATATTAAATTGTATAATATTGGACAATTGCACAATGAGGGGAGGGGGGTTGGGGGCATCAATTTAATTCTCAGTGCGGAGGTGGAATCGGTGGGGGACCATTGTCACCGGAGAAGGTCGCACGGCAATTGCCTGAGAAACTGAGGAACCCGGCACAAAGACGGTTCGATGTGAAGAGACAGTCTCACCTCAGCGGAAATTGCGTCAGACAACGTGAGGATATTAGTCCGAAAATAACAATATTTAAATAACAATATTTTGCAAACCTTTTAAAAACTTATTAAGTGCCCCTCCGCTCTCATGTTTGTGTCGTGTATTTTTATACACTTCCCTGAGAGCGCCGATCCAATTGTAAATAATATTAATAATTTCTGGCTAAATATATCCAGCCAATTGTTCCAATACCAGATTTTCAGTGGCCAGCGAACCGAGTATACGAGAATAAACATTGTATTTCGCAACCGGATGATCGCGTTAAGAAATAGTCGAGAAAATTGGTTTCTATCTTATCGCCTGATTTATAGGGCTGCCAAACAGCTATCAGCTTTCAAAATGAATTGAATTTTGCAAAAAAAAAGTTTATGGAGTGCTAGTCCTAAAATATTTTATTTATTATTTAAAATGTTCAAAGGGAATTTCGTAGTGTTATTGTTAATCAAAAGTCAGTGGAACTTACACGATTGGAAATATATACTTGGTATTACTCCGAAATATAAGTGTAAGCCTGGCCTAGGAAATTTCCAGGCCAATTCATACGAAATTTGCTGTAAACCTGCTTAGTTTACTTATAGTTTTTATTTGTGTGTAAAATATTTATACATTGTATAAGTTTTCTAAGGAATTTGGGGATTTGTTAATTACACTCGTTGGGTGCTTTAATTTGAAAGAAAAGCTATGATTTACTAGGAATTTAAATCATAAGTTCGACTTAACTATGAAGGGTTCTAGTATTTTTAGATCATTACAAGCCTCACTATATTTACAGTGATAACTAATTAGTGGCATTTCGAAGAGTAATATATGGTGTTAAGAGTTACTTTTTAGAGGCATACCAAGATAATTTACATTTGTTTCAGTCTCCACCCAACAAAAACTTAACCAACCTAAACACTGTGTCGTTGAATTCGTACTTGGGAATTTTAAATGCAAGTTTGCAATAACTTTAACCTTTCGTTACCAATGGTAATCATAGCATGATAATTTGTTTCAAATTTTAAATGATTTAATGTATGGTTTTTTCCCTAGCGATAAGTCAAGCTGGCAAACATTGTAAGAATTATTATATTAGCACTCATATTGCGAATGGACTTAAACCATTTATTTACACAGCTTGAACGGCCATTAGGGTATTGCGATTTCGCTTAGGCCACCGCTAGTTTCTGTTTCTGTTTGCCGATTTATAACCGCTTGGCTTTACTATTATGCATAAGTACAACGCATATATGTATGTATTTTTACGGCAACGGTACTGATATTCAAGTGCTGCTCGAAGACATGCGCTTCCTCTTTTGGATTTGGCCTGGCCTCCGCCTGACTATCGAGTCGCGGCTCCAGCTCTGTTTTCTGTTTAGAGCCAGCTACGCAAACAAAGCTGCTCCTGAAAGTAGCTGTTAATTATTGTTATGGATGGATGTTGTGGCTGGTGTGTAAATACGGCACACATGCGGATGGATGGATCCGTCACAGTCAAATGCAAAAACAAAGGCGGCCACGGCTTGACGTCAATTGGGAGGCGAGATCAGGAACCGAAGTTGGGAGTCGAGTCCCAAAAAAAAAATAATAACAGAAATCAGCAGCACGGCTTTGTTTTGGCTTTCGGCTTTTGATATCGATCATGAGCCCAAATTGTGGGCGGCTGATTCATTACAAGTTATGGGGAATCTTCTACTGCTGTTGGGCATTTCAGCGCCACACGTTGATTGTTAAGTTCGCCTTCGAACAGATCATCATCACAAGCTGATGCTAATGAGTTCGCTCGAACGCGGCAAACCCGTTCCATAGAGTGATGGGGTTCCCTCGCTCTCGAGATCAAGTGTAAACAAACCGAATTCGGAATTCCAGCCAGAGTACGACTACGGAAAGCGTTTACTTAATTAATGGGGGAAAAGTACCCGTTCGAAAATCTGGGTAAACTGCCAAAACGGGGCGTGACTTCGTCTGGCCATCATCAACGAATCAACAGTCAACGAAAGTGACTTCAAAGCTTCAGAGCCGTACAAGTTCTATATAATCCCATATCAGGTAAGTGCACTTAGGGTGCTACAAAGCCCCTCCGATGCCCCGTGATCCACCGTCGATAGGAAAGATTTACGAGCTCCTCTCGACAGACGAAACTGTTGACAAGGGCAATTAGAATGGCGGGAAATCGGACTTGCGAGCTGAGGGGCGGCCCTGACCTTTGGCCCCATTTGTGTTTACTAATTTCCATGGGTTTTGTAAGAGTTCCGCGTAATGAATTTGCATACCGTGAAAGATAAAACGGTATTCTCCATGAGGTCTGTGAACAGCTCCTATAAATAAGTCCATGCACGTTATCTGACATTGCATATATGTATATATATATAGCCCTGGGTTACCCTAGATCGGGGTACTGACTGACTGACGACTGATGACTGATACAAGGGACACAAAGTCGCGACGGCCCTGCCCATGACTGACAAAGCTCCCAAAGAAGGTTACGCCAGGTGATTCTTACCCAGCTCTGGTTTAAATGACCCTAGCCCTGGGAATAAACGAAAGGGAGCCCCAGTGAATCCAACGACAAGCTATTATCTGGTAAATTCTATTGTTACCATCAATTATTAAAACTAATATTACAAAAAAGTAAAAACTAAAAGAACACTGTTAAGATTATATCACAATTCCACTCTTTAAAGTCACATTTCCTACTTTTTAAAAATAGAACGTGTTCAGTTCAGGTTTTTTTTTTGTCTCAATATTTATAGATCTAGTTTATTTAAGCCAGATAGTTTCACGATTGATACGTAACCTTCACATAAACCGACTGCAATGATGGGTGATAAAACCCTATAACTGATTAGATCAAATAAACAATACATAACAATAATTGGGTCGTTCCTAAGAACAAAGTATCACTAAGATAACATGTTTGCCCCTTTTTTTTCCTTATCTTAATCCATATTTAACAATAATTTCTGCTACGATTCCGAGTTCAGAGATGAGTTACTTACAAACATATACAACAATTTATTTCAGCTATTAAGCCATTAAAAGCAATTAAGTTGGTTGCTTTTAAAGGACTAGGAATCCCCGAAAATGTTTAAAAGCTTCTTGGAAACCCAATTGCAAAGACGATTAATAAATCATTTAGTTTGTAAGGCATTTTGCAATAAAACATGTCAAATTTTCCGTAGTGGAAATCAAGTACATTCTTAATAAACAGTCAAGTCATGGATCATTCCACGGGATACACAGACCGCAGAACATTATGCTAATATCAGGCGAAATGTACTCCAAATCTAATTGGAAATTACAATTAATACACGGTTCGTTGGACTACATCCGATTGCATATGGTAATGTTAGTCAGGCTGAGTTAGTGGGAAACGGAATGGGAACGGCACAGCACTAGTTGTTGTGGCTATTTTGTTCTGTGGAGTATATTATACAACGCTGTAGCCTTTGGGGAGCAAGGGAACAAAGCCGGGAACATGGATTACAATTTCAAATGCAAAAAAACAAACCCCGTTCATTGAACACTAGTTCAAGGTACTATTTTTGTTCAACGCAATCTCATGAATATTGTGCAAAATTGTGGTTTGCAAAAAATCCCAGCGACGTCCGACCGCAGCCAAAGTGCGCAATCCCCAATCGAGAAACTAGAACGCGGCGGAGAAAGAGCGAGAAATTAATGCCGCCGCGGGATGGAGCAGGAGGAGCACCAGCTGCAGGAAGGGACTGCGGTTTCGTGTGGCGTGCGACAATTAACACTTGTGGAAGTCTGGAGAGTACTTAATTAGCAATTTGCATAATGCAGCAGTTTGTTAATTACACGTGACACGGGAGATTTCCACAGGTTTCAGGGGGGCTTCAGGTGCTGCAAGGGTCCGCAGATGTTGTGGTTTCTCGCGACAAAACCCAAAGGTTTCTCCGCGTTTCAGTTCAATCTGGTTTCGCCTTAAATTTGTTCAATGAATTTATGAAGTTCGAATTTTGCGTATTCGCCATGGACAATATTTAATTAATTTTTAGCAAGCGCATGGCGGGCGGCTAACAAACAAACTGGTTTCCTAAATTGACAAAGGTTCTACATTTTCGCATTCAATAATGAACTTAACAGAGGAACAGAACAGTTCAGTTGAATCTGGTTTAGATCATTGATTTTCCCAAACGATTCGATCCATTTCGAAATGAGAGCATATAGTCACTAATTAATACATTTTTGTGGTCGTCAAAGTGTCAACAAAGGAACTAGTTTTGGCGAATCGGGTAGCCAGTTGAGAAAGAGAATAATGTTTTAGAAACTATATAATCTGGTTTTCTTATTAACGTTGTAGTAAACTTTATAAGAAACTTAATTCATTAGAAATAAGTATAAACAATGTGAGCTTAAAAGGTTTCCCCGAAAATGTTCCTCATGGTTCTTGGGAACATTAGTTTAAGATTAGTATTTTTTCAAAGAAGATTGTCGCAGCGTTCCTACTCTTATCTTTGCCTTTTGAGAGATGCAAACACAGGCGATGCTACAACATTTTCGGAACAAATTAAATTGAATGTCGGTTGCTATCTTTATGACCGCTTCTGTCTGTGATGCTAATGGTGGGAATTTACAACAGGTTCGAGGGGGTATACTTAGTCAATAAAGTGGCGCGAGCGACTAACTGACGTCGCCAGATCTAACAACGTCGTCATCGGCATCGCCATCAGCATCGTTGACCGAGTACTAGATGACACTACGGCAGTCGCATTTACATCAGTGTTGGCTCCTCGGTTAGATTTGCGTCGCACGGAACGTTTGCCCAGTGTAAACACACTCACAACCGCAGCCAGTGCCGGTTTGAACCGATTACGACTGCCGTAGTGGCCGGGCAGGGTTCCTCCTTCTGTGCCTTCCATGTGCCGCCCGTTGGTGTGTGTGCTGAAATTGTAAATTAATAAAAAGAGCAGCGAACGAACGAAGCCAGCACAATGAATGAATGAACGGGCGGAATTCGAATTGAAATCAATCCTCGACACACACGGACACACCCAGCAGCGAGATCTATAGGACGGGCCTCTCCAAGTCGAGTGGAGCTGCATTAGACGGGGTTATACCATTGCGAAAAACAACAATATACATATATATTTTTCAGCTGTAAAGGCTCCCTGTTGCCACCTAGGCTTATTGTCTATATATTATTTATTATATACTTTGATCTAATCTAAAGTGTAATAGATTCGGAATTCCCAGTGATTCCTTATAGAACAGATAATTCAGTGCATTTCCTAGCTGTATATAACTTACAACTAAAGTAGGAAAACAATATGTGCATTTAATAGTTACAGGTCTTGGTATAGAGAGAGATCCCCCATGTACATATGTAAATTGTCTTTCTGTGCTGGATTAGCCGGGAAGATAGGAAGACCATTCAGCCTCGAACTGGTTACGATTCTAGTTAATTGGTTTGCGGTCATTCGAAGCCGCCTTTAACCGGTGATCGGGTCCCACCTTCAGATCCAGATCAGAAGCCAGAGTTCGCAGATCGGATTGCATTTGGGCACTTTCCATCATCACTGCCAAGACATATGTTCCGTACCTGAACATGCTTTGACTCCATGGCGGGACGGAGGCTATCGCCACTGAAGGGAGCTGCTGAGAGATTGGAAAACTGGAGGCGGGGCTGCTGCGCAATTCGAGGCAGCGGAACGGAGACTTATCAGCTAGAGACGCTAGTCGAGACAGGGCGAGGAGAGGAGGGGCAAGTCGCGTCGGCAAGTCGACAAATTGAAAAAAACCGTGAACGGACTGCGCGTGGCGTTCCGTTCTATAATGAGCATGGGAACATAAGGCACAGACAGCGGGAACAGGTGGTGCGGGAGCAGGACCAGGGGCGGCCAGAGGGGCATTGCGAAATCGAAAACGGTTTTATTTTTAAAAATTGTCATTACGTTTGTCGCTTTAATAAGCATTTTATGCAAGCGAATCGCTTATGCAAGCACCTATGCCCGAGCATGGGAGCGGAAAGTGAATTCTACAAATGCTACACAAATATAATTAATGTTTTATAAGGAATCGCCGGGTCTAGGCAAGGGCATGACTCAAGCTCCGCACGAGATAAGCACAAGAGCGATCAGTTAAGATAATAATATTCAAGATAGGATAGGATTCCGCGACATCCATTATGATAAGTGATATATATACATATGTGAGCAGCGCATACGAGTTCAGGAGAAAGATCACATCTAGTTAGAGTGAGTCAACTGCAGATAAAGCCTATATAAGCTATATAGCTTATATTAAAGGCCTATAAATACACGGAATAAGTCATTCTCAAGTCGCTTAATTGGCTTGAATTTCACTGAATCAATTTTATTCGAAAACTTGCAAAATCTACGTGAACTGGAAAGGCGTAACACTCAGGCAGACGAGACTGATGTGCAAATAGTCTGATGCAATATGCTAATCACTTGCAAATATGCAAGTAAGCTAAGCTAAATAGTTTGTATGGGGAAATGACCCATAACCCAATACAGACGCTTCTGCTGTATATCTCAATGTAGCTTTCATTGCGATTATATAAATCAAGGTAAATAAACTTACTGATTACAAGTCCCATCCTTATATTTATCTTACAAATGAAAATGGAATAATAATTATCGAATAGTGTAGTTATTATTAATCACAAAATCGAAAATTTCCGGAGAAAACTAAATCCTGACAAACTAAGAACCTCAAAATGTTTTCCTTGCACTCACTAACCCAATTTAAGACCGGATCAGGGGAACAATTTGCAAAACTCATGTTTAATTCGCACGCAATATTCATGGGTGGCTCAATAGTCACCAGACCATATAAGACTCAGGTCCTCCTCCCGCCATAGAAGCCTTTAACGAGCGACACGTGCCGAGTGGCTTTAACTACATATATGCATGACAAAAAAACGAAAAACAGCTCACGCTAGCCATATTAAAGCCCGACTGTTATTGTTGTCCAAAATTGGGGAAAAATTCCACTCGCATTGGATGGCGATGTGCTGATATATATTTGCACACTCTTTTGGCACCCATTCCTCGGGAGGATGATCAAGCGGAGGGCCGGATCCGCAGAAAAGTCACATGACAAACGCGTGAATTTACTTGATCAATTCTTACGGTGACAAGCGAAACGTGTGAATAAGCGAGTCGCACGACTAATCTAAGATCGCAGATAAACGACGGGCACAACAAATTAATTAGCTTAGCCCACACACACCCACTTCGTTTTACTTGGAAGTACGAGCGGTAATTGATGGATCGCCCGGGTGGTCGCCCGAAAATCGTGGGATGGTCGTTCTAAATACAGCACGAAAAGCTTCTAATTTTAAAGTCGGAAAGACAAACTGGGAAGGAAGACAGAGTGTGGCTATTCCTGTTACTGCTCCAGCGCTTGTATAATTGATAGCACCTATTCTAGGCTGTCCCATTATCAACGGCACTCGATGCGATAAAGCCGAATATAGCCGACAATTGGCGTTAATAAAGGTGTTTGGCAGTTTCCGCCACAAATCAGACCAATGCCGGGACGCGGGTTACCCACCACCAACCGCCAGTGTGTCAGCTGGAAGACGGACGGGAAAACCGCAGGCGATAAGCTATTACTACTGACTGGTGCAACTGGTACAAAGGTGGAGCAGTTTCCCGACTCGCAATTTCCAGTGCGAGGGGTTCTGCGGGGCTAATCGTAAATAACGTAGATTAGTCCATATGTCTAGACTATAAATACGGTTCGTTGGGCTAATAATGTACCCTTAATTCTATACATATGCATATATTCACCTATGAAGTTCAGCTTGTCGATCACGACGGCCGCCGATCCTGCGGCGAGGTTACAAAAGTCCGGATCATCTACATCGAAGATGATGTTATCCTCCCATTCGGTGACAATGTGCGATGCGGCTGCAGCGGCGGCGGAGGAGAGCGCCTGATGCTGCAGCTGGGCCAGGGAGGTGTGTCCCCCGCTGGATAGGATGTTACTGCTGTTGTTGTTGTTGATATTGCCACTGCAAATGTTCTTCTTGTCCGTTTTCATCTGAAAAAGCAGAGTCGCAATTAGAGGAAGGTGGTGACCAAGCATACGGAGTGTACGTGCTGATATGCAAATAGCAAACCTCACACGTGGCTGTGGCTCCAAATGCACCTTTAAATGTGGTTTTTGGTTAATGGAAAGGGGGCGATAGAGGGAGGCGGGAGCACCCAGCTGTTGCCAATCACACACACGCACACTAGCCTCACACAACATCCTCTCATGGCTCTTGCAACACCTTGTGTGTGCAAAACTATGCAAAATCAATAGATGCAAGATGCATTAAATTTAGGTGAAGGCTGTCTGTGTGTCTGCGAGTGTGTGTTTGTGTGAGCAATTGCATTTCGCTTTACTAAAGCGCTGTTGTTATTGTTGTTGTTTTGACTTTGCAAATTTTGTTTGGCCCTGGGTGCATGTGTGTTAGTACCGTTTTCCATTAGAATGCAATTCCGCCAGCTTTCCCCACTCACCTTTTTAGAGGCCAAAACACTCGGAGGCAGATTGCAGAATGTTTAATTCCCAAAAGATTGAGCGCCAACAGTTTTTAAAGTTTAATTTACTTATTAAAAAAACAAAAACAAAAACTTTGCGTGTGCTATATAGCTGGCAACTAGAGGTGGCAACCTTTCGATGACAGCTCTTATCGATAAACATAGGCGGGAAATTGACCGACTTAAAATATGATAACTTAAGAAATTATCAGGGCAGGTATATTTTATTGAATTTAAAAAGCATTGATCGGAATTGAAAAATTAAATACTTCACCTATAAGACACAGTTTTCAAGGTTGGTAATTAAAATTTATTTTAATTTATGGTATTTAGTATTTGGCGCCTTATAAACGTGGTATTTTTAAGAACGCATATATATTTTCTCTACGGTCACACTGTTCACACTAAATTTTCGATCAAAATAAATTCGGAATATAAAAATAATTCGCTATTTTGAAATATTCAATAAAATGCTCCTGCTGCCTGGCCAGCTCAAGCTAAAGAGTGTGCACTAATAACGTCCATTTGGAAACGGCAAGCACTGCACAGACATTTGGCAGGCGACAGCAGAACTTAGCAGTGGAGTTGGAATGGAGGAGAATATGTGGTAAATAATAAACATTAGAGCAACGTCAACAACATGCGCTATTTTAGCCCTGCACACATGAAGGTAGTTTCTCCAGAAGCCTCCTGCGCTGTGGCAAGGAGTTGAGATACCCCAAGGTTGCTCCAAGCGACTGAGTCAGCATCTCGGTGCTGGGTCGGCGGGGTGGAGGCGCCTGGGGGGCTAGACCTTATCAGCAGTGCTCGCAACAAGCAGCAGCTGTTTATAGAGACACGTTGACGTCGGCGACCTACTCCGCTAGATGACTAAAAAGAAGCCACTGACAACAATAACAATTATAACATCTCATTCGCAGGATAATTGAGCTGGAGTCGGCGCTGCTGGATGACTGCAACGTGAACGACATCTATGGCATTTGCAAGGGCAAGGCTCTGCCGGAGGCCCTGCGCCCGGACGTGTGGCAGGTGTGCCTGGATGTGCGGCACAAATCTGACCAGATGTCGCTTTTCAACGAGATCTACGACCTGCCCTTCCAAAGCCAGCTGCGTGAGGATTGCCAGCGGCACGTCGATCGCATGGGTAATGACGAGGAGGACAAAGTATCGGTTGTGTCCGATTTGGAGTCCATCATCACGTTTTACTGCAAGAACCGGAATCTGCAGTACGAGCCCGATAACGGCTGGATTGAGCTGTTGCTCCCGCTGTTCGCGCTAAAGCTCAACCGCTCCGACACCTTTAATTTGTTCGAGGCGATACGGGACACCTACATACCCAAGGGCTGTCGGCCCAAGGGTAACGTCTTCCACGTCTTCCGATTGCTACTGCTTTACCACGACCCAGAGCTGTGCACCCTGCTGGATACCAAGAAGATCACGCCAGATCTGTACTCGCTGTCGTGGTTTCAGTCTCTATTTACCTCCTGTAGCAGCCTGTCGGTGATCATTGCCATGTGGGACTTGTATTTCCAGAACGCCGACCCATTTATGGTCTTTTTTCTGGCACTGATCATCCTGATCAACGGCAGAGAACAGATCCTGCAGATGCGCACCTCGTCCAAAGAGGAAATCATTAAGTTCCTCGGTAATATGCCGTGTGCGTTGGAGGTGGATGACGTCCCCGATTTCTGCTCCCTGGCCCAGTACTATGCGCTCAAGACGCCCACTTCCTTCAAGACGGACTATCTCAAGGCGCTGTATGGCAAACAGAACGACACACCGCGCAGCCAGGACGAGGCCAACAAGGTATCGCAGGCCCTGTGTCTACCCGTCTCCGTCTACGAGCTTGTGGAGAACTCGGCCACCGAGTTCCCGGTGCCCGACGCGGTGCGATTCTTTCTTGTCGACTGCCGTCCCGCGGAGCAATACAACGCCGGACACCTGTCCACGGCATTCCATCTGGACTGCAATTTGATGCTCCAGGAACCGGTCGCCTTCGCCACCGCCGTCCAGGGACTGCTCACAGCCCAGCGCCAGGCCATTGAGGCCAACTCGAATGCCGGCGGCGAACACTTATGCTTCATGGGCAGCGGGCGAGTGGAGGAGGATCAATACACACACATGGTGGTGGCCTCATTCCTGCAGAAGAACACTCACTATGTGTCGCTGCTGACCGGCGGTTATGCATCCATCCACGATTACTTCGGCGACCATATGGCCGACTGCCTGGAGGACCATAATGCGCGTAAGTGCCTCGTCTGCCAGCAGCACAATGTCCAGCAGGTAAAGCCAAGACCACTTCCAGACATCTACAACCTGTAATACTCTGCATTCCCCTCTTTCAGTCGAAATCCGCGACCACAAAAGTCTCGGCCGGACCCTCGTCCACGGATCTGTTCAGCAAGTTCTCCGCCGCGATGAAGTCCAAGTCGGCTGAGGTTAAGGGCAAGCTCCTTGACATCATCGTAAATCCCAGTGCGAACGGCGGTGCCTCTGGCAGCAGTTCCAATTTAAACAGCAACGGAATGCAGGCAGCACCAGCCCAGGAACGCCATGTGAGTGCCAAGGAACGGAATGGGAAGCGATACCGCAACGTGGCACCCGTCTTCAGCATCGATGACGAAAACGAGGATGCCCTTGACGGTGGGGCGGGAGGAGAGCGGGATGCTCCCACGCTGGCCGGCGATGGTAAGGAGATCGTGAATCTGAACCAGTACTTCAAGACGGCGGACATCATCAATGCGTTCAAGTGCCAGGAAGTGCATATGAGCGGCTATATGTACGATAGCCACCTGATCATTACACCCGGCCAGCTGGTGGTGCTGCGGGAGCTGGGACGCGGCCAGGCGCAAATAATGGTGCGCCGCCCGCTAGCCAGCATCGTGAAGATAACCGCCAAGAAGCGGCATCGCGACCTGATCACCTTTAAGTACGGCTTTCCAGACGGCGACGGCCTGCTCATTACGGACATGGACCGCTTCCTCATCCCAAATGCCGCCAAGGCAACGGCCATGGTCTCCCAGCATATAATGGAGCTGCTGGACAACGCCAAGTAGAGATATATAGGGAAGTAGAGTATCCCTTGATATGCTTTTCTCCGCCCTGCTTCCCTTCCCCCAAATGCCTAAAGCCTTATTTTTCATACAAAATCAGACATGGACAGTTAAACAGAGACGAAAAGTGCAATGCGCAGGCGAGAGCGCTGCAAATAGTTTTTAATTGGCAATGTTTTCCTTGTTGTAGTAGCTGACAAATTGTAGTTCTTATAGTAAAACGAGGGCCTCGATGCAAATGTAACATAGCGCACTCGGACGGATCCCGGACTGTCACAACGCTAGCCCAGATTTTTCTAAATTTCCAGGTGCGAAGATAAGGGTAACCTTAAGAGAAGCCTTGAGACTTACAACGTGTACATGAAGAGAGTAACTAACTAATATTTATTGCAATTTAAAACCAAACAAATAAATCTGTATTATAATCGACACAAAAACTAACTCTATTCTGTGTTGGTATCAGCCTTTCCCGATCGGGTGCGGAAGTCAACGCGTAGCTTTTGGAATGCGCCGTTTAGTCCATCATTTCGGGGATGTGGGCGTAGGTGCCTATAAAGTAGGGCCATAAACAGGAGAATTGTAAGCAGAACACCTGCACCGATGACATATGGATAATAAATGGTTCCCGGTTGTATTTGCTCCTCCTTTAGCTTCTTTATTGAGTCCCGAATAACTTGGTCAACGTGCGATTGGAAGAGATCAACATTCATGGCAGTTTCGGTTTTAGTCTGCAGAGATGCGTATTCCAGATTTGAATCTCTCCAGTCCCGGCGCTCTCCTCGAAGCACAACAGATGTGCCCAACCGGATGGTGCAGTCGCCTCGAATCCTAAGGATACCGCTACTGTTTATCTTAAGTTCATTCTCATAATTATCAGCGGAGCAGAGACCAAGCAAAGGCGCCTCTTTTGTAACAGTCACCATCCAGGAATTTGGTGCGAGAAGTGCTGTCAATAAAGATTGTCGCACAACAAGATGGGATGTACAGGTAGAGGACGACTGATTTAGGACAGCAGCCACACCGCAGGGAAGATCCTCTGCATTTTTTATTTTATATATTATAGGTGGCTTGCAAATAAATGTATTATTTTCCAGCTCTAGGCAGTTTTTCAAGTCGTGGAGTCCGAAATACCTGTCCCTCATATTATTGACAGCGAGGTAGGGGGCACCGGTATCCAAAATCTCGATTGTGCCATTCCGATGCACTTTTGGGATGGGTGTCAAACGGTAAATATTAAACGGTTGGCTATCGATCTTTGGAATTTTATAATCGAAGGCCAGTGTTTTATTGTTCAGTTTCCCAACCTTTATTGTGGCGCTCTTATGGAAATCAGACATCGTGATGTTAAATTCTGTCATGATCTCGTCCAAAACTCTTGTATTCAATGGAAATGAATTATTAAGTTGTGCGGACTTAATTTTTTCAAGAAGACGACTTGCTGCTCTTTCCATAATCGAAGCCACATGTCTGAGATTAATGAATAATATTATATTGGTAAAATTACCATCGGGGTTTTCCGAAAACTCTTTTACTTGATTCCTAAGAGTGTTCCAAGGGCCATTTAAATTTATGTATAATTGCGTAGTCCTTGTATAAATTGCATATCGTGAGTAATAATAAATTGGAAAGTTAAATAACTACTTACATTTTGTCATTAATCGTACTTAATTGATGAAAGGTGTCTAATAACGTATTTGTATTAGAATCGGCTGCCAGTTCGCGCCACTCCGGTAAAATAACGTATTTGTTAATAGCTTTAAAACCGTTAAGAAATAATTCTTGGCTGATGTAGTATACTTCAATGTCATAGGCAACTCGCCAGGAATGTTGGCCAAGGTCGATTCTAGCTTGACCTTTGTACTCGATATAGGTGCCAAGATTATTATTGAATCCCATAAAGGTCACAGGATTTCCATTTTCAAAGGGTCCATAGCTTACTGAAGCCTCCTGGGAGATGATGACACACAAGCTCAGGAATATAAAGATCGACGGCATTGCCATGTTTTCAGTCCGTCTTCTTGGATTGCTCTTTTCTGACTGCAAAGCGATCTCTGATGTTAGATTTTGCTGGGCTTCAGATTTGTGCTGACCTGGCATTCTCGTAAACAGATGGGTAACTTCAAAGATTGAATTTTCTTTGTTTTGATTCAAACTGATGCTGAAACAACAATAATTATTCCATATAAAGTTAGATGAACAAAAATGTAAAGAATAAATGCATTTTAAGGAAAATGTGTATTTCTGGTGAGCACAAACAAATACAGAGCAATGTCATTGTATTTTCTTATAGCGATTTTACCAGAAGAGGAAGATTTCCATCTTTGATATCATTGGTTTTGACTTGTGGGCGGTGGATATCATCCACTGGATCATTCCCTGGATTCTGAGCTTCTTTAAAATCCCTTCTACGATTGTAGCGACCAAGGAGAGTAGAATGGCAATCAGGACGATTACTGAACACACGGCTGTGTCAGGTGGTAAAGACTGAACAGTTCCGTATCGATCAGGGGCACTTTGATTGGAAAGACCAAATGATTTTCGTCCAGCTGGTGGGCACTTACGGAGGCGATAAGGTAAACGTCGAAGGTGGTGGATTGGTCGACGGGCAGTCGTCGGACTGCCGGAATATGGGCTTAATCCTGAGGATCCCGTCTCCAGCTGCTGGACGGAAAGGATCAGTGGTGTCAGTTTTTTTCTGAAATGCCGATGTTAATGCTTCCATTAGAGAGTATTGTGACCTTTTAATGAGTTGGTTTCTTTAGAGATGGAGAATATATCAGCCTTAAGATCATTGAGCATTTCATAGATGTATACGATTTATCACACCGCCATTTACATTTTTTGTCATGTTAACAACGGAATATTTATCTCTCAACAAGTCGGCGGTCTCATCATCTCCTAATGGAAGTTGTTTAAGCCTAAAATCCTGCGGATCCGCCCTCTTAGCCAGGCCTCTATATAGGATGGTGTCACCGTAATCAATCAGTTCCAATATAAGGGAATTATTACAAATCTCAAAACCGGTAGTTTCGCAAAATGTTTTCTTTAAAACGTCAGATTCCCGAAAAAGCTGCGCCAAATTGAAGGTGACTTATATGGTCCAGTCCCACATGGCTATACCACAAAAACTAATATATATCATTGTTCCACATCAGCAAAATAAAAATAGTAAGTGCTTTAATGTATTTACGAGCCTGTGTCATACAGACATATTTTCCATATTAACCAGCAGCTCGCAGCTCTATTATGTGACCAAGCAGTGGCGCTGCTCTTTGCAGACCCGGCGCAGGCGCCCTGCACTAGAACTGGCTGCCCCCGATGAACCTACGTAAGCAGGCTCCGTCGAGGTCCGCAATTCTTATCAATGAGAGTGACGTAGGTTGTGTGCAGACGACTCGGGAGCAGCGGGAGCCGGAATGCGGAGAGGCTGCCCACCGGGACTGGAGCTGCAAACACGGCCAACGGCACGGAATCGAGGCCAGTCCGTTAAAAACTGTTGCACTGCGGCGCTGGTACGTCAGTTCATTCAGAACAGTCGAAGGGCGCGAACCTCTGAGAGGAGACACGGAGACCAGCAGCCAGGAGTCGACTTCCCAGTCACCCAGTCACATCCGAAGAGCCCGAGGACCGTTTGGGAGACAGCCTGTTTGTGAAGTGCCCCAATCCGTTAACACCGTAGGTGCAACATGCGACACATGTCACTGCAGCGGCGGCGCAATCCCATGATGGCGCTTGCCCTGATCCTGTGCCTAAGCCCACTGCTCCTGGTCGAGATCCGGGCGGTGCCCGCCTCCGTGCTCGCCCAGAACTCGGAGCTTTCCACCAGTGCCAGCAATAAGCTCCAGCTACAGCAGGAGCATCAGCAGCAACAGCAGCAACAACAGCTTCAAGAGCAGCATCAGCAGCAACAACCGGCAGCAGGTGAGTGGCAAAGTTCTGGTGGCCCTGTGGGTGGAGCTCAGCTCCCACCAATCCGCCCACACTCGTTGCAGTTAATGTTAAAGGTCATTGAGAAATTTCGAGTTTTGAAAAATGCTCGCCCTCGGCCCTAGGCGAAATCAGCTTATGTTGCTCCTGTTCGGTGGATGCGTGGGCGTGAGCATAAGCGAGCTCCTGCTCATTCTCCTTCTGCCGACCCACTGGCATCCGCTCGAGTGGCTCCCTTACGATGGAGCTCATCTCATTTAGCATTTTCCATTTCCCATTTCCCGCTCGTTGTTCGCCAGGAAATTGCGTAGGTGTTTTGCGCCAGGACGACAGCTGTCGCTGTCTTGTCTTGCTCGCCCACGCACCTCCCCGTCCATTCTGCACGTTTTCACAAATTTCCATCCTGCGGTTGTTGTTTTTCACTGGCTTAGTGAATCATTACTATCTGTACACTGCGAAAAAAACGAAAGTTTTCCGTCTACTTCACAATAAGTTTCCTTGATTTAAATGTTACAGTACAGGGGTTTTTATAGAGATCAATATTTTCTTTTATATAACTTAAGTAAATCTCAATTTGTACATATTTTGAACAACATTTCATCTATTCTAATTCAGAACTTACAATGCTAAATTATTTAGCCTAATTTAGATTTAAAATGTTGGGTTTTTGAACCACAAAATGTTCTGTTCTTTAGCACCATCAAACAAATGTTAAACATTATGTAACATAAATAAATATCTCTTTTCACGTCTTTAGAGATTGATATATATAATTGATAGATATAGAAAGCTTAACAACTTTTATATATGCATATAACTATATAACATTTATAAGGATTCAGTTTTATGATAATTTATTTTTCTAAGCAAGATTGAAAAAAATTTGAGTATAAATTGTTATTTTTAAGAAAATCGCCTTAACAATGTTCTCAAAACAGTTTTTAAAATACATAATAAAATTGTACCCTGAATTACAACTTCCGTAATTGGGCAATATGACACTTTTTTCCTCAGTGCACCTACTTTGCCCATACATATATGTAACAGAAAGCACACCAACACAGCCACACACACACACCTACATCGAGCTATAGCGCAGTAAACATCGCGTAGGCGTTTGCCACACAAAATGGCGGCCAGCCTCCTTTGTACACACACACACACACACACAGCCTTGTGTATGGTTGAGCATTTATGCCAGTGTGTTGTGTGTGTTTGCCCTCCTTGTTGGCAAAGTGTGTGTACGTGCGCGCGATTTCATTTCTATTTTTAGACAGCGAGTTAAGCAAAGGCGAAAGTTTTCAGCCCCTTCTGCGATTTCTGGTCTTTCTGCTTGCCTGGCGCCACTCGCCTAGCATCGCGTCCTTCACCACATCTCTGCTGGGATGTGCCCCCAGGGTACCCGGCTCCTGCTCCAGCTCCAGCTCAAGCTTCTTATTCAGCCCACCGCAGGATTGAGCCTTTAAGTTTGCATCTGGCCTTAAGCTGTTAAGACCTTTCCAGCCCCCATTTTTCAGTTCTTGTTTTCCATGGCGCCCAAATGTATGCAACACGTTCGTTACCGCTCGCAACCGAAAACCGCAGAAACAAAGGCCAAAAAAGTGAAAGCAAGTTAACTTGGCTTTCGGTCAAATGTCAATCGCCCAAAGCCAATGGCGGCCACATCAAAATGTCAAGCGCAGGTCTCACGTAAAAAAAACGAATGTAATAAATTGAATTTGGGGTGGACAATTTGTCTGGAAAGCTACGAATTTAATCCAATTAAAATCTATATGGACAGCATATGGCACAGAAAGGACTTTACTGGAAATAAGCCTAAATTTGCAAGTCACCAGATGTTTAGTACCTAATTTGTATTTATTTGTATTTAAAACTCCAAATGGTATACATATTTGCTATAAATACGTATATCAAGAGCTGATTAATATTAACTAAAAAAGTTGCTTATAGACTTTTCAACTAATTTCATGTCACATTTATAGTGTTAACCTTACCGAAATACTCTTCAAGGTAATTCTGCCCCTTAAACTTTGAATAGATTGTTTTGCCCTCAGATGGGGTTCGCCCTAAATAGATTTATTAAGTCCCCTAAGAAGTCCGGCCTCTCTGCGTGTTTATTAAATTACATATGGCAGCTTAATGACAAAGTCAAACAGCGTGGCCCAGCCTTCAAGCGCCCAGCTGTTGGGCCTCTTGACACTCTTTAAAATGCAAAGCGAAATAGGGTCCACCCCTTGCGTTTGCCTCTGCGTTTGCGTTTCCGTTTAATTTACGCACCAGCAGCGGCGGCAGTCGAGTGTGCACATTAAATATTTATAAAAGCAATGGCTGCGCTGCCTCCTCCTGTCACCCATCGAGGGGATATGAAATATTCAGGGAGTGAAGGACCTGGGTCTGCACAGTGCGGATCCCGATCCTGATCCCATCACCGCAACCGCAGGCTCCCAAACAAATCGCATTTCCCTCTCTACATATTTTTTGATGGCATAAATTTTTCCATATGCCACCGTTATTGAGTTATTTCTGGGGAAAATACAATGACAGGAGAAGAAGAGAAAGGAGCCCATGGCCAGCAGCGCACTTAGCCAGAGCGTTAATTGTGTTCATGTGGCGGCCCGACTTTCCGAACAGCTGCTTGCCCAGGATCAGGGCCAACACCCACTCTTTGGGCCACCCAATCCAACCCACCCCAACCCAACCACCTCCTCCTGTCACCCCTAATCTCTGCGCATGTATGCGTGTGGAGAGCAAACAACTTGTTGATACTTTTACAGTTCAGCGAACACAGAGAGTGTGGTGGCTGCTCAGGGAAAAGCACAAACAAAAAAGCAACGAGACCAACGTCAGAGTATGGAATTTTCTTGCCTGTTATTTTTTTGTGGCATTTATGACCCCCCTCCCAGCACCCCCCATTTGATGGACATCAGAGAGCAGGACAATCCATATTTAACAGCAGAAAATAAAAGTAAAAAACAAGTTCAAGCGAAACACGAGAATTGCTGGTATTAAATGACTTTGGATTCTTGGAATCATTTAGCCAGAAGGCTTCAGGAATTGTTAGCTGACTCCCAAGGACTCTTGGGCATTGTAAACTGGGTTACGTGTAATCCATAAACTGTGTTCCCTTAAAGTATGTACACTTGTTGCCCAGCTGAGCTAGAATTTCATAGAGCTGGGTCACAGTTTCTCAGAAAGAGTCCATACCAGCAGGTGAATGGGTCTCCGATGTGGCGTAATGCGTCACCACTGCGATTAATTTATTAAATTTTTTATAAAGAAATATTTTAATTGCTCTGGACTCTCTTTTAGTATAAAATCACATTAAATTTTGGCACTGCTCAAGTCGTATTGCATATTTTTAGAGACCTGTTGCAAGGACTTTCAATCTCTATTTTACTTGCTAAATGATTAAGGCCTTATGTATGTATATATTACTTAAGCCTGATTGTTTTTTATTTTGGCTAAAGGTCTACATACAATATGATCTAAGTACTGCTCCAAAAAGCATTATAATTTTATGGGTTACCATTTCCTGATATCCAGCTCACCTGTGGTCGCATCTGATGACGCGGCAGTCAATTGGCACAAGTTAATAACACATTAATCGTTTCGAGGTCATATAAATCATAGCCATTTGGTATCTATCAGTCTCCACGTTAGGCCCTGTGATATCTCTTTTCTCGATAATCGAGCCCCATCAAAGTTGCAAACTAGATAAGCATTATCTGATAGAGTTCCGAAGAGAATCAATCGAAAAATCCCCCCAAATATATATATGCATATATAGGAGTATAAGTATGCTAATTTGCAGAACCTTGCGAAATGCTAAATCCGCGGATGGAAACTTCAACGAGTTTCAGTCACGCCCGGGACGCCTGCTCCACCTGGGTGTTGACGATGTGGAGTTGGAATAATCGCCTCAAATCGGTCATGTGGAGGGATCATGTCAAGTGTTAACTAAAGCTTAATTGCCGGCTGCCTGCGCTCGATTATCATTCAATTCCGGCTGAGTCCGGAGCTCCGGAGCTCTGGAGCTCAGAAAGGGGGGAAATTAAGCTGGGCCAATTAGCGGAGCAGCTGTTGCGTAAGGACAGCCACCCCTTTCGATTGGCAGCAGCGGCAAATGTGATTAGGATTAATAAGGTCGGTCCAGTCAAGTTCTTGGGGCGAAAGACGACTGGCTTAAGGACGACCCAGCTGCAGGGGGCCGCTCTTCATGGGAATTACATAAGCGCATAGCCATAAAGCCGGCTGTCGGAGCGCTAAAAGCAATTAGCGCCGACCGCGAAATATGTTCGAGTGTATAAAACAATTATGGAACTCGTTGGTGGACGGCGGCTAATTGGTTTTGCGGTCACCGGGCAACGGCCAGGGGTTGCGAATTTATTGAATCAGCTCCGGGAAATGGGAAATGGAAAATTAGAGTGCCCGAAAGTGGGCAATGGGGAATTTCAATTCAATTTCAATTTGTGTGACTTCCCTCTATTCCCATTTTCCAGCAGCCAAGCGCTCGGAGGAGGCCACCGCCGTGCCCACGGCCGACAAGAAGTCCAGCCCGGAAATTGTGCCCGCTTCCTTTAGCAATGCCCCCGCTGCCAGGAGCAACAGTCCGGCGGTAGTCAACCAGCAGCCGCAACAGGGGCCATCCGGGGTCTATGCCCTGCCCAGCAACGACGAGATCCTGGCCGCAGTGGCTGCCGCCGCCCAAAACAGCCAGCAGCAGTATCAGGAGGAACCCACCGCCTTGGAGGAGGCGGTGGCCAGCTCCACGATGCGCAAGCGAGGCATCAACTACGAGTACAATCCGTACCTGGCGCCCAGCGACTACGGCAGCGATGTGCCGCAGGGTGTCTGGTCCGATGACTACGAAGCATCTGTTCCCGTCAACTATGGCGAGCGGGATCTCCAGGAGATCGATGACTATGTGCCAGAGCGAAGAGGTTCGTAAAATTCAGGAAATTATAAACCCTTTAACGATTCTATATAGAGTTTTCATTTTAATCTTCAAGTCTTATTTAAAGTAGATATTTATTTAATTAAGTTTTAAATTCCACTTTCGATTTAGTGAGTGGCTCGAGTGCCCGGAATAAGGCCTACGATAATCTGCAAAACCTGCTGAATGCCGAGGCCTATCTGGAGAGTATTCCCCTGTCGGTGCCGCTGACTTATGCCAACAGGAACTACAACCTGGATGACAGGAACAAGCGTGGAATCTTCTATAACTTGGCCAACCCTAATGGTGCCAGCAGTGGAAGTGCCTATAATAGCGAAAATATTAACCTCAACAAGTATCGGCGCTTCAATGATATGCGGTAAGTGGGGACACCATGGCGTATGAGTAATAAATAAAAATAAACTAATAGCAAAACCAATACGAAATATTTCTTTTATTATAATTTTGATCATTTTTATTATATCTTTTAGACTGAAACGCGACACTACCAAGCTGAATCCCGCCGACATGTTGGCCCTGGTCGCATTGGTGGAGGCCGGCGAGCGGGCGCGCAAGGAGAGCGATGTGGAGAGCTCCGGGCCAGTGCCCATGATCAGCTCCGATGACCTGGACTATGTGCCAGCGGGTAGCTGGATGGATGTGCCCGTCCAGGCCCAGGCTCAACCCGGTCTGGTGGACTACTACGGATTGCCATTGGAGACCCAGAGTCAGGTGATGCCCAAGTACGAGTATGTGCCCCGCCAACACAAGTACAATGGCCTCAATAGCCGTAAGTCTGAATCTGTTTTGAGCGCAGAGGGAATGTATTTCATTTCAAATTGCTTTCTGTAGGATTTGGGTCACCGAAGCAGCGATATATGGTGGCCAAGAAGAAGCGATCTGTGAGCCAGAGCCAGTTCATGAACGAGCCGGTGGCCGAGCGCGGATCCAGCTATAATGGCGAGAAGTACTTCTAAAGATCCGAATGCATCGATAGTTAATAGTGTTGTAAAGGCCCCCGGAGGAGTATTTCTCGTTATTTTGAGCATTGAACATAATCCAATATCAAACATTTCGAATTCAATTATAGTATTGAGATAGAGTGAACTCAACTCGTGTGCAATTTTTGTGTAGAACTTCAATTTTAAACCAATTACCGGTAACTAACCTATTGTTATATGCATATACATACACGGGCCTTAGCCATGTCCGTCGCGAGGAACATAATCAAATCAATGTGAACAACAGGGCTCTGCGATTTTGTCCCACGAAACCCAACCGACCCCGATCTAGCCCAGAAATGAAGCGAAACTAAACCGAATCTAAGCCACTAACTATAATCCATATAAGAATCAATGTCTATGGCAACTAAATGTACAATTACCACTAAAGCCAAGTGAGAGAGCTAAACTATCAGTATCTTACACCAAGTACTTATCGAACTAGAGGCTTCCCTACTAGTACAAACATTGAGAAGAGAATGTTCAAATATATATATAAAATATATATGTATATCTATGAGCCGAATCCCGGCTCAGATGCTATGATGTCTTGCCATCTATGAGCTGCTTTAATCGAAAACTAACAAAAAGAAAACTAAATCATTTTTGAAGCCACGAAACCAACACACAGCGCTACACAGGAATGCATCGTTTTATACAGACACGCGCCGACTTGGGACAAGAGGATCACTCGATGAGAATTTTAATCGTATATAGACACCTAACGATATACTGAATAACCGCTAATAATATATAGTATGATATATATGTATACAAATATGCTAAACTTTTTGTCAAAGAAATGGCTCAGGGCTCAAATATTTAAAATATTCGATGCCGCACGAAGGAGAGGCGTACATTTGATTTGAATGAAATTGTCTGACTGTTTTTTGGTAATAATCAAATATACATATACATATGTACTATATGGAATATGAGAAACTAAATTATATAATTACTTATACAGAGATACACGAATTGGACGAGTATTTAAAATGCATTAATAGCCTATATGTGTGTGTGTATACAATACAATATGAAATATATATATATGAATATGAACACTCAAGTAACTATGAAATACGTTTTGACATACAATATATACATATATTTTCCCTTACACTTTTTCGGGTCCCTGAATATTTGGCCTTTTATTTACGCCTTAAGTTCTTTGCGCGAGCTTAATTTAAAATATATATATTTATTTACAAGCAACTGATTTACGATTAAATAAACATGTCTTTGGTTTGAAAACCAACGAAACATTGGATCATTATGGGGTTTCTTTTACAGGTTTCTCCGGAGGACATTGACCTGGCTAGAAATGGAGCACTTTCGCTTCCAAATGTGTCAATTTCGGTATAGTTTCGGTAACAATTAGCTGGACGAGTCTCTGCGCAGTAACATTAACAGCTTTTCAATGAAAAAGTCATAAAAATCATTTTCAAAAGAACCCAAGACCAAGTGGAAAGGAAAGTTAAATAAATGAAAATTGGGAGACAATTCAATGAACGCCAATTAAAAGCTAAACACACATCCACAGAAGGAAATTCGAAAATTTGGGGGAACTCTACAACACACTCAGTTATTAAAGTGTGTGCCAAAAATTTAATAAAAACCAATTGGCCTCCGCACACACGCGTTGACATCAACCGATTGGGGCTATGCCTTTGTTTCATCATCTCTCATCAGAAGCCAGTACTTTGTTCTTGCCTGAGGGCACACACGCCGTTGTACTTCTTTAATGTTCCATGCAAATCCAAATGACACGGGGACCATGTCCGCCAGAGAGGAACCAAGCAGCCATGAAGTCCCCATTGTGGCAACTGGACGTTGAAAACAAAGTTCTGGCCCGGACGCGGACTCGGACGCTTGATGAGGTCGACTTTATGCAAACAGACCCAGTCCCCATCATCCCGAGACCTTTTCAGCCATAAACAATACCATAAACAGTAAGGCAAATAAACAAAACACTGAGGTCCAGATACTAAAATGCATTTGTGGGTACTCTGTTTTACATTTATTTCGGAGGGGAATCGATGGAAATATAACGACTATGGGTTGCCCTCTATAATCTTTAAGGATTATAGTTTAATTACACGGACACTAACCCAATCATCAATTATATTCTATTTTATCATCTTTTTTTAAGCCCAGAACAACGGGCAAAACAGAATAAATAAATCTAAGAAAAAACAAATACTTGAAACTCGATAAAGTCCAATAATCCATTTAAAAAAATTATCGAAATATGAATGGGAAAGGCTTTTTTAAATTATTTTCTGTTATATGTTTCATTTTAAATAACTTCAATTAATACATGTGATAGACATTTATTGAGGAATTTCAGAGGATTACTGAATTTAATATTTTAAATTCTTCCACAATTATGCACATTCGGATTGTTTTTGCGCTTTTACAGTGTTGTATAATTATTATTATTAGTAATATAATTGAGGTGAAATTACGTGCTAACACATTTTATAGTGAAAGGTACAAGCATTTCGAAATCAAAACATATGTTTCGCCTGCAGATTTGTACCGTACTTCATATCTTATCGGAAGTGGACCATCATTTGTCAGTTGCAGGCTGTAACACAACTTCCCGGCTCTACCCCAAATCGCCATATGGCCAAGGAAAACTAAATATGTAAATACAAACAACACAGAAAATTGCAAAAAAAAAAAAATATATATATATATATATACATATATAAAAGGAGGGAGTGTGTTTGGATGGATAACGATTCGAGGGCAGTGGAGCCTGAAGCTGAGAAGAAATGGCATCAGAGGAGGTGGAACTGCCGGCATGAATGGAAACCAACGTGAGGAGAGTGATAGAGGGAGCTGGAGGGACATTTGCATATTTCATCAGCAAATGAGCAATGACGAGAAAGAAAATACTCAGAAGCTAGCCAAATGAGTAGGGAAAAGTAGTTAGGTAAACTTTATGCTATTTCTAATTTGGGCTTAGAACGTGTTTAATATTTCTGTGGCTATAACTACCCAGTTAGTTAACGAACCCATGACTTCTTCTCCCATAGAAAGCATTTGTCTTAGCGATTCCCCCCACGGGCAGCACGATTTCGCACCTCTTATCATGAGATTGAAGCGTTGAAACACTTGTAAGATTGTCGTTAATTAGCAACCCAAATAAGAAATTCGTTTATAACAATAAACAGTGCTTCGACTCGAATGAGGTGTATAAAAAACTTACACCGAATGGGATAAAAACCAAAACAAAAATGGAAATAATATATAAATACATTCGATTGGGCCATTGGGTCTAGATCGGCTTTGCCATGTTTATACTAATTTTATGCACGCGTTTTGAATGTTTAATAACCGCTTTACACACAGACAACTGTCTCTATTCGTCCAAATTTTTAAACGAATTTTATATAATTTTTATTTTTTTGTCCGGTTGAGTTGAGTAAGGCGAGGTAATTGTCAATTCCCCCCGCACTTTTATAACAATTGATTGGCATACACAAGAAAGCGAACACCAAAAGCAGGGGAATCTGTGGCTCGCCTTTTCTAATTTTATACATTTTAATCTTCTGTGTGAATCGACAAATGTTTCGTTCTCTGACATTGAGATAAGTCAAATTTAATTGATAATATTTCTATATGTTATATTTAATTTTTATCAATGACTTTAACTATACGTGTATATAATATTAATCTTATTTAAATTGTCCAAATATATAATGAATATGAATAAATACATATCTATTTTAGCAATGGTTATAAGTTTCAATAAATTAAATGCTTTAAATACGCATATTTCTCTTCTTTAAAGATAATTTATTTATTAAATTATTCAATTTTCTCCCTTACTTTTAATTCATATTTTTAATTAATAAACAGTTCGTCTGAAACATTTCAAGTCCTTAAAAGTGGTATAAATTAAGTTGAAAAGCTGAACTAAAACGGTCGTAAATAAAATGTTTAAAAGTGTTTTTTCTCTCTAATTTGTTTATTTTCAAATTGTCTACAACAGATATACGCCTATAATATTGTTCTAAGATATATATTCTAAGAACTGACAAAATTAGGAATATATAAATAAGTAAACTATTTTTAGGTACAAATATGTGGTATAATCTTTATTAAGAAATCATTTATTTTATAAATTTGTGAATGAATTCGAAATAACTTTGCCTGAAATTAAATTGGAATGCTACTAAAACAACGATCGTAAATTAACCTCTTAAATTGTTATTACTTTTCCATTAATGAAGAATTTCGAAATTGGCGGAAACACCTCGAGTCCAGCTATTGGAATTCTCTGCGTGAAATGCGTGCGTGGGCGAGGCTGTGTAAAAAGCAAACTTAGTGGGCACAACCACCGCATCCAGCGGATACATGAACCGCACGTACATATGTAGTACCTGAACTGGCGGCAATGCAATTGAATGGAAAGCAAATGAAATTAGCTGAGGAAGAGTCACTATATACCATTGCGATGAGGCAAATAGTAAATATATGAAACGAACTGGCATTAGGCATATTGCACAGTAAGAAATTTATTCTTGATATTATAGATGTTATTCCATTAAGGTATTTAAATTTGTAATTTTGGTACCATATGGTACCATACTTACTATAATTAGTTATATAATATTTATATCTCTCTTTATTTGCTTTAATTATAAATAATACAGACATAGGAGATGCAATACGGTATATTTATAAGCTTTTGCACTGCATCAACAGCAGCGTCAATCTAAGCCATGTCGATCCATTTCCTTACAAACTTGTCTCTTAGTTTTGGAAAGAAATTTCCCTTTTTAATACGCTTTTATTAGTTCGGGATGTATTATAACAGGGACATAGTAGTTAAAGCTCTCCAACTCTATACTATATTTTATGAAATTAAATTATAAGAAATCATATATAACTCTATTGTTTGACAATAAACTTCTTTGACAATATTATTAAAATGTTATAGAAATGATCACTAAATAAATAGGAAAATAATGTAAAAATGTATAAAGCTTCATTATTTTTTAAGCTTTAGTTTTCGAATATAAGCTTCCTTTTCTTTTCAAGATAAACAGTTATTAAGACAGTTTTCCTATGATAATCGTGAGATAAAATTCAATTACAATAAAAATATTATGAAGAATAATTGCGATGAATTAGAAAATAAAATATTAAATTAATAATTAATTTTAAATTTTTGCTTTCTGGTAAGAAAAAATATTCGCTAAAAGTTGATTTACTTGTAAATTAACTGAAAAATGGATTCCATAATATTTTCTTTTCTTTTGATCTTTATTAAATTATTAAAGGAATATATTATATGACATATTAAAAAATAAAAGTAAAGAAGTAAACTTAAATGTATTAAAATGATGTTTTATTTTATCTATTATATTTAAACATGAGAAAATTCCTATATGAAGTTTATTTTGTTCACCTATATTAAATGGATTAAATTAATATTACTTATAATAGTCGAATCAGGACACGATGATTTATAATTTATCCTTAATAAAGCAAACCCTTAAACGTACACTGTTTTTTCGGTGTATTTGAAAATGTTCAAGATATCGGGAATGATGACAAACGCTTTCCGAACGAAATGGAAAAAACAAAGCTGAAACGAAGTCAAAACGAAGCCATGTCGTGGTATCTAACTACGCACCAAACGACAGGCATTCCAAATCCCGAATCCATATGCTCCGAGAACAGAACAAGATCCAAAAAAAAAAAAACGAGACCGAGACCCACCACCACCAACACACCCAAAAACCAGACACAGATACTCACGCGCACAGCGGCATGTCGGCCGCCGGCGACACGGCCGGTTCTCCAAGCGAATAGAAAACGCTTTTGGGGGCGACGCACAAAAAGCAAAGAGCGTTCCAGGCAGCCGCTTCAGTTGGAGAGCAACCTTCAAAGGCAACGCACGTGTGGAAATCGGTTTCGGTATTGTCGCAATCGCCGCGCTAAAGATCTATTCCCATCCGTGTTGGCATAAACAATTCACGCTTTCCGGGTCGCCAGCTGCAGCAAAGAGCATCAGAATCTCGGCAAGATGACGGACGAAGTGCCCGCGAAAGGCAGCATATTGGGCAGTAAGTTGGCCATCAGAGGAAGTTGAGTGAGAGCTATTTGGGGGTTGGCTTTATTTTTTGGCCACGAAAAAGCTATTTCGAGATTGCATCCGTGGGATGCATCATCATACGCAGTGTGTGCAACAAGTGGGCGAGGCAGTATGGAATGATGAAAGTTCCTGGCGAAACCGGCGAAATGCAAGGCCAAGATGAGACTTTGACCTTAAAGCTACAGCCAAAGGTCGTTCGTGTGCGTGAGTCCCAGAAATCCTCTTCCGTGTCCTTGTGTCTGTGTGTGTGAGTGTGTTGGTGTGCGTACGCCATATCCTTTGGGTTTAGGTTGCTGTGGCTTTTTATAGATGCCAGACCCACGCCATTGCTGGCATATTTGATTTGTTTTTGGCGTTTTCATATATATATGTATATATATCCCGGGGACCGGTGTCCGTGCAAGGTCAAATGGAAGTCAAAGATATAAACAATATTTGCAGTTATATAGCCACTTTGCTTGTGCTTCCCAAAACACAAGCCCAAGACAAACCGGCGCTAAATTCTTTGTCAGCCTATCCCAACAAAAGGAAAGTTTGTCAAGCGTTTGAATTGGTAAATAATAGTGTTTACTTTAATCAAACTATGCGAAAATATGACCATAATGTTTGCACACAAGCCGGCCTGTTAGATTCTTAAAAATTCACTCTCTTCTTCACTCTTCAGTTTCGCAATATAACAAAAATTTACACCAATAATTGTTAATCATTTTGGCCCTAAAAAATCTTTATTACCAAATAAGACCCATAAAAGAATTTAAAACGAATCAAGGTTTACATATTTATTATAGTTCTAAAATAGCTAATAATGATATTACCTCAATCAGTTGGAAAAATTACAAACTTTTCAGATTTTTAAAATGTTTATTTTGTCATAAATTCAATTAATTAGAAATGATTTTACAATAAGATATAAAAGGTTGCTAAAATTCTTATCAAATTAGCTAGAGCGAATCTTTATTTATTAATTTGTTAAATGAAGATTGAATACATTTCTTTAACCGATACAAAACTCTTCAGCAATTAGGAATATTAAATAGAACTCTGTACAAACACATGCCAGAAAAAAAGCTTGTTTAATTTAGAAATTATCCAGGATCAGTCGGTCTTATGGTAGAAGCACTTGAAAGATTACCCTAAGTACTTGAGCTTTACCACTACCAAACTGGGCCCCACCTAATCAAACAAGCAAACAAGAGGGGAATTTATGAATACTAACTGGTTCTGCGATGCAAGCTAATGGTAGTTTCCACAATTTAACCCAAGAGCAAATAAAGATTATAGGAAGACCAAGAATTAATCAATGAAAGAAAAATACTCTGTGAAAGAACTTGAGCAAGAAAAAAATTCTTACTCTAACAACTAACTAAAGAAAGACAAAAATATACTCAATGAAGGGAAGATACTATTTGAAAGATCTTTACCAAGAAAAAAATCCTTACATTACCTATCATAACTCTCTACTTATTTCAAATATAATACAAATTCTAATTCTAATTCAAAATAAAATAAATTTCTATAAAACCAATTGAATATATACATTAAAACCCTATAAAGTACTACTTTTGAATGATTTAAAACCTACATATTATACTAAATATTTCACCCTTTGTGGCCATTTTATAAAAGCAATAACATTGTGTTGCGACCAGACTTCCTCATAATGGCAAAGCCCTCGCCCAGGTGAAGAGTATTTGAAGATATTGACAAAATAGTCCAGACCAGTATCGATAGAACAATTAGCAAATATAAATATTCGTGTTGCCAGCGCGAAAGGCTAATTTCTGACAGCCATGAAAGTGAAATTGAAAATAAAGACAACAAGAAAGGAAGCTAACTTCGGCATGCCGAAGTTTATATACCCTTGCAGATAGAACTTCCATGAATAGGAATCCATACAATATAAATTATATATATTTGTGTTAAAAAACAATGAAGTAATACCTGCTTTCATTTCATTCACCTATACATATTATATTTGCAGTTTTACATTCACAGATTTGCATTTTTCCTCTACATCAAACGATCGTTTGTATTGCACCTATATGATATAGTCGTCCGTTTTTCATGAAATTTGACACAAAATTTAAGACTGATATAAAATGGCTATACCTCAAGTTTGATGAAAATCAGCTGAAAACTGAAAAACTTATAAATTTAATTGTAATAATTTCTCGATCGTTCCTATGGGAGCTATATGATATAGTAGTCCGATTTTCATAAAATGTTGTGCAAAATTGTAGAGTATAGTAAAATGGCTATATCTTAAATTTGATCCAATTCTATTGAAAACTGAAAAAGTTAAACATTTTTTTGTAAAAATTTTGCGATCATTCCTATGGCAGCTATATGATATAGTCGTCCGATCCGGCCCGTTCCGACATATATACGAGTGAGAGTATATAGAAGGCTAACTACAAAGTTTCATTCAGATAGCTTCAAAACTGAGAGACTAGTTTGCGTAGAAACGGACAGACGGACAGACGGACAGACGGACAGACGGACATGGCTAGATCGACTCGGCTGTTGATCCTGATCAAGAATATATATACTTTATATAGTCGGAGGTGCCTCCTTCACTGCGTTGCAAACTTCTGACTGAAATTATAATACCCTGCAAGGGTATAATAAATTTGTATCGCTGCGGGCGTTATCGCAACGTGTGCTCATAATTGCCAGACATCGACGCGGATTACGAGTGGTCGGGAATCGGGAATTGGAATCGATGCGCGTGCGGTGGTCCCATCTACTTACTGACCCTACCCAACTGGGCGTAATCAGTCCTACCTTTGCGCAGAACTCGTGTCTGGGCCCAATGAGACCTGAACTGGCCACTGGTCAGCAGGTGATTGAGTCCTAAAATACCGGGGAATGGTGTCATGTCTATATCCATTCTCCTGACACATTTCCCGCTGGGAATATGCTTGGAATGCTAGAAGCATTCGTGAAGCAGAAGAACTAATGCCCGAGTTGGCTTAAATGGTTTTAATTAGCATTCCCCAAGATCAATGCTAATTGGAACTCGTCGCTCAACAATTGAATTGGTCTATCAATATCGCTGATATTAATCAATTTGTGTTGTCTTCACACCAAGTCCAAACTTATATGTATAAATTCTTATTCAATATTCTGACGATATTATTAAATTAAAATAACTTATACAAGGAGTTATGAAATAGTTTACTTATTTAATTTAAAATATTAAATGAAAACGAAACATCAAACTCTTCATATTTATTTAATTTTTAATTGAAAATCCTTTCTTCTTTGTAGAACTTGTGCCCGCCCGCTATGTCTTGGCCCTCCTGGGATCCATTGGCATGGCCATTGTCTATGGCCTGAAGGTAAATCTGAGCGTGGCCATGGTGGCCATGCTTAACCACACGGCCATAAAGGGTCACCACGACGCAGGACATGGCGCCGCCACCGTGACGCTCTCGAATGCCAGCCAAGTAACGCTGGTGGAGGAGTGCCACCCGCCAGGAGGAGCCAGTAATGCAACGGGAAAGGGCGATGACGGGCCCTTTGACTGGAGCGAACCCCTGCAGGGCACCCTGCTGAGTTGCTACTTCTGGGGCTATTTGGTCTCCCAGATTCCGCTGGCCCACGTGGCCGAGAACTTCTCCGCCAAGTGGGTGATGCTCTTCTCGGTGGCCATCAATGTGGTGTGCACCCTGCTGACTCCCGTTTTCACCAACCTGCACTTCGGTGGCCTGATCCTGATGCGAGTGCTTGAGGGCGTTGGAGGTGGAGCTTCCTTCCCGGCCATGCATGTGATGATCGCCTCCTGGGCACCGCCTACTGAGCGGATGGTCATGTCCACCATTATTTATGTGGGCACATCGGCGGGCACTGCTCTTTCAATCCTCCTGGCCGGCGTCTTGTCTTCCCAGTGGGGCTGGGAGTCGGTATTCTATGTGATGGGTGGTCTCAGCTGCATCTGGATGCTGCTCTGGATCATCTTGGTGCAGGACAATCCCAACAAGCAGCGCTTTATCAGCCCCGAGGAGCGTCACATGATCACCAGCTCGCTGGGCACGGAGTCCAAGGTGGAGCATCATCCACCGGTGCCATGGGCCAAGGTCTTCAAATCGGTACCCTTCTGGGCCATCCTGATCGCGCATACCTGTAGCAACTTCGGCTGGTACATGTTCCTCATCGAGATTCCCTTCTACATGAAGCAGGTGCTCAAGTTCAATGTGGCCAGCAATGCGGCGCTCAGTGCTCTCCCCTACTTCCCCATGATCATCTTCAGTATTGTCCTCGGCAAGCTCTTGGACACGCTGCAGGCTAAGGGTAGGTGAAATTTTTTTGGAGATGTTCAAGGACTTATCTATAAATTTATTCTCGTCTTTCAGGCAAAATCAGCACCACCTTTGCCCGCAAGACCGCGACCTCGATATGTACTTTGATCCCGGGAGTCTGTCTGCTGGTTCTCTGCTACATTGGCTGCCGTCACTATGAGGCTGTGACAGTTATGTCCGTCGGAATCGTGGCTATGGGCGCTATGTTCTCTGGTTTCCTGTCCAATCACATCGATATTGCCCCCAACTTTGCCGGCACTCTGGTGGCACTGACCAACACGGCGGCTACGTTGCCAGGAATCGTGGTGCCTCTCTTTGTGGGATTCGTTACCAAGGGAAACGTAAGTTGAAGAGAAGCTTTAATTATTCCAAAATTCGTGTTCTAATTTCCAATACCTCGCAGCAAAACATCGGAGCCTGGCGCATCATCTTCGGCGTTACCATTGTTTTGTTTGCACTGGAGTTCCTGGTTTTCGTCATCTTTGGATCTGGCAGTGAGCAGTCGTGGAACAAATCGGGTTCCCCCAAGGATCCCGAGGCCAAGGATGAGAAGACCCCACTGAAGGACATACCCGCCAAGCCCTAAGTCCACAATCTCGCTTTGATTACACTGTCTCAATTACTCGATGAACTGCAGCTTACTCAGATGACTCTTGGACAAACTCTGGGCTTGCACAAAATGGAATGGTCGACACTGGACTGTAAATACCAATTACAAATGATAGTTTTTAGTTTGCTGTAACCCTAAGTAACCGTATACCTCTACGGATAATCACTTCAGCCCGCCTAATGTACTTAACACTCTTGATTTCAAAAGTTGTCTACAAATAAAGCGATGTCTTAGTGGAATGATTGCGCATTTTTAAACAGAATGGGATTGTCTTTTAGGAAATTTTTTCCTGTCAAAGAATTTTTGATTTGCAAACTATATAATTTATAATTTTAGATACATATGGACAGAAAACAATGTATCATAGGATTTGGTCCGATGTGTTTAATAAAGAAAAAAAGCATAAATGGCAATTTAAAATAAAATTTCCAATGAGATTATATATCTTTTCGCTTGAGTGAACTTTTAATTATTTTATTTGTTTTTAAATAGCCTGTAATAATCGGTGATAAATACCCACAATGTTTTTAATGATTTTGGATGGTTTATTTCAGGAATTCGCTACGAAATTAAAACTGACCTTTGTACAACAATGTCTTTGGGAATCTTTCCTGTGACATTTTACAAATATAAACAATCAATAATTTTAGCAAGTTTAGTCCTTTGTGTATTGTGTTTCTATCCTCTGCAATTTTAAGTTCTTTTCATATTCTCAACAAACACAAAACTGATATTGGTATCGAATTGTAGTTTGTGATCAAAGAACCATCTCAATGATAACATATAGTCGCCAGTTGGAAAAGGGAGAAGCAATAATTCTGGCTTGAGATAAAATTTGCTGAGATACTGTGGTCCCTGAATATAAGATGAGTTCATAATTAGTATTTTTTTTTTTTAATGAAATATGAATAACCTACCACGTACGGGCACGTATGGTTGATATTAGTAAATTCCTGAAAGAGAGTATAAATTATTTTAGCAGGCATGTAATAGGCCTTTCGCAGAAAGCGACAGCAATCAATTTCAGCTTTATAGAGCCATGGCTTGTAGCCACTTTCCCTCTTGAATAATTGGCCCTTGGCTTGTATGTTATAAGCAGGATGGAGGATAGTTCCGTTTAAATTCATTAGAACCCTGTCGCGCCACACTGCCTTCAGGCGACACTCGTGAAATTCAAACCACGATTTATTATAGCTCTCGCAGACTAAGTTGGTAAACTTGAAGACGACTGCAAACTGGAAAACAAGCCAAGTTATTTTATAAGTTTTATACAAATATTTTAAAACTTGCACTAGCTTGGTACAACATCACACTCAGTAAAGCGAAATAAAATAAATGTAAAGGCATATTATAAGCTCAATACGTCCAGCACGATAGACAGAAATCGAAAACCAAAATGCTGCATATTTTAGCTCACAAGTAATAAAGCAGCTAACGAAATTGTAATTATGTTTGCACTAATTTTCTGCCTAATAGACTGTAACATAGATGGGGAGATCGATTTGTTTTAAAATAAATACTTTGTTTTGCTCAATCGAACGTTAACAAAATATTTAACATCGATTTCCTGGTGGCATTTTATAAGTTTATTGTGTTTATTTATTTAGTAATTTCTACTCCTATTTTCAGCTCTTTTTTCTCGAAAAGTAAATACTTAAAATAACCTTTTTAGCTATTATTTAAATTCCGTTAAAATATCTATAAAAAAAACTCTGTATTTCTGGCACAGTGATTATTTTTAAGGTCATACAGAGTCTAAGATATTTACAATATTCCAATATTGGTTTAAATCGTATCTAACGGAAGAGTTGCCAGGACGTTAAAGAAGAGTGACAACTCTGACGACACAGTACAATTTTCACGAAACAGCTGAATAACAGCTGATCGAAATTTAGACGTATGGAATACCCCAATTATATTTAATCAGTTGCCGGCTGGTTGTGTAAAATGTTGAAAATAAGAAACATTTGCTTGCTGCAGCGGAGATGGAAGAGCGGGGCCAAAAAGCGATGGAATGTCCTGCAGAACAAGAAGAATAACTGCGACCGGGCGCTGGAGAACTTCGATGACTTCTACGGTAGCGTCTACGGCAGCCGGTGGAAGAACATGCGGGCGGCCCTGCTCACGAGGCATAAGTACATCGCCATGGTGAACAACTTCGGGGACACGGAGCAGACCTGCAGCATGCTGGAAATGGATGGAGCGATAAACATGAAGTCCCTGATAAATCTGGCCCAGGATCGCCAGCTAGAGAGCACTGACACTGTGCCGGAACAGGGAAAGTCTCGTCATGAAATTGAGAGCAAGCTGGATACCCTGCTACGTAAGCAGCAGGAACGCGAGGTGGCCAACATTTATCCGAGTTCAGTAGAGGATGGAGTAGCCCCGTCAATGCCACAGCAACTGAAGTACGACAATAACCAGGACGAGCAGCAGGAGGAAGTCAACGAGCCGTACGAGCAGAGCTTGACCAGATCTCTTGAGGAAGACTTCAGGCTGGACGAACATCGCTTGGTTGATCCCCAGTTCGGCACCGGGGGTTTGTATGAGTACATGCCCGCCCACAGCATTAAGGGCATGGAGGATTGGGTGGCCGAGTCGGAGCACTATAAATATTACAAAACTAGCGCTGATTTCCCGCTCACCATTGAAACAGAGACGTCGTTTCAGTTCCCCGAGCACCTATCCCTGTACACATACGAGATGGGCAACTGCTCGGACTTCAAGGGCCCCAAAAAATGTCTCACAGGAGTCCTCTCGCACTTTTTGATGGACGGCGCCTCCACCTTGCCACCTCTTTTCCTGCAGGTGAAACCTGGAGAGCGAGTTCTTGACGCCTGTGCCTCGCCCGGAGGCAAATCACTGCTCATGCTCCAGACGTTGCACCTGGACCAGTTGGTGTGCAATGACGTCCAAGAGTCCCGCCTAAATAAGCTACGAAAGGTGCTTCAGGAGTATCTGTTCGACTACAAGGACCGGTGGGCAGGCAAGAGGCTGATTTTTAGCCAGAGCGATGCTCGTAACCTCGACCATTACGAGCAGTTCGACAAGATCCTGGTAGATGTGCCCTGTACCACCGATCGACACGTGCTGAATACCCAGGACAACAACATATTCAAGCCGACGCGCATCAAGGAGAGGCTACGCATCCCTGAACTTCAGGCGGGTATCCTGGCCAACTGTCTGCGCCTGCTGCGACCAGGTGGCAGCTTAGTCTACTCCACCTGCTCGCTGTCGCCCATTCAGAATGATGGAGTGGTGCACATGGCCCTGCAGAAGGTCTTCACAGAGTACGGCATTACGGCCACCATTAAGGATTTAAGTCGGCAAACAATGCTTTTTAGTGACATCTTCAAGTTTGAGCACCCTAAAGGACTCAAGTATGGACAGATGGTGGTTCCGTTTCTGCCGGCCAACTTCGGGCCAATGTATTTTAGTAAGATAACCAGAAATGGGTGATTTAATAGATTGTAAAAATAAAGACAGAATGTGTTGCAGTTTACCTCTTTAAATCAGGGTCGGCCACAGAACGTCGAGATGGGAGCCTAATATTCAAAGATAACACCCTTCAAGTGAAGTAATTTAAAATAATATTTTAATAAACTGTTCAATCGACAGTTAAAGAGGTACTGCTCGAATTACATTTGTTTCTCGGTCTTCTTTTTTTTCTTACCCTTAACGGGCAAAGGACCTGGACTCTTGAAGATTGTACTGAAATATTAAACATAGTCGTAAGTGTAAGGAAAGGTAAAGTATACCCATAAGCTCTACTTACTGGCATGTGGTGCAAATCGGACTGTATTTGCAGAACACAGAGAGGCAAACGGAGCAGACATAGCCAATGTCGATGAGTTCGCGATGACAGAAGCAGGAGGCGCGGTAGTCAACCTTTGGCGGCGGCGGCAAGACCAGCTTGTTTCGCATCTGCGGAGCGGGCAGGAAGACCCACAATAGATACTGCAGCAGGCCGTCCAACTGAGTGACCTTGAGGAACTGACCGGAGGTAATATCACAGCCCTGCTGGAGCAAACTGAGCGTCTTGTCCAAGGCGCAGGTATCGATCACAATATCTAGCTTCTGGGCGGTAAAGAAGACATTCATGTAGGTCATGTACTGGGACGCGCACTCGTTGCTGCCTGTCAAAACCAGGATGCGGGAGTGCATCTTAACGCCAGGTGGAACGTTGCGTTGCAGCTGTAGGGCGGAAAATTGACATGCATAAATTTATAGGACTTAAATTTGATTGTTATTAAGTTACTCTGGAAATGTAGCACAGCGCCATTGACATGCTCCCAGCGAGAAGGCTCTCGCAGGGAGCACTCAGACGTGGAGCATTCATTAGAATGCTACCCAGCTGCTGTTTCACCGTCTTTTCCACCAGACTGAAGGCCTCATATTGCCCATCGACCTGGCGCAATTCCACTGGACGCCTCGGTTGCGGGTATAGGAAGTTCCTGCCATGGAATACGCCAGTCAGTAAGGGCCAACGCACCTTGTGGACTCTACTCACGTGGCATGATGGGAGCAGGATAATACAGCCAGTTTGTTTTGGGCTTTTTGCATGAGGTGCGCATTCCCAAAGGCAATCACCGCCTCCAGGATTTGGGTGAGGTTTTGTGGGTTCTGGCGAACGATGTGCTGCGACGGATTAGTGTCCAACACGATAACCAGCAGATCGATGCTCGCCTCGGCTATAATTACAGACTAAAATCAGTTGGTTTCCTTAATTATTGTCCTTAAAAAACGCACCTTCTTTGCTGGTCGTCTGTTCCGCGTCCATTTTCACCGGCATTAATTGTATCGATAGAGATGTGCGATTATCGATAATTTTCTAATGTGTGCAATATTTAAAACACATCGTAATAATAATGTAATAAATGTTGTACATTTAATGTATTATATTTTATTTTTATATAGAAAAGGGCATATCCTTGTTAAGTTAAATATTGGATTACATAGATATTCGTTAAAATTTTAATTTCTGCATGTTTGTTCGTCCAAATCCTTAACCTTTTGTTTTGGCTGACTCCCGTATATTGAACTTGGGAACCCGATCCTTTCTGGCCAGTATCTTGTTCGAATTGTCCTCTATATTAATGGCACTTATGATCAGATTAACCCGTCGCTCTATAACGCCAATGAAAAGCTTCACATTGTGGACTGTCAAAAAGGTCTTGGTACTCAGGACATTTAGTATTGGAGCATCGTCGCAAGCGAGTTGCCTGTAAAGGATGAGAAAACCCACTAAGTTATCTAAAAAAAATTGAGAAAATTCCTTAAGAGATGTCACCTGAAAATATCCTCGATTCCCTTTAGTAGCTGTTCTAAGCGAATGCTTAAGGTGCGCTTCCTCTCCCTGGTCTCCTCGGCCAGTTGTTCGATCCGCTCCCGTTCGGCATTCAGATAATCCAAAGCCTCGGTCTTGAGCTTCAATTCCTTTTCGGCCTGCTCGGATTTCTGCCGTTCTGTGGGTGAAAATGATAAATGTATACAGGGTTATTTAAATGACCTTCAGTTTAACATACCTATTTCATCTGTCAACTCCTGCGTGGAGTCGTTTAATACCTCCACCTCATGGCTCAGCTCGTTGACATAGTTGAAGAGAGCAAAGTTCTCATCCTCCTGCCGCTTGAACTGTGCCACCAGTCGTTCAGCATCCTCTTCGCCGTATAGCAACTTGATCTTCTCGATTATATCCTTGTACTCCAATAGCTGTCGCTCGTAGTTTTCCTTCTGGTTTTGCTTCTTGTCCAGTTCGCGCTGCTCCAGCTCTGGATTTAGACGCTTTTGACCCTTGATATCAAAGAATTTTTGAAGTTTGGCGTCGTGTTCCAGGCGGCGCTGCATCTCGCGCATCTCCTGGATGTGCATCACCTTGTCGTTCTCGTTGCGGTCTTTTAGCACTGACAACTTGTTGCAAAGCTCCTCACGCTGATCGAAAGCCAAGGTCGACTGATCGATCAGGTCCATGATGAATTTCTTACCCTCGTTAAACTGTGTAACCATCGACTGCCACATGTCGTTGAAGTTCGCCCTGAAATTAGTGCAGTGATTGAAGAGAGAAACTAATTCTTTTCAATTCGATTTCAATGAGACTTTCTTACCGATCCTGCAGCATGTGGTTGATGGCATCCCGCATCTTGCTATTTTCCGTTAGCACATCGCTGCACTTCTTATTCACCACATCCAGGCGGTTCTCCAGCTTGACGACACTCTTTTGGACTTTGCAGATCGTGTCCTTGTAACAGTTGTCGGGCACCTCGTTTCGCCGCAGGGCGTCGATCTCCTTCTCCATTTTCCGAATGTGCCCCTCCAGCTCCCACAGATTTGTTCGTTCGTTTTGGAGCACTCTTTGGAGGTCAGCCTGCTGGCCCTGCAGATTACCCAGGTGTCTCTCTTTCTGCAAGAATGAAAATCTCGATACGGAATATAGTTAATCTGAGGACACCTCGAACCTACATTAGTGTTCTTGCGAGCGTGAGTGCCGCCCTCCAGTGTCTTAATCTCCTCTTTAAGCTTCTGGTGCTCCACCTGCAAAACGTTGATCATGTGGTTCTGCTTCTTGAGTCGCTTGGCCTTTTCTTCGAGCAGACCACGCAGATCTAACTGGAGACCCCGATGCTGACGCTGAAGCCTCAGCAGTTCGGCAGTGGCTAGTTGGTCCAGCTCGTTTTGGTCGGCCATGTCTTTGGGTAAGTTAACTAAATGTCTCCGTCTAATAAGAACTATGATTTTCTTATTATTGATTTAAAAAGTAAACAGCGTTGCTGCGAGATGGTTGCTTGGTAACGGAAATATTGTGGTTAATGCTGATTGAACCGTTGTTATCCTCTATAACATAGGACTTTCATTTTATGTTTTACGCCATAACCAGGAATACTAACATAATATTCATTTATAAATATAAAAAATGTTCTTTATTGAGACAAATTGTTTATTAATTCAATGAATATCAGAAATTAAATTATTATTGAATCTTAATCAAAAGTTCCTAGGAACTAATACCCTAAGATTCGATCATTTAAAATTTGGTGTTGTTATTTAATTTTTTTGTATATTGCTAATGTTTCATACCTAATTTTTTATACCTATATTTCTGTTTAAAAAATTGCCTCATTCCGGAGAGACTGCGTACAGATGATAGAAGGAAAAGTGGAGGATCCCTGCAGTCGAGGGTTCCAAGTGAAGGATATATACCTGGACAAACTGTAATTTTAAACAAACAGTAACAAACTGATTTGTGGCTTCGGTAAAAATATACCGCGTGCTCAACAAATTTATAGTATAATTGAAGAGTCTATGCAGACTACATAAAGCTGGAGGCAGTACTTTCCATTAATTATTTGTAAATATACAACGGACATACGGGCATGTCTAGATCGACTCGGCTGATATTCTACATTCTTCTACATTCTTCCCAATTATATTTAATTCAATTTAACTGTTAAGCATTTCATTTACCAATCTATAACTAAGCTCTGTATCCACCTCATAGACTCTTTAGTTTCTTATTCGACCGTCTTCAAATAACCATTATTATCGAAAAGTTTAGTATATATAAAATCAAAGCCGATTTTGATGTGTCAATTAGTCATTTATCGGGGTAGGGACGAGCTTAATTATGAAAATTCTTAAAATTGGTTTAAAATTTTAAAATTTAAAATGCGCGGCGGTTCTCGTTTCTTTCGATCCAAGAAGTGTCATCTCTATCGATAGACTCACGAAACCTATCGGCTGATTGCTGGGCGTTTCACAATTTTTTTATTTTGGAAAACAAAACAAACGGCTACAAAGGACCCCATCATGCTTGTTCTGGTACTCGGCGACCTGCACATCCCGCACCGCTGCAGCAGCCTACCGGCCAAGTTCAAGAAGCTGCTGGTGCCGGGCCGCATCCACCACATCCTGGCCACCGGCAACATCTGCACCAAGGAGTCCTACGATTACCTCAAGTCGCTGGCCAATGACGTGCACATTGTGCGCGGAGACTTTGACGAGAATCTGAGCTACCCGGAGCAGAAGGTGGTCACCGTGGGTCAATTCCGCATCGGTCTGTGCCACGGACACCAAGTGGTGCCGCGAGGCGACCCAGAGGCACTGGCTCTAATCCAGCGGCAGCTGGACGTTGACATCCTGATCACGGGGCACACGTACAAGTTTGAGGCATACGAGCATGGCAATAAGTTCTACATCAATCCAGGCTCGGCCACCGGAGCCTTCAATCCGCTGGATAGCAATGTGGTTCCCTCTTTTGTCCTAATGGACATCCAGAGCACCACGGTGGTCACGTACGTGTACCAGTTGATCGGCGACGAGGTGAAGGTGGAACGGATCGAGTACAAGAAGATCTAGGGTCGCCAGTATTAGCCAACAGCCATTCCTAACCCCGACCCTCTCATTCTGAGCTTGGCTTTATTAAAGAAATTGTAAATGTATGTAGCAATAAATCGAGTTCTCATGTTTTTTATCTGATAAAAAATGCGCTGACGTCTTATTTTAAATAAAAAAAAATTATCGAAAAAATTCGTCTATTTTCCACCAAACTGGGAAGAACTTCGAACTGCTTAGAATAGTCTCGGGTTGCGAATTTAAATCTTGAAGACCGACAGCAACCAAAATGCGATCAAAGCTTGAAAATCCTGACACATCGTCAGACGCTGCCCCCAGAAATATTTTAATTTATTTTCCCTTCCAATTATCTGATAAAAAATGTTTAAATTTTATTTAAATAGAATATAAAAAGAGAGTTATTTCTGATGATCGAGTGAAGAGTCTGCTTAAAAGATCGAATTCGTGCTCTCCGTTATCATTAAACACACTCTCGATATATATAAATACATTGGGTTTTTTTTTTTTTTTTTTTTTGTGGGCATCGATTTTCCATACAAATAAATTATTTAAATACTCTTCCCACTTAGCCAGAATAGCAAAAGTTTTGGCAACACGTCATTAATACAATCGGGGTTTGGTACGAAAAGTTTGATCAGAATCTCGGAAGTAAGAAAGATTTGCACTTAACATTAAATACAATTATGATTGCTGCTGACTGGCTAATGCTGTTGTTGTTGCTGATGATGGTTGGAGGACAAGCAACGGATTGGATCCCTGGCATGGGCTATCACAACCACATTAGCCGAGGCTGTCTACGCACACAGTCTTTAGGGTCTTGCCGACAATGGTGGTCTTATACTGCTCCGGTAAAGCCAACTCGGTCTGCAACGAAAAATACAAAACATTAATGCAAATGGGATAACAATATAAACATGAGAAAAACTCACATAGTCGCCACTTGCGTCGGGCAAGAGAATGTTCATCTCGGAGGACTTCGAGTTGACTATCTCCACGCCCAGCGAGTCCTTGGACAGATACATCTGGCAGCCGTCGCTCTTGTCAATTGAAACCGTTGGCACCGATCCGAGCACCTGCATCTGAACGCTCTGGCAGTTAACGAACTCCACAGAGGCCACCACAGAGTCGAACAGCAGCGAGCACTTCTTGCATGAGTCAAGAACGATGTTGTTCACCTTGCCCTTAACGGTCAGCGTGGAGCCCTCGCAGCGGAACATGTACACAACGTTGTTCATCTCGGCGTTCTCCACCAGCAGTCCGGTGTTGTTCTTCTGGTACTCGATAATCCACTTCTTGCCATCACGCTCGAACACGGGAGGCTTGGTAGGAGCCGGGCCCGAAGGTGCGCTGCTCGAACTTCCGCCGTATTGGGCAGGCGACTTAAAGGGAGCCGGTCCGGTACGCAGGGAGGGATTCTTGTGGGTCTGCATATCCCCGGTGACCTTCTTCAAGTCTAAAAGGGAATACAATTAAACTAATTAGTACATTTTTCAATTAATCAACTGTGAAGGCGTACTCTTGGTGATGTCGGCGCCTTGATTGATTTGAGCGAACAGGGCGCTGCGATCATCTCCAGCGCTATCCAGCTTCATGGCGCTCAGATCCAATGGCGGCGGTGGTGGGGGCATGCCTCCAGGTGGCGGCGGTGGTGGAGCACCTCCAGCGGGTGCAGCTCCCTTGCCGGACCAAACCAGACCAGTGGTATGGTACTGGCGAATATAGGCCTGCAATTCGGTCAGCGTCTGCACCCAGGAGCGAGCCCACTCCACGTGCTTAACATCCTTCTCCTTCCACTCCTTCAGCACGCGGTTCGTGTAGAACTGTCCAGCATCGTTCATCTCCTTCACATATGGACCCGGGGTCTTCTCCACACACACCCATCCCAGAGCGGGGATGCTCTCACTGATGGCCGAAAGGTGGTTGAAGAAGGGCGAGGAACGGTGCTTCTCGCGGAAGTCCTGGATGGCGCTGATCTGCGTCGAAGTTGGCTTCAGAAGCTCCGCCTGCTTGGGCTGCGCCGGTTGAGCGATCTGCGTGGCTAGCGTCACATACTGCAGCTGAAAGCTGTTCATCCGAAATCACAACATTAGACCAGCTATTTGGTCAATTTTAGAAAGTATAACTTACCCAAAGGCGCTCTTCACGAGCTCAGCGTGGTGAGCTACATCGCCGCCAATCTTGGCGGAGAGAGACAGATATTGGCTAAGCGGACCCGCCACAATATCCTCGAATCCTGCTACACTCATATTGTTGCTGCTGCAAGGCGGCGGCGGCGGCGAAGGTGGTGGTGGTGTTTCTACCTCTGGTAATGCTACTGGAAGAGCGTCCTCTACTTCTTCTTCGGTTGGCGGGGGCGGGAGAATGGGCGTGGGTAATTCAAGCGGCTGAGGCTGCAACTGCTGCGGCGCCGTAAGAGTCCGTTCCAATCGGTCAACGAGGGTCTCCAAACGTTCGCAAATGCTTTCCAAGTGCTCGACAGAAGCCGCGGGCTTGGCTTCCGGCTCGTTATCTGCACCAGAATATGAGTAAAAAGAGAAATCATTATTTTAAGCCTGTTTAGTCTCTTCATATTTATTCACATTTAGAAAAATGTAACTAGAACATTAAGAAAAAATATCTAGGTGAAGAAGTGAAATTATTAGCGTGAAAACCCCCTAGAAAGCGTGCACTGGCATCTTTCACTAAACACAAATATTATCAAATTAAAAGTTCACGTCTAGGGATTTACCCATGACAAGTGTGCGGAGGATGGTCGGTGACGAATGACAAAAGGAAATACAAAGCTAAGCCCAAAAAGTCGATAAAGGAAACGGAAAACCACATGCAAGTAAGACACAACAAATTAACGAAAAGGCATGACAGAGAAGATGATCCTTTAAACAAAGGCACTATTGAAAGACTAGTGTCTTGTTTCATTTGGCAAATAAATTAAAAACAGTCCAAGTAACGAATAAGAGATCCAAAGAAAATCAATCGGAGTCTGTCATACCCCGCACGGCCACGCTGTGCTCCACAGCCGCATGAGCGGCTCGCAGGAGCTCCGTGTAGAGGCGCTGGCGCTTCAACTCCAGCTCGTCGCGTCCCACCGGCGTGACCGGTGGCTCGATGCAACCGCTGGACATGGAACAAAGTCATAGGAGAGGATATACTAAAAATGGCGCAGAACGCGTGGAATCAACTGAAAGGCCTGCTCTGGTTTCGCACGGGCTGAATGCCTTTCTTCAAAGTTTAAACTTACTCAGAAAGTTGAGATCTCAGATTTCTTAATTTTAAAACCCCGAAAATAGTAATAAACTTATAATTTTGAATCTAAGTAAAAGCCATTCTGCAGAATGCTTTTCCACCGACTACCTAGATCCCCGTTTAGAGATCCCTATTCACAGAAGTCTGTCTCGGACTTGGTACTAATACATGAATAGATTAAAAGAAACCTGATAATAGAGTCGCGAAACCAGAACCGGCCATAAGAGAACGCTTCAGTAAGCAGCATACATTTCGTTGAGTCGCTCGTCGTCAAACCAGGAGGGCAATCCGTGGGCAAAGGCCAGTGTCTCTGACACGAGATCCCCCTCGATATACGGCGCACACATGCTCTCCCGCTTCGGTGGTGGCAGTGAGTCGGAGAACACCTCATCGTCGTCCAGAAGCGACCCTTGGTTTTGGCTAGCAATCACAAGCAAAGACAGCGGTTCCGGCTCAATGATCTCCGCCCGGTTGCTGATGTTCACCTTCTTTTTGATTGACTGATGTGTGGAGTTGTGCCTGGAAAGGCAGCTCTTCGTAGGTGGCGGTTGGGGTGGCGGTGTGGTTGCTGTAACAGCCGCCACCACTACGTCATCCTCTTCATCCGCCCCGGCGCTGGTCATTGAAGCAGGTGGTGCCGTGGACGTAGAGGAGTGCGTGGAGCGGGCTAATGTTTCTGCCTCTACAGCTGGCTCAGGTGCTGGTGCTGAAGTTGGTGATTTATTAGCCGCTTCAGCCGGAGTTGGATTGACTGTGGAAGTGTTGCTTAAGATTACTATACATGATGACTTTAATGGCAAAAACGATTATCAAGGAAAGCGCCGATACTTCAGTTGATTACTTCACTTTACTCTTGGTTATCTTGGCTTCCTGGTCGCTCATGGCCTTAACTTGTGTAATTTATCGCATTAAAAAAAGCATTTTCAATAATTTATTTATTACTCCTATATTAATGATATGCACTGATCAAAGTGAATAAATCTTTGCAATAAAATATCATGATGCAATATGAATATTTACTGATATTTGATAATGATATATATAGGGTTTATTTAAGGGAATTGTGCCCAAAATTACCTGCCTGCTCAAGCACATTAGATACAGAATATAAACGTATACCTTTTCGACCTTTTGAAATTTGGCTAGTATTGTTGGTGTTTTTCTTTATAATTAAGCTATATTGCTAAATACATACATATATTTAAATATTCACAAGTTATTTTTAGAGCAAATACTTTGTAAGCAAAAAAACCAAACTCATCTAAAATAAAACATAGCCTCGATTTAAATTTCTATACTTGTGACCTTCCTTGTACAATCATACATGCGTTCACTTTGAGCGATGTGCATGATTTAATCGTCAAAAAAATAAAAATTATACTTATATAGTATGAATAATGTCTGTCATTAAGTATTTCTAATTAATCAACTTGAAATCGGCGCTTTTCCTTAATATAGTCCACATTTACATATATAAAATATTCAGGAAGTGCAGTGGAAACCAACTAAAAAGTGAACTTAAACAGGCTTCAAGGGCCTCTCGAAGTACTAAAGTTCAAAATGAAAAGCCAGGATGTAGAACTAAGCTCCTGGTCAGAGCTGCAGTAAATGTGCAGTGATCCGGGGCTCGTACCGGAGAGGACACGAAAGCCGAGTGCTCTCTGCCCAGCTGTTGAGCTGCCGGATAGGTGGAGAGAGGAGTGTGTATATACTTATATACTTAGGGATGTGACAATACCAGTAGTGTCGGTATTTTCCTGGGCCTCTTCCTTCTTCGTCGGATTATCCGCTTCAGTTGGTTTTTCTGCCTTAATGGAAGGCTCCTGCACTGGTGGCTCCTTTTTTGAATCTTTAAGCGGTTCCTTTTCCGGTTTGCCATTTATCTGCGGTTCTCCCTTTTCGTTGGCCTCCTGCTCCTGCTGCGGCTCGGCGCTGTCCTCCTTGTCCTTGCTGGCCTTATCCTTTTTGCCTGCTTTGGCATTTGCCCGACAGCAGGAGAACATAGTGCTGACTCTTTTCTTGGAACTTACTGTGGGACTCTCAAAGACTCTAAATATGAAGCAAGCACATTATGTAATTGACATTCCTTGGCGGATTCGTTCGCTTCTTTTGCTTTGCTCAAGCGGCGGCGGTCACAACACTGGCAGCCATACAAAGGGCTTGGATTCGGTTAGCGGGCACTGGCAGAAGCCGCAAAGGTGGAGCCCGAGTGGCGACCACTCCTTGCTCATTTAGTTGTGTGTGTATCACTGCGGATGCGACGGCGGCGGTGGCGACACATTAAAGGCGGAACGAAAACAAGTTGGTCCACGAAACAGACGAATCGCTCCGGACTTCCAACTGGGTCAACAGGACTAAGGAACACAATTACAATTTTCACACACACACACACTATTGAAGAACACACCCTAAACGGAGCGCACGCCCACGGTTCGGATTCGGAGTACGCTTTCGGAGTTCTGACAGGACAGGAGTCACCCGCTGCTAACTCGCTGTTAGTAGCAGATCTGTAACTCTGTTACAACTTGAAACTTTAATTTTGTTGCCTTTTTTGGGGAAAAGCGACTCTTGACCATTTGGGGCCAGCTATCGAAGTGGCAATGAAAATGGATTTCGCATTTGGAGCCGGCAGGATTTTGTGCAAGCTTCAAATCTTGCACAATTCGCAGCGATGGAGAAAGCTTCGACTTGAATTGCCGGAAAATGGGGGAAAACTCTCTGAGAGTGTATGCGCAGATGCTTTTTTCTGCTTTACTACTGCCAATGCCAATGAGTTTATTGCACCGGCGGCACACACAAGTTGTTTTTGTCTTTAAGTAGCTTAAAACAAATGGCTGGCAATTAAGAGTGGGAAATGCAGCAGGAAAAAGGAGGGGAGGAGATGGAAACTAAGCTGAGATTCAACTTTCGCCTGGCTCTAATACTAGTTCTTGTTTTTGTTGTTTTTCTGTTGCGGCAGATGCGTTTGTTGCGTGCAAAAAAGGAGGAAAAAACGAGAATGCCAGGCAGAGATTAAATGTCTGCAGCTGAGTTACCGTTATCTTCTGCGTGTATGAGTGGGCTCGAATTACTGCGCTAATGGAAAGCTGAAACCAGACGCCTTTTAAGGCCATGTATTTTTCCACATAACTAGTACTCTCCTCTCTCTGTACTCTTTTCCAGATACCCAACAAAGTTATTATTAACGCTGATAGCGCGTATTTTGGCCAACTTTTTGAGTCATCAGCGGCACAAACACAAACAACTGGGTTTGGTCTTGCGTAAACTATTTTGCGCCGGTGTGCGAAGGAGGGGCGTGTGAGTGTGCGTGTGAGTCAGCAAACAAAAACAAAAGATGGCCACAACAGCTGAGTAGTTATAATGTTATCGTATCGAGAGGGTTAACAACCACGGCGCCTGGAATATTCGCTGGGCAACTAAGGGTTAATTTGCATACACTTGCTGACAATTAATTGCGGCATGGAATCGGGGATGTGAAATCATCGTCAGAAATACACTCGATATACAGGAGACCTTGTGTGTGTATGGGTGTGTTGTGGGAATTTAATTTTACAAACAAAATGAATCACACAAAAATAGCCATCACATCTAAATCCAAAAGCACAGCTGTCCCTCGTCTTTTGTCTCTCTTCCACCACAAGAGCAAACACCCACATCATGCAAACACACACTCGCGCAGGCACTAGGACACCGACATCTCCACCTGCCCCCGCCCAAAAGATATTCAGCAGACAGCCTGGCCGGCGAATTAAACTAAATTATATTCGCAAAACAATACTACATGAAAAGCCCCGCCTAAAACAACTAGGGTGCGACAGAGACAGCGGCCGGCGAGTATTACTCACCTTATTTGTTGCTTTATTTGGCAAATAAATGCAATTTTCACTTCACAAGAACACAGAGGCAGAACCGGCAAAGGCGAAAACAATAGCGAAACAGAGCTGCAAAAGCGCGATGTCTTTATCGGTACAATCAACCTTTTTAAAAATGGCGATATATCGAAATGAAAAAATCGGTGTTACCGGACTAGCGCAACATGTCTGGTGTGAATAATTGGATTGGCAACATTGTTGTCATCTGGTCACATTGAAGAACACGTACGTCTGAGAGCGCATCGGTTAAAACGAAATAAGCTTGGATAACACGATGACCCCGCGCCCAGAGTGACTGAGCAGTTCGACAATCGACCCTGGACAACCGTGGGTAAGCCCCTAGGTCCTCTGGAATGGCGATTAACGATGTGCATCCCTTTTGCAGGTTATGTCCGCTTGTGTACACTGCGAAGGGGAACCGAAGAAGCAACAGGAGCGGACTCCGAGTCGAAGAGAGCGCACATTCCACCGCCCGCCGCCGCCAGCATGATCACGGTTCTCTGCCTGCTGCTTGGCAAGCTGCTCTTCCTCCTGGTTGTCGGCTACGAGCTGCTGCAGCGGCTCCGCGACCGGCTAAATGCACTGGCCCGACGGTCATATGACCTCTGGCGCGGCGACGCAGCACGTGAGCTACATGAGCGGCGCGTGCTCGCCGACTGCCGCTCCCAGTTGACCAAGACGCCGCAGCATTTGGTGCTGGTGATCTCGCCCAACGACGGCTACGTAGATGCGCTGCTCCTCAAGCGCATCTTCGCCTTCGCCCTGGACGTCGGTGTCAAGCATGTCAGTGTGTACGATAAGCGGACGAAGGGTAGCGGCTTTGTCGAACTGGCCGAGCTGTGTCGTTCGGCCAACGAAGGTAGCAGCAGATGCCACAAGTGGCCACCAAGTCCAAAAAAGCCGGAAAGTGATTCAAGAAACGGGCAAAATACCAATGGTTATGCGAACGGTGCAAGCAGTTCGCTCTTTCCCCAGCAGTTGCAGGTGAGTGTGTGCTGGTAAACGGAAACTGATAACGGGGCAAGAAAGTGATTACAGGGAAGAGATCGAATATCTTCATACCCTAAGACTAGGGAAATACATTTGCATTCTTTTTCGATTTCAAAAATGCTACAAAAAGCTGATTATTATATTAAATTTAGACTATATAACGACTTTTTACCTTAAATATTAAGTTGCCTTTTTTTAAAACCTTTTCGATTGGTTTTTAAACAATGCACTTCTTTTTACCCTTTCCGTAAGGATCTTACGAAATGTTATTAAGTTTGTTTGAAACTTTGACAAAGTTTAAAACCATTTTTAAACCGAATTTTTTTATTTAAATTTAACTTTTTTTTATTTATATGATCTTATTTAAAGTTATAAATATTACGCAGAATTTTATTCAGAACCTGTAAATTTATTCAAAAACAATCATAAGAATAAAAACTTCTGTTTTATTGACGATTCGAACTACAAAATAAACAAGTCATTACAACTCTCATTCAAGCCAATAACAATCAAGATAAGATTTTGCTTTTCAATAGTTCCCTTGTTGATCCTAATGGTCAAAGTACAACATTCTTAATAATTTGTTTAATGTTGTTTGATGAAATGTTATATACATGCACTGTATTAAACTTTTTTAATCAACGCCTATAAATTTGGAAGTCCAATTGGAAGAGTACATATTTGAACCAATTCTCGGAACTATTCGTTGTCTTATCAGTTTCTAATTAAGTTTCTTATTGGCTTTTCCGTCTTGCAGCTCTATCAAATCGGTGACTCTGATGGACATGCCCTCATAGCCGACGTGTGTCGGGAACTGTATGAAGAGAGGAAGACGCCGTTGGTGGAAAATCTACTCAGACAAAAGCGCGAAGCGCTCACCGAGCAGATCAGTGGTATGCTGACCAAGCGACTGGGCTTTGTGGCACCCGAACCGGAGCTGGGCATCGTGTTCGCGCGGCAGACATGCACCTTCGGCCTGCTGCCTTGGCATGTGCGCTTCACCGAGTTCCACACGCACCCCAGCGGACGATACTTTGACGTGGAGACTTTCGCCAGCATCCTGTGCAAGTACTCGCGGTGCGAACAGCGCTGGGGCAAGTAAGAAGTGGGCTTTAGAGCCCTTATATTAACTAGTTACCTTAACTACTTATATGTAAATTATCGCCAGGAATTCCTCTAGCACGTAAGAATAAACCGCAAGATTGTATTGTTCATAATGAAGTGTATGTATGTATTCGGGGCAGGTATTTGGGGATTTAAGATCTTTGGGTTTACATGTAAGTGGGCAGACTTAGAGGCTATGGTTAGAAGTATTGTATTTTGCTCATTTCGGGGGAGTCTCTTGCTCCTGCTATTGCCCACGCCTACTCTCTCTCTGGCTCAACATGACGCTTGGATAGCAGACTGACGTCGGTCAGATACTTGTTCTTGTCAATGTTGTGGGGCCCGGGACCCGTGGGCATACGCTCGTGTAGCAGATGGAAGGAGTTTCGCAGATCCTCAAGAGAGTCGGCGAGACCCTTCTTGATGTTGGCAAACTCGCTCGACATCAGCGACAGCTTGCCCAGCAGGTAGTTGAGGTTCTCGTCCATATCGATCATGTGCTTCTTTGTTTCCTCCACCTTGCCGCCCAGTCCCATCATAGTGGCCAAAGTGCTGTTGATGTATCCATCGGAAGCAGACTGGATGACGCCCAGCATTTCCCGGCTCTGGCTGATTTCGCCAGCCATGATCTCAATGCGATGCCAGACCTGACTCAGCTCCGTGTCCAGGAGTCCGCTAAGGTTCTTGTTCGCCTCCTGCTGAGTACTCACAATGGCGCCATCCAACGCGGAGAAGCGCTCCTTGAGCAGTTGGGTCAGTTGAGTCCCCTGCTCACCGAGCAGCTTACCCACCCGTTGCACCACGTTCAGGGTGCCAAACTCCACCTTCCGTTGTGTGTCCAAAACCACCTCCGAGTTGGTCATCATTATGTTGTTGAATTTACCCAGTGCCTCCAATCCCTCGGTCAGCTTGCTGTTGCTCTCGTTGGCCGCGGTCAAGTATTTGTTGAGAGTTCCCACGTCATTGGTAAGCTGGCGGACGTCCGCCTGGATGTTGGCCTCCGTCTGCTGCAGTTGCTCCGTGGTCTCCCGCAAGGCTTTGTAAGGGGAAAGAAAGATTAGTGCTTTTGTGAATTAAAATTTAAGAATAGAGGCGTGCACCCACCCGATTTTTGAGACGCCAGATTATCGTTCTTAAGCTGCGCCAAGGCATTTAGTGTATCGTTATTCAACTCCTGAATATAGGACCGATCCTTCTCGTTTAGACCGACAGGCGGAGCAGGACGCTGAGCACTCTCGCTTAACTGTGTCACCTTTCCTTCCAAGTCTTTCAGACTATTCAATAGCTGAGCCTCGAACTCATCGTTCTTGGGCGGAGCAGCTGTAGTCACTAACGCCGCCGCTGCGGAGTGCTGCTGGAGCTTGGCCTCGATCTGAGCAAGCAACTCCTTGCCCTTGGGGAGAGTGTCGAAATTCTGCTGAGTTTGGACAGCAGCTTTCTGACTATTCTCCTTGAGCAAGGCCACGCTGGCTGATAGTTTCTGGACTTCCTCCAGTAACTGTTTGTTCACGCGCTGCTGCTCCTCCAAGAACTCCTTGGGAATGGTGGGAGCGGTGGCCGGAGCCGGAGCGGCGATCAGCTTGGAACTGACCGGTGGTCTCTTGAAACACTCGTCGTTCTCGCGCATCCACTTGAACATGTGCTCCGTGGCCTGGCTGAATCTATCCGACTGAGTGTTGTACTTTTCCTCTTGCTAAAGATATTGGTTTATAAAAAAATAGGTTTTTTAATATTCTGAAACTATTGTTTTTATTCTAAATTATTATACTTTTTAAAATATGCACGGATGCCACGTAATAAACAATGATTCTTAATAGTACAAAATGTATAGAAAATAAGTGTGTTTATAAGCATATTTTTAAACAGCAGAATTGTGTAGATTTTTTTCATTTTAAGTTTGAAATTTAAATTTCGAATAATTTTACTATACTTTAAATAGAACATTTACATTGGATTTTAAATCAACGTGATATAAATATGATAAATACCTTATCTACCAGACTATTTTTGATGACTTACTGTGATGAGCATGGTCTCTATTTGGCTGACCCTCTCGTCCAGACGCCCAAAGATTCCATTGATTGGCTCCAAGCTCTTCTGGCCTTTCTGCAGTGTCTGCAGTGCCTTCTTCAGCAACTCGCCGAGGGCACGCTCGCGATGCTCGTGCCGCTCCAGTTTATTGTCCAGCTGGTTGTAGGAGTAGATCAGCGACTGGATGGTGCCACGCAGCTCCTCGTTGCTGCAAGGAGTCGGGGGACACGGAGTTTTCTTAAAATTAGCCTCGCTCTAGGTCATTAATCATCGGCAGTGGGACTGGGGGATATGCAATGGACGGGACCACCACCAACAGTGCCTGTGCGTCTATAAATATTGAGGGGTCGAAATCATGGATGGATATATGGATAAGTGGTGGTGGCCCGGCTCTCAGGGTCAGGAACCCTCTTTTTCTAATCCAAAGCTGTGTGAAGTGCACGACGGTGCCGACGGATAAGAGCATGGATATAGGGGAAGCAGACAACACATGCTGCTCTATTCCACACCAAGACACCCTCCCCAGTTCCCAGTTCCCAGTCCCATTTGCATGAAGTGTGCACTAAAACATGCCTGGTCCCATCCCAAGTCCGAAAATAAACAAACAAATAAGCGGAACAGCCATCATCTTGGCTTCCCTTTGAAGGCATTAGTCATTAGTGTATGTGGATGTAGATGATGCTGTGCATGCGATGCGGATGCACCCATCCGATGGCCAGGCGCCGACCGAAAACAGTCAGTTTGATGTCTTACACATTTCGCTAAAAACTCCCAGTACAGTGGATGCCGCCAGATAGGATAGGAATAGGAACCACTCTGGCGCTGGAGCCAAGTGCGAACGAATGTGTGACATGTGTCCAAAGCCATAAAAAGAGGAGAGCTAGGAAATGTGTATGGTTCCTTTGAATCGCGGGATTGGGACGAGGGTGAGCACTTGGAAAGTTGGAGCATCCAATTACCACCCTCGTATGAGAGATATGATCGCAGATTTATAGTTCTCCGCCCTGAGTGTCTCACTCAAAGTAATTGGACTCGTAAAACTTGTTCATTTTAATGGCCTTACATCTAGATGGGATCTTATTGAATGCATTTCCCCTCAATTTCATTAGAACTTTGCATAAAGCAATTAATATGAAGTGAATAAATGGGAAAAAGGAAGTGGGGATGTGGCTAGAAAGATCCGTGTTTAAATACAAACTGAATAAAAATAATACAAAAAAAAAAGGATATACATTTTCGAATCGGGACCTTCAGCTGGCAAGTCTTTACCACCATTTTCTGATCCTTTGTATTTATAAAGCATTATGCTTTATTATATTAAGGAATTGGGGACATCTTTAGTAATTAAGTCGGTCGATCTAGTTTACTTACGTGACTGGCCCTGCGGCAATTGTCTGCCATTGAGCGACTGCAATTAGAGCCAGGAATACTAATTGGAGTGTCCGACGGCCCTCGCCCATGGTGCGTGTAAGTGCAGTGCGTTTCCGATCTTTAATTGGGATGCTGCGAGGCAAATCCGATGCGTGATCTGTGGATAATCGAACGGGAGCTGAGTCAAATGGATAGATATAAATTGCAATGTAAATTGCAATGAACATTACTTTGGCGTCGTTCGCCTTGAGCTGCAATCGGTTGTTTTTTCAGAGGTGTTTCCTCCCTATGAATTACATCAACATTTTGTTTATAACAAAATATCTATGAACTAATAAACAAACCAAAATTGATGTGCCGTCTTTATGGGGGTGCAAACAAATAATAAAGAACTGCCGCTGATTTGCAACAGAAACAACTGCAAACAAAGCAAATTGGTTCCTTGTCCATTGTGCAGCTAGACCTCGCAGAATATATATAGAGCTATATAATCGTCGATATTGTTCTTGCGGCGATAAACAAATGACGCAAAAGTATCCACTGGGCGACTGCATGTGCCAGATTCTCCTTCAAAAGGGAGAGGAAGTGATGCATTTGGGAAATTGGGTCAGAAATATGCGAAATGAAATTTACGAGCTCAAAAAAAATTCACATCAACCGCATGAGTTAATGAGTGATGAATTGAAAATGCCTATATATAAATATAGAGAACGAGAACCTGAACCTATTTTGTTTATTGATAAGGACGCTGGCTTGGGTTAAAGGTTGATAAATTGTGATCGTCGTTAGGGACATACATATACAATAATAAGAAAGTTGTTTCATATTTAATTAGATTTCTTGGTCGTAGTTAATTTAAGAATATACTCACTTTCCTATTAAATGTTTTTTATTTCAGGGCTAGAGTCGGGCACAAACACTGGAAGGGATCACTTTGGTTTACTGAGCACTATTACTGAACGTCCTCACTGCTCGAGTTCAGAGCGATGAATGATTCTGGCGTCTAGTCCAGAGGGGATGTGGATCCGATCCGTATGCCGCCACTCTCCCCACTCTGCACTTTTCTCAGCGGCTGGAGAGCATCGCAGCATCGCTCGTATATGTTTTTAATAAAATGTAATTAAAAGCGAGATGAGATGGTGATGAGTTCCCGCATCACACTCAGTCTGGGTGGTGTGCCTCCGAATCAAAATTCAATTTATATTAATACAAAACCATTGAGTGCAAACAATGCAAACAAATGATATGGGTGCCGAACTTTATATGCTTTTGCGGCGAAATCAACGCAATTAAAGTTTTGAATATGATGCATCCCAAATCGATTAATTGAGATGCTCAGCGGCCCCAATTTAATTTAATTTATACCGGCGCCAACTCCCAGATATATCAATCAAAGCAAAGAAAAAAATAACTGGAAAGTTTGGTCAATTTTACAATTGAATGATCCGAGGGATAAATATCTTAATTTTTTCTCTTTAGAGTGTCCTTAAAAGTAGGCTTAAACTCTGCAAAATATTTAAATAACATATAAGCTCCCACAACACAATATTGCTTAGAACAAGTCGCAGAAGTTTAACAAACGACGAAAATAACTCCTAATATTATTATCTGATATAAATTAATCATTCACCGGCTAACTATTCCATATCTGAATACTTAATCCATAAAATCCACAAATTTAGTTTTATTATTTTTAAATTGCAACGGGTATAAGTGTCATCAAATTTGGTAGAACTTACTTTAATAAGGGTTATAAAAATTCTATTAAAATCACATCAGACAAAAGGATATAACAAATTTTTAAAAGCCGATATTAAAGTTTTAGATTCTAAAACACACATTTAATTAAAATGATTTTCTCTTTATTGAACTGAAAATCTGAATTTGCCGCCAACCCAATCACTTCCATTCACTGGGAACGTAAAATTATTGCGACGCAAGGCGAATGGCATTTCAGCTGGAGCGAAAGAAGAAGATCCAATAAAAACAAAACTTGCCGCAAACAAAAATAAATATTTCATTTCGAGTCACTTAGAAACATCAAGATGCCCACCTTGATAGCGTTAGATGCATCGCTTTCTATGCTGCGTCCCGTTCCAGGAAGAAATGAGCACACCTACCAATCGCTGGCTATCAAAGGCATCCAGCACCTGCTAGACAATCTTTCGGCTGCGGGCAAGCTGGAGCACCTAGCTCTTTTGTCCTACACGACCACAGCGGAACTGAAAGTGGACTTCACCAGGGACTACGATCAGATTCGGCAAGCGGTCAAGAAGGTGGAAGCCGTGGACAAGGCCTGTCTGATGAGTATGCTCAAGGCGTCCGTCTCCATAATGTCCACCTGGGGTTCCCAGAACATCCTGCAACTGGTGGTGTTTACGGACTGCGGTCTCGGCTTTGGTAGCACCTCGGTCTCTGGATTCCTGGACGCCATTGCCAGCAACGATGCAGACTCGGACTTCGCCTGGTTGAAAACACTGACCAACTATAACGTGAACTTTATCTGCCTGGGACTGCATGGCGACCACTACTTCACCAGGGGACTAGCTGTGTATCAGCAGCTGCTGGACAAGGCCGGGTTAAAGGGTGAGTCCCAGAATGCTAGCTTTTAAGGTGCTTTAGATTGATATCTCATGAACCGTTCCTAGGCCAGCTCTTCATGACCAAGCCAGCGAAGAACACTGAGACTGTTGAAGGTAATTCAAATCCCAATCCGAATCCCAGTCACAAAAGCGAACTTGGACGCACCACCGTTTTCGAGCTAATCGAGCGTCTGTGCGAGACGAGCTACAAATCCACGGAGGTGACTCTCAAATGCGGCAGCTACTTCCGCATGGAGGCGCCCGTATTGCTCTGGCCACCCACTGCTCCCTATGAACAGCCGTCGCCGGTCTTCGGCAGAGAACCCACGCTCCGACACATCGATCAACGGATAGAGGTGTGCGGATTCCTAGCCCTCTCTGATATCGGTTCACCGGCCACCATGAGTCGCCACTGGGTGCTGCCGAAAGTGGACCGGGAGAAGAGTGGAGGAAGTCGCCGGTCAGGAGGTCTGCCTGCTGCCGCCAAGCCGCCGAAGCTCAACCTGGACACCAACAATCCGAACTACGAGCTGGAGAAGCTGGAAACGGATATACGAGAATTTTACGCCAAGGATCCAAAGGATACCGAAGAGAGTGGCGATGATGCGGATGTAACCATCGTTGTGAAACATTCTTCAGGCCCGCAAACAGAACATCAAAAGGAAAACCTATGCGTCCTCCTTCACGGTGCACTCAAACTGGAGAACATGGCCGCCTTAGTCCAAGTGTCCGATAAGTGGTACGGATTCATCTATGCATTTACCGACAGCAAGAAAAAGTCAAATCTAATGCTTAACATACTGCCGCCGGGTACCAATGTAATACCTTGGGTTGGTGACTTGGAATTACTGGGATTTCCCGAGGACCTTGTCCCAGGCGAATCGGCCAGCTTTCCGGTGCGTGCTGATCGGCGGTCCTATTCCCAGAGCAGTGTTGTGTGGATACGACAGGCTAGCCTACAATCAGACGTTCAAAAAGTCCTTCGGCATGCTAAGAAGATGCCGGACAAGACGCAAAATTTTTACAAGGAGCTCAATCGGATACGACGGGCCGCTTTGGCCCTGGGATTTGTCGAGCTGCTCGAGGCCTTAGCCATGCTCCTTGAAAAGAATGCGCGCACCTCACCATTAACGGAGCCAGCAACGAGTGCACCATGCAACTGCAACACGCGGCCACAGAACTACGAAAAACCTCGAATAGGGATATTAAGTCAACTATCGTGCCGCTGCAGAAAGTTGGTGGTGCTTCTGATACAGGAAGCACAGCTGCCACGGCCCCTGCTCCTGGATATATGTATTAATAAAAAATATATATGCGCATTATCCTTTTTACAAAGGTATTTCTTTTTAATTCCTGAGCTCCGATATTTATTTAAGTTAAATAGCTTTATGAAATAGTCAATATCATTTATATATCATTTTACATATTAGTAAATATAATATTTATTTTTATAATAATAAATTTACCCAAATAATGGTTAAAAAATTATATATGCTGTTTACAGTTTACATAAATAATAATATTCATATTTTATGGGGAAACAAGGTTATTTAAAAAAAAGGATTTTATTGACGAATTGCGACCAGATTATGCATTAAACCATCGACGATTTTGTATATTAAATATATATGTTTTCTTTCATATTGTAAAAAATATGATGGCTTTTTATATTTAGAGAATAGTAAAACAAATATTTAAATTATTCTTTTGGTTTAATTTATTAAAAAAAAAATTACTAATGATAAACTTTTAACCCAATGGTATTTTACAGAATTATACTTTTAGACGTAGTTTTCGGTATTTATTATAGGCCTGGTTGGTATTTCTTATTGTTATCGGTTCGGTCACATTGATGTTATAGTTATTGTCAAAATAAGATAAATAAACAAAAACACCATGGGAGGTCCCGAATTACCTACAGATCCCGGCCACGAGATATTTCCAACCCCGGCGGTTGACCATCCACATATTGGAACGCAGAGCGACGACGATGATGACGAATCGGACGCATACGATGGTTACCAACCATTGGCCATGGATGAAGCAGCAGACCCAGCGATAGCCTCTGGGGAACCGGAGGTGGCCTCAGCTGCAGATAATGACGAAGATATCGACCTGATGACGGCCCCAGTCACTCACGGCGATCCGAATATGCCCCCGATAGAGTCGGCGGATGTCGAAATCGAGCGGCAAGTGTGGAATGAACCCAGGCCCAAAGAACTGCAAATGGAGCTAGATAAAGCGCGAACAGAACAGGTTACAAATAAAAAGGATATGATCTAAGGGTGCAATAACGTTTTGCTTCATTTCAGATCCTTAAGGCCATGTCCACCATAACCCTGCCCAACATTACGATTCCGGATTGGGCCAAAGGCGTACCCGAGGAGCGTTGGAAAGGTGAGCTGTTGGATCGAATTAACAACCGGCAACAGCAATCAGAGGATTCCTCGTCAGCGGACAAGCCCCAGCATTCCAAATCACATATAGTTTAGCGTGACAATTTTGTTATATTATATTAATCAAAAGTTTGCAAACTAGCCTTTCAGTTTCAGAACTATCTCCTCGAAACTTGGCATTAAGTATTCTTTCTGTTGCGAATAGTGTATCCATATATATAGTATATATATATATATATGTATATAGTACATCCATATACATATGTATTTATGTTGAGACAGGCGTGATCAGGCCGCCCTATCTTATGAATAAGAACGATCGGAAAAAAATCATTCATTATTTTATTATGCTATTATTTCAGAATGCTATTTTTATAATCGCAAGGGTATATAAGGTTTTGCTTGCGGAAGTTGGCTTCCTTTCTCGTTAAAAATATTAAGAGAAAACTAGTTAATAATTACAAAATTTGATATCAGAAATTTGTCGCTACTTTTAGAGTATATATGTATATACATATAAATATATTGATGGTGTCACAGCTGCAGCTCTTATTATATTTAGCAAGGCATTGGTTTATATATGAATATGATTAGTTCAATATAACATAAAAAACAACATTTCTTATAATAAATTTAAATAAAAATCTTATATGAAATGAAAGAAAGAAAATGAAAAAAAAAAAACAATTATTGTGTGGTTTATAAAAGAAAATATCAAATTGTTAATTTTAATTAATTATTTAATAATACAAAATGTATATATCAGATCAAAAGATTATAAGACATTTTTTTAAATCAGAATCAATATGTGACAAAACATCGATAGGCGCGATATAACATCGATGTTGGCGGCGGTGTTTCACCATCTCTAGCACAGCATTTAGTAATCAGGTGTTATTGTTTACTAGCTTTTCCACTAGTTGAATGGCAGATAAACGAATTATACATTACGTTTTAAAAGCATTAGTTTAATCTTTTGGTGTTTAATGTATTTTGATGTAACATAAAAGTAAAAAGTTTTTAAGCCGTTGACTGCTGGCAGTCACAGCATAAAACTTCTTCATCTGAGATCCTAGTAAACTGTTTTTGCTTACACGTCGGTTGCTCGAATCCGTTGGATAAACTGGGAACTATGGATTTTTCGAAGGTTACATTTAAGGAGGAATACCTGGAGGACGACACGGCAGCTCCGTCTCAGGTCAAAAACCAATTTATCATTAAAAAGGAATCCGAGGGCTGTCAGAAATACGATGAGGAAGATTCAATTACAAACCATTTCTCAGAACAAATAAAGACAGAAGTCATGGAAAGGCATGAGGAATCACTGGAAAGCGATAGGATGCACACTTACCAATTGGTTGATCCTGTCAAAAACGAAGTCATCGAAGAGGATATACAAGGATCGGGGGATATTTATACTTACCAGTACATCGATAATGGAGAGAGTGCAGTAACAGAAGAGGATGCACCAGAGGAGGAGGTGGATCCATTTGGTGATCCGTGCCAAGTAAAAAATGAGCCAATCAATGAAGAGTTGGAGTCAGACGAAGAAATCGATCAGTTTGATTGTCAGGTGAAAAGCGAGGAGATGGACGATGACTTAATGGAAGATGAGGAAGGCTATAATGATGACGATAACGCACAGGAAATCGAAAAAGCTGAAGATGAGGATAAGTATGCCAATCTCCCGCACAGGTGTCCAAATTGTCCGAAGGGATTTCGACTTTTGGCTCAGCTCAAAATCCACATCCGAGGACACACCGGCGACCGTCCACACAAGTGTAAAAACTGCTCAAAGACCTTCGGCACGGCTGCACACCTTAACCGGCACTACCGATCCCATACCGGAGAACGACCCTTTGAGTGCACGCACTGTCAGAAGGCCTTCACAGCTCTGTATCATCTCAAGGTGCATCTGCGAACCCACACGGGCGAACGGCCGTACCAGTGCCCGCACTGCCCAAAGACATGTATTGTGAAGGATAACCTCCGAAATCATATCCGCACCCATTTCGAGGAGAGGCCGTTCAAGTGTCCGCAATGCCCGAAAGCCTTCAAGGTGAAGCACAACCTCAAAATGCATATCCGAACCCACTCGGGCGAGAAGCCGTTCAGCTGTCCCCACTGTTCCAAGGCCTTTACGGGTGAACCGTATCTCAAAGTTCACATTCGGACACACACGGGCGAAAAACCGTACAGTTGTTCCCTCTGTACCAAGTCGTTCATCAATAGACAGTGCCTGAAGGTCCACTTTCGCACCCACTCGGGTGAACGACCGTACAAGTGCAACTACTGTCCAAAAGCTTTTGCAAAACACTCTGGGCTTACCGAGCATGTCCGGATCCACACGGGCGAACGACCGTACGACTGTTCCGTCTGCCCCAAGGCATTCATAACGAACCAGGATCTGAAGCGCCACATGAGAATGCACACGGGAGAGCGCCCTTTCAAGTGTTCCCTCTGCCCCAGTTCTTATACCCAGAACTATTCCCTTCAGGCGCACTTGCGGACACACTCAGGGGAAAGGCCGTACAAGTGCACAGAATGCCCCAAGGATTTCCAGTACCAAACGAGCCTAGAGTCCCACATGCAAACCCATTTTGGGGTAAGACCCTACCATTGCACCGAGTGTCCAAAGACCTTCGTAACGAGCTCGAACCTGGCAAGGCACGTCAAAAATGCACACTGGACTTGAATGGTTTGAGGTTTCCCTTCAAAGGAAAGATTACTCACTTCATGCCGAAACCAGAAAGACAAGGTAGCTGGATATATAGAACACTTTTAGAATATCGTTTACACTTTGTATTTTGAAAAAACTCCATTTCACTCCCATTTAAATAATTTTGACTGATAGTTAATGCCGTGTGTTGCGGAAATCCGATCCTAAAAGGCAGCCAATAGGGCGTTACCCGCCGAGTTCACCTTGCTAAAGTTTTCGCCCTGCGGAGTACTGGACAGCTCCCTCAGCTTGTCCATCACATAGTCTACGGACACTACTTGGGCGATGGTATCCTGGCCGCAGGGAGTGGTAGTCAGGTTGCCGATGGCCTGCATGGAACGGTAGCAGGCTTCCAGATCCTTTGCCCACTTGAGCAGCTCCACCACTCCGGAGGTGACCTCATGACACACCTCCGACTTGGCCACTCCCAATGTCTGCGATATGGTCACGTTTAGGAAGAATGTGGCCACTGCAATCTGGAGGTTGGCACTGCCCGCCTTGATGCCCCCAATGAGTTCGATGATCTGCGGCAGACGGCTCTCAATCTGCTGCCGTCCTGTTGTGTGGCTCAAGCTATTGGCCAGGCAGCGCACAACCATTAACTGGTTGGCAGCCGATCCGGCTAGCTGGGGTATCACGATCCCTAGGAAGCTGTGGCTGTTGTTCAGGACACTGAAGATGGCCTCGTTGCGTACGGCCAGGCGCAGGATGTCCAGCACAGGGAAGAGCATGGCTGCTGGCCACTTCAGCAGGATGATCAAGGCTTCGAGAGAGGTCAAATCCAGTTCTGGTGACTGCTCCGTGAGCTTGATAACAGCCAGTAGGACCTCGTCACCAACTTTTCCATCGGATTGCGTTAGCTTATTATTGAACTCTCTTTAAATTGAAAGGAAAGAGAAGGAACGTTAATTAGAAAATACTGAAAGAAATATGTATGAATAGGCTACATAAAATATAAAACAATCGAACTAAAACGCAACATGCAGCTACGTACTTCATTTTCTCCAAAACTTTGCTGGGATCACAGGTGTCAAAAGTGCGGTACCTGCTCACGGGAAAGTGCTTGTCCCCGGACCGCACAAAATTTACATCTACGCGCGACTGGGAATTGCTGCTACCACCCGTGGAGTAACTAGAGGAGCCCGTGAAGGGATCCACATTGCCACCACTTTGCAAGTTGGCGCTGCTCGAACCCGGAACATAACGAGAGCCGCCGGTAAACGGATCCTGGTAGCCACTGGGCGCTTGACTTTGCACAACGGGCGCAGCACCCTCAGAGTTTTTCACTATAAAGTTGGCCACCTGGTCAAGGTAAGCCTGAGGGAGTTCATGGCGATGAATAAAGGCCTGGGCCGCCTGCCAGGGATCCTCGCCCCGGTTGTAAGGCAGCTTAATAGGCGGTGCAGTATCAGAGATGTCCACGTTAAACACAAAGTCGTACTCCTTGCCCTCGTGCAGCTTCTTGCCGGAACTGGCCTGTGTGCCGCCAGACCCTCCAGTCACATCTCCGATTAGATTCCAGTTGCCCATGTCCCAGCTGTAGGCCTTGACGGAACCATCCGGATGTCGGACCATCATTGTTTGCCCCTCACGGGTTCCGTTCGAGAGAAGGGCCTCTGGACCTGGAAGACTGGTAAAGAAAGAATGCCTTTAGAATAATTTTTTTATGAGGATTTCCTCTGATAGCTTACTCCGTTTTCTTGACACCCCCAATTTCCTCGGTCATCTGCGATTTCCTAGTTTCAACTGCCATATCGAAAGCTTTGAGAATAGCCTCGCTTCCTTGGCGAGCTTTCACCTGGCTGAAGACCCTTACCACACCATCGCTGCACCCGGTGACGATGTCTCCGTTCTTCAAACACGCCACAGACCACACAGAAATCGCTGGATGCAGGATTGGGGCACCCAGTTCGCAGCCGGTGATGACATTCCACATTCGCAGCGTGCTGTCTTCGCCACAGGATACTACAACCTGGTCGCCCAAGGCCTGATTTCTGGCCATCGCGTAGATATAGTTGGTGTGCCCGCTCAACTGGCGGACGCACTCGCCATCCTCGTTCCAGAAGCGGAGGATGGCGTCGTTGCCGCAAGAGAGAAGTGTGTTTGCCTCAAGACCAATCAGGCTGCGTACGCAATCCGTGTGACCCTTGAGCAGCCTCAGCTTCTCGCCCTTTTCGTTCCAGTAGTAGATGTTTTTGTCTGCACCTCCAGTTACGTATTTCCTCTGTTCCGGCAGAGTTGCCACGGCCCAAACGGCCGCCTCATGACCCTCTAGCGCAATAAATCCAACCTCTCCCGTTTCGCTGATGCTCCACACCCTGGCCGTCTTGTCCCAACTGCCGCTGACCAGGCTACGGGGCTGTAATCCTCCGGCCAGAGCGCAAACCGTGGAAGTGTGCCCTTTCAGGGTAAGCAAGGGCACAAACCCGTTTTCTTGCTTGTAAATGCATATGGTGGCGTCGTTGCTGGCCGTGCAGATCCACTGCTCAGACTCCAGGAAGTATATGTACGAAATAAAATTCTTGTGATCCTGCAGCGTCAGGCTCTCCAAATACTCGTTTCTGGAATACGAACGTTTTTAATAGCGCCCAAAGGCAAGGCTTAAAGCTTGCATCGAGCTCACCCGCTTGGCCGCCAGAGCTTCGCACTCTTGTCCCGCGAGCCAGACACAATGATCTCACCTCCCCCGTCCGGGGCGCTGCCAGCCACGGCCACCGCTCGCACGTCCATACTGTGTCCCAGTAGCTCGCAGCTCAGCTTATAGTTGTCCAGCGATGGCTCCATGATTTTGTGCTTGGGGCGTTAAACTCCTTTCAGTTCCCGAAAAAAAGCCGACAAAGCCGATTTGTCATTCACCGCGAAGGGCAGTGTTGCAAAAAATCTGCACACTCAGATAGTGGTGGGCAATCTGATCCACTTCAAGGTTAATAAACTGACGTTTCCGATAGATTCGCAACTAACTCAAGTTAATGTAAAAACAGTGTTTCAATTGTTAAATTCATAAGAGTGATAATAAATAATCAGTACTAAAATTCGGAAAGATTTTTGAACTTTAAGCAATTAAATACTTTTAGTTGTTTTCTTTTGATATCTTCCTCTCCATATAGATGACACTTTACCGAGAACTGTATTTCCCGTAGTTTGGGTCCATATATTTAAATTTTTATCTAACTAATCACATGAGAATATTTATTTTTCTACTACTAAATTGATCGATATTTACAAATTCAGCTTATCGATAATAAAAAAAAAACCTATCGCTTAATAAACAATCTTGATTGTCATCTCTACGCAGAATTTATATTGTTTACGTTTTTTATTTTGCAATGGGTGGAAAAAGTTACTACTGCGATTATTGTTGCTGCTTCATGAAAAATGACTTAAACGTACGAAAACTTCACAATAATGGCATAGCACACACAGTTGCACGGACCAATTATATGCGGAGATTCGATGGTAAAATCACCAACCCCCATCTAATATTCAAATATTACAATTTTAAATTCATGTATAGATCCTAAAAAAATTATGGAATCAGAGCGTTTGAAAAAGCCGTGTAAACGGTATTTAAGTGGATACTGCAAGTTTGAGTTGTATTGCAACTATTGTCATTATAGTGAGAAAGAATTAATGGAGTTGCAAAAAATAGGTGAGAATTAACTTTTTACCTAATTTCTGATATTTGTAAGTTATATGTACATACATATCTTTTCAGTAATTAATCAAAAGAAGTCAGCTATTCGAAAAAAGAAAAAAAAAGCTAAGAAATGGCCCTGGAAATCACATCCTCAGACAGGATTACTACCTCCATCGCTGCAACCAATGAATTTTTCCAAGCTCAAAGAAACCAATTTTGAATTAGCCTGGGGTTAATTCCACTGAAAAATTCAGAATATGTATTTACAATTAAATTAATTGATAAAAAACGAACAATTAATGTCAAGAATTTAAAATGGCGGTCACTTTGTCCATGACCCGAGAAACCTTCAAGTTGATGCGCAAAATGCGAGCGTATTCGTAGTGAAACGATTTCGGGGAATGCCCGCTTAAGTTCTCCTCGTCCGGATCGGCCAGGTGGGCCAGCAGGAAATAGCAAAAATGTTCTGTTAATAAGATAAGATAAAATAAATGTAATCGTAAATATGTATTCGAATATACGGCGCCTGAGAAGTTGCAATACCAAGCCCATGTATGTATATACAAAAAATAATAGAATGGATTTGAATATCCTACCTTGCTCGCGTTCGACGGCATAGAAAAGAGGGGTATTTCCCGCCATAGCTTCTGCGGAATTAATAACGTTCGATTTGAGCCGCCGGTTCTTCAATTTATGCCTATTCGCCTCCAGCCTATCGCAGGCCCTATCATAGTACTTGGCGAAGGCCTTTTCGTCCCGGTCATCAGTGCCTGGCACCTCAATTGCTCTCTGGTATATCGGTTTTCCCAATTCGCGCTCGTCTATTATGTCGAATATTGCCTCGGCAATAAGGAACTGATTCTGACGTACCGCTAGGTGCAGAACTGTATAACCGTCATCGTTAGTCTCCAGAAGAAGATTCAGATCGATGCTACGCATCAGTACCCTAATGGACTCAACGTTTATGTTGTTAATCACCGCCAAGTGGAGGACTGTATTCGAGTTCTCGTAAACGTGATCAGTCAGGCAGCCAGCTGCCAGAATGCACGATATGATCTCTGGATCTGTTTCGTTTGTCAATGCTAGCTGAAGGCAATCTTCGCCATCTTTTGTCAGTAGTTCATTGATGTCGAAGTTGGCGTGGTGACACGCGAAAATCTGACGCCTTACCCCATAACTATCATTGCGCAGTATGTCATCGTGGATGGGTCTGAAAGTGTGACATAATTTGGATTATACCTAAGGTCTTTAGGAAAATGTAGAATTACTCACAATAATCCCACCTCCGACATCATTTTCGCCTTTCTAAATACATTGGCCATTATTTCAACGATCTTTTCTCTACTCTCACCATCATTTATATAGTCATCCACCCTGTTAAGCTCATCATCATTGATGGATAGATCCGAGAATTCAGAGTTTCGACGTTCTTGTGTTGATTTTAGGATATGAAGTTCACCATTTATGCTTGCCGAGCTCTAAAAAAATGAACAAAATAATAATCTTGTAAGTTTGTTGTATTGTTTTTAATTTTTTAATATATGTAGATTATATTTAAAGTTTAAATAACAGGGTTTGTTTAATTTTAAGAATATATAAATACATATACACTATATTTTATAGAAGTTAATTTATACTTACAGACAACTCCTGCCTTTTCCGCTTGGTAACGACTGGAGTAAGCTGTTTCTCATTGCGCTCCTGCAGAGCCATTTCAGCTGCCGATCTCTTGACCACCTGTGGAACGCAGGTATTTCGCTTTCTTCCCCTTTTCTTGCCCACTTTGACGGGCTGATTGGGTGACGCAATGGCAGTGGAAGTTGGACTAGGTTCACTAGAGGTTCCGACCGCCTTAGCATCGACTGATTCATGTTTAATCGCAGGCTTTTCCTCGAATTTCATGGCCATATTCTTAATTGTGCCACTTGTGGTGGTCCAGATTTGGGTTTCCGTCTCTGTTTGCGTGGAGACATCCACTTTTTGGGCTCCACAAGAGCACTGTTTACCTTGATGGCAGATAGTAGTCTTATCAGCGCTATTACGTCCATTAATCGCGTCGATCACACGTTGTTGAAGAGCTTTATCGGGAATCCGCATGAGTAATTTGAAGATATCCTCGTATATGGACTGGAAGGACTTTCGTTGTATGTAGGTGGCAGTGCTCAACTGAGCCATGGGCTTCGCAATTACACGAACAGAGGATGGCTGCTTGGAGCAGAGATCCGCACTTGCGACTGCCTGGATGTGCTGTGACTTTGTTAATAAAACTTTCTTCATTGTTTCCTCCTGCTATTTAACTGCTCGGGTGATCCAATCGCTTGCCGATAAGCTGCCCTTGTTGTCAGACGATTTAGGGGGAAGTCTAAGTTTAGATCGATACAAAACAACATAAGTTGGTTTTTCCCCAAACACGCTGTACGACAGTGTTGTGAAGTTGCGGAATATTTAGTGTTCTCGACACTAGTTGTTGTCTATTAGAGATGGACGTTTTATTTGTTGAATGTTTCCGAAGTGGTCTCTGTTTTTAACTTAATTTGTATCACTTTGATTTCACCAATTTTTTTATAAAAAATTTAAGTAAGACGTGCTTTATTTAAGGGACTTAAAAAATTAACAGGTCTTTCAGATTAAACGTATAAAATTTTTTATATTGTAAAATTAATTTATTTAATTTATTTTTATTGATGGAACCAAACGATCGATTTGGATGGCTAAAATCTAGAAAAGAAATAAATTAAAACAGCCAACACATACATATCATTTTTAAAACGTTCACTCGTATCATCCCTAATTTTGCTGCGCTTATCGATATCTTATCATTCGTGGTGAATGCCTTGAGCGACCAGGATTCTTCAGAAAAAAAAAATAAAGTACGGTCCGACATAAAGATACTGGGAGTCTTAATAAACATAATTAGCTTCTTCTTGGACGTCGAGAGCCCTAGATAAGAGCCGACTTGTTATATATGTGTGCAGCGCTTACGGATAAACAAGCAAAAGTCGGTTATGGACTCGCGTAATCGACGCGGCTACTCGGGGGGCAGTGGAAACGATGGAACTGGGGGAAGGGGCGGCAATAGCACCGCCTACTACAATAGATCCCGTTCCCGTTTCAGCAGATCCCGGTCTCGGTCACGGTAAAAATAATACAATGTCCATATCCCATACACATATGTATATATTTTTAATCCAATTGTTGTTCCCAGTGAGCGCAATCGTGGCTTTGGCGGAGGAGGTGGCGGCGGATTCAGACACCGCAATACTCGTTCTCGGAGTCGAGACCGCTCGCCCGGCTTTAGGCACGACGAGCGTGGGGCGCGCGGGGGAGGTGGAGGCGGAGGAGACCCTGACTTATATCACAATATGATCAATGATGACTTCAGGGATGACCAGCGCAATTACAATCCAAGGAACAACTTTAATAATCGTCCATTTCGGCGAGAGGATAGCTTTGAACAAAACCGTAACCATAGGAACAACAGCAGGGACAACGATAGAGGTCGAGATAATCATGACAATCTTGACAACGATCAGCGATGGAGGGATTTCGATAACCGCGAACGCAATTCCATGGAGAGATCGGAAAGGTTTCAAGACAGGGAACCGAAGAGGCCCTGGAACAGGAATTATTCTAACGAGCATGATGACAGAGGCAGGAGCCACGAGCGGATGAGGTAAGCAGATGAATACAATCATACAGGCAATCCTGGCAAACCTCTTCTCTCTTAGTCGGCCAAGAGATATTCGTCCAAGCAACAACGGCGTTGGGAGTAATCGGGAACGAGAACGGGATTGGGAGCACGACCGAGATCAGGATTGGAATCATGATCGAAATCAAGATCGACATAGAAGAGGCTCATCCGAAGAGGATTTGGATGAAGGACAGATGCGGAGAAACAAGAACGGGAATTCCCAAGAGCCTCTCAATATAATAATTATACTTGGGCTTACCATGGAAATTACCAGGGCAGATGTAAGTCCCTGTAGAAACCACAAATAACAACTAACTCAAGAGGTTACTTCTTTCAGATTATGAGCGAACTGATTAAGATGAACATGGAGCCGGCCTGTATTCGGATTATTCGAAAGCATGGGAAACGCTTTTGTCCCGACTCCGCTGCAATGCCTCAGCAGCAAAGAAGTAAGTACACAGATCGGAAGAGTGCATACGGCGGCTCTGAGCTAGCGGAATCCACATACTTGTGTACCAAACGAATTTAACCCGGCCACAGAAATAAAAATAAATCAATTTCCCAAAAAAAAAAAAAAAAAAAAAACAAATGTTACAAACCTATCGAAACATTCAACATTTTTTGACGAAACCATTTTGTATCTGCTTCTATCCGATAATTTAGATTCATCACGCGGTATAGCGTTTGTCGAGTTTACCACCGTTGAAGAGGCGAAGCAATGGATGGAGATTACTCAGGTATCCAGCGACCAGAGAAACCCCATGAACCTTTCGATCTATCAGCCAGCAGCCAAGGATTTTCCCTGGGCACTAATCACGAAACGATGTGTTTCTTAGTTTCCTTATTTTTTTTTTCTAATTTCCATCTCGAGATCTATAAACTTGAAACACTAATTTCATACTTAATGCCTTGGGAAAATGCCTTTAGGAGGTCGTCGGCAGCAACAACTTCGCGTTACGAAACACAGAAGCAATCTGGTGACTGTGTAGAGTGTACAAAAAAAGTAAACTCCTTTCCCGAATGCTAATCCTTGCTTTCTTTTCTCTCTCTTATTTCCATGTCTGCTGCTCCAGGGTATCCTCAAGTTGGGCGATCATCGGTTGACCATGCAGTACAGCCATACACGTATACAGGATTGGAACTGCAGCAAGGTGGGAGTTACCTTAAAGTTAGCATTCAATTTATGTTAATAGCCACTTAACTTTCCCATTCCAGTGTGGCGTCTGCAACTTTAAGTTTAGATGCTATTGCTTCGTGTGTAAGACATCCCGAGAGGAGGCCGAAAGCGTTGGCGGTAGCGAGGGCGTGGATGAAGTCAGCAACATCCTCACCAAAAGTATAGACACATGGACGCTCCATCAGGAAGAAAGAGACACATCACAATAACCACTCCACTTTCAGAGATCATGCTGCGCAACCTAGACGCGTTGACAAACGAAGAGGGTGTGCTCACCGCCCTCCAGCAGTACTTGCCTGATCTAACAAAAACGATTAGCAAGGTTCTAATTAGTCGGGACACCTTGACTCAGGCATCTCGAGGCATTTGTTACCTTCAGTTCGACACCCTCATCGACTCGATGAATGTCCATAATGGCTTGACAGCACTAAATCCACCGCTTACGCTGGATGATCGGCCTGGTAAGTCATATATTGTTGATTTATTTATTGCATGCATTATTTGCCTATTTCTTGCAGTTGCCATTACTTATTGCATTGACGCGGAGGAACACCAAACAGGGTCAAAGGATGCAAGTACAACGGCAACCAAGGGCAGCGAAGAAAGCCATCAGAATAGGGATGCTGCATTAGTGTCACCCTCGGGTCTTGGTGGCAACTACACCCTGGCGGATGTGCCACGTCTCGCCGAGTACAGTGCCTCATTATATGCCTCAAATCCCGCAGAGCAGGCGCACTACGTTCAATACTACACAGACTTCTACACCTCCGAGATAAGCAAGAAAAATGCAGATCCACAATTGACGGAGGCAAATTCAGGGGCTGCTGTGGCCCTTTCGGCCATACAGCGCAAGCAGAAGAAAATGAACAGTATAGAGACCACGATCACAGCGGCGGCCGCAGCAGCTGCCCAAGCAGCTGCTGAAGTAAAAGCTTCCTTTGCTGCCCAAGCTATAAGTTCTGCGCCTAGGGGTAACGACGGGAAGACGTACCGTAAGTATAAATAGAAGTTGCGATTCCATTTTTCATAACAATCTCGTCTTTCTTCAGCCGCACCCGATGTATCGCAATATCAATATGATGAGACCTCGGGTTACTACTACGACCGCACCACAGGCCTCTACTACGATGCGCACTCACAGTACTACTACAACAACGAAACGGGTGCGTATCTGTACTGGGATCAGAAGAGAAGCACCTATGTGCTGGCCACTCCTGCTTCCACGCAGGCAGCTCTCCAGGAAGTACTGGCTGACGCCGAGCAGAAGGAGGATGATGCCAAAAAGGCGAAGGAAAAGGAGAAAGACAAGGAGGGCGGCGCCAACAAGCACGATAAGGTCAAGGTGGCCAAGAAAATAGTCAAGGATATGGAAAAGTGGGCCAAGCAGCTGAATCAGAAGAAGGACTACACTGTGGTGGCTACGCCGCAGCCCATCCTTTCGGCCCACGACGGTCCCAGCACCTCGCGGGGCTCTCAAGGAGGATATGCTGACCTGGGATTCTCCATTTTGGAAAAGAAGGAGAGGGCCAAGCTCACCGACTTCATGTCACAGGCTGTACCGACCGGAACAAACAAGGTTGTTAATGCGTATGGCGGAGGATCGGAATCTGAAGAGGAAGGTGCTGGCAACTTACAGAATGTCCAGAGTTCAATGGGAACTGGACCTGTAAGTGGAAGTGTCGATGAATCGGACTACGTGGACTTCCAAAAGTTAACGTGTCAGCTCTGCAAACGTGCCTTCCAATCGCTGGACATCCTTCAGAAGCATTTAAAGATGTCAAATTTACACAAGGAAAACTTGGCAAAGCTCAACCAAAGCTCGGGAGGCGGCGGCGTTGACGAGAGCCTATCGTAAGTAGAATTTTCATATAAAGAAATCACTACAGCTTTTCTGAATAATTGCTTTCCTCTCAGATATCGTGATCGTGCTAAGGAGCGTAGGCTTAAGTACGGAGAAAGCGATCCCCCGCCACCGAATCGAAGTAGAGAGCGTTTCGAGCAGGAGATCAAGACTTTGCAGACGAGGCAGAAGGACATCTCGGGACCGGCTGCCGCCATGCCCATCTGCTCCAGCAACGTGGGAAGTCGCCTGCTGCAGAAGATGGGCTGGTCAGAGGGCCAGGGTTTAGGGAGAAAGAACCAAGGTCGCACACAGATCATAGAGGTAAAGAAAAATAATCAAATCTAAAATGTAAATCGTTTTAATTGTTAATTTGTATTCGCAGGCTGAAGGTCGCACCAACAATGTGGGTCTGGGAAACAAGGCAGGCAACATGATGCCGGGCAACGACTATAAATCCTACATCAAGAAGATGATGAAGCAGCGATATGAGAATGCATGAAAATAGGTTAATTATCAAACAAAGAGCTCGATTCTTTTCAAAAAGTTTAAGCTAATAGATGATATTTTAACGGCAATTTTTGTATCCATTACATTTTTTTGATTTTTCGAAATCTTTACATTTTATTCTTGAAACTAAGCGCCAGTGAATCAGAAAAACCATATTATTGGTTTAGAGCCTGCCTTTGGCTTGTCAGGGATACGTGAAAAGGTCTTGAATAGCAAATATTTTTAAGATTACGAGAATTCAGTCTCATTTAATTGTAAATTAATAAAGTTTAAATATCGCCAAACTTGAATTTAGTGTGATTTCCCGCAAATTGCTGACAGTAGCTGTAAGGCTGCACTGTTTATCAACACTGGCCGATAATAATGGCTATCGATAACAAAATTTGCGTGTGAATGGCAAAGGAGGCCGAGATTTTTGTCATTTGTGTTGTTGGGTGCCTAGAATTCGATTTGTTTCCGTCTCAGGAAAAATCTGGCAGGCAGGGCGAGCAAGTTTTCCTAGTTTTCCCAGTCAAGTGACAAACAAGTAAGACAGCAATTTGGCATGCGACCCGGGAGAGTTAAATGTAAACCAACGGTTCTATTGCATTAGATATGGATTTTCGGTATGGTCGGAGCTTTTCCGGGGGCAATGGAAATGACAATGATCCAGGCCACAGGCGATATAGTCGCTCCCGATCCCAGTCCAGGTAATGGTGATTTGTTTTTGGTTTGGTTGAAGCACTAATTCTTCAATGACATTATTTTGTTTTCCAGAGAACGCTATAGACGCCGCCATTCACGGTCCCGCAGTCGGGAGCGTTCATCGCATTATAGACGCCACCATGACCCCAGCCCAGATCGCGACCTCTATCGCGATCTGGTCAATGAGGACTACCTGGAGGATCAACGCCACTATGGTACGCGTAAAAACTTTGATCATTATCGCCAGCTTCGCAACGATGACGGCCATGAACGTCGTGATCGCGACCATTATGACCGCCGAAATCGAAACGGCAACCATGACCGCCGTGATCGGGACAGAAGTGATCGATGGGAGCATGATTGCTTCGCTTCAAGAGAACAGGATGAGCTTGATCGCAATGAGCGCTGGATGAAACAGCATCGAGAGTCACGACGGCGTAGCTATGACGATTATGAAGAGGAATTGGAGCGCGACAGGTAAGGAAGATTAGAATTAAGTAAGTCCCAAGTTTATACATATGTACATACATATATCAAGCTATGGTTTATAGTCTGTATAAAAGAGCTGCTTTACCAATTGAGATTTAGATTTTCGAGACCGTCATGAGGTTAATTTATATTTTTTAACTTGTAACAAAATATGTAAATGTATACAATGAAAGTAGGAAAGCTGCAAAGTGAGCTTTCTGTATCCAAGGCAATGTTAGTGAATTTTAAAGGAATTGCTCGGAATTGAAGACAGACTAATGCATAATTCATGCTAAGGTCTGAAAATTGTACGTAGGTTAAAGCTCTTTGAATAAAATTAAGTAAATGAAGAAACGGTATGGCTGTGTAATTCTCAAAAATGTCGCATTTTGTTATATTTGTCAATGAATATAAATTTTGCCTTGGATATCGGAGAAGTGTGCAGGACCATTGCAAGTTAGATCAGGAAACAGAGGGTAGACTGAAATTTTAACTACAGGAATTAAATAAATTATTGTTCATTGCAGTCGTAATAACGAGAATGGCGACAATGATGAGATGGCCCCCAACCACGACATTAGGGATAGGGGAAGGGAGCGATCTCGCGAAAGACGCTATTCGTCGAACGATGACTCATCAGAGCCTGATGATGAGATTCTAGAGGAGCACGAGCAACACCCTAACAGAACCGAAGCGTCCAACAACATCATCCTCTTCGGCTTGAAGAAACATGTCACAGAAGCAGACGTAAAGCCTTTAGTAGAGTGAATTACAATAGGAATTAAATATTATACCACCCACAGATCATGGGCGAGCTGATCAAAGTCAACATGGAGGCCGCATCTATTCGCGTAATGAGGAAGAAGCCATCAGGTGGGTTACATTACAGCGAATTAAATATGATTTACATTAGTGAAACAAGAAAAATAAATATAAAGCGTGAGTATTGTGTGACCAGCAAAGAGTTCGGAATAGGATTTATGTATGAAAATCCAATTATACCTGGCTTACGAGATATCAGCATTAAAATTCCACAACAAAATTTTTTATAGAAAATATGAAAAACAGAACCCAAACAAAATACAGTCCCCAAAAATGTTACAATGCTTTTAAAACAACCAACAACATTTTTTGACAAAACATTTTCGTATCTGCTTCTATCTAAAATTTAGGTGCCTCACGCTGTTTTGCATTTGTCGAGTTTAAAACCGTTGAGGAGGCGCATCAATGGATGGATTTGAATCAGGTATCCACTACAAACCACAAAGAAGAAACATGAATCTTCTTGAATCAGTTAAAAAGAAAAACGAAGGCAAAACCCGGTAACATCGGCATCGGCGGCTGAACCAAAAGTCGATGTCTTTGAGTTTAGTTCTCAGAGTTAGTTCTTCTCCATCTTAAAGCTTCTCTAGTCAAAATTGTTCTGTGACGTCGCGAGGAGAACTGAACTCAAAGCAATTATTTCAGAATACGGAGAGCACCAGCTGCACTGCATCGGCGACATCTGCGCGTTGCCCCACAAACACAGAAGCAACCAAACTGGTGACTGTGTAGTCTGTGAAACTTATGATTATTTAGCCTCAGAGTTAGTAATCCAATTCCACTCCCTTCTGTTTCCTCTCTCCCGGACAGGGTTTGCTCCGGCTCGGCGACCATACCGTGTCCATGCAATATAGCCACACACGTATTTCGGACTGGACCTGCATCAAGGTGAGACCAGACTTAAACGTTTAAGATATAAAGCGAATTCATAGACTACTAACTTTTTAAAAATCACGATTTTATTTTTGTTCAGTGTGGTGCCAGCAACTTTAAGCGTCGCTTCCATTGCTTCATGTGTAGCTCAACGCGGGCGGAGAGCGAGACCGCAGTACCCTGTGACGGCGAGGGCATCGATGAAATCAGCGACATCCTCACAAAAAGTATATCCACCATGAGCAATCTCTTTCAATATGCCGTTCTCCCCAGCCAATCTTCTACATACATAAGTCCCCACTAACCTGCCACGCTTTCCCAATGCAGAGATCATGCTGCGTAACCTGGACGCTTTGACAAACGAGGAGAGCGTACTCACTGCCCTCCAGGAGCACTTGTCCTCCGACCAGGCAAAAACCGTTAGCAAGGTGCAGATCAGTCGGGACACCTTGACTCAGGCTTCGCGGGGCATCTGCTATCTCATTTTCGACACTCTTCTCGACTCGATGAATCTGTACAACGGTTTGACGGCCTTGGACCCACCGCTCTCGCTGGACGGCAGAACTGGTTAGTGTTCAGATTCCAATTTACAATTTCTAAGTTCTTATTCTTTTCATATAACACTTTTAACTCTCGCTCTTCTCAGTGCTGGTTTCCTATTGCAAGGATCCCGAGAATCGTAAAATATTTTCAACGACGGAATCTAGTTCATCTAGACCTAGTGCGGGCATTACGGCTATGACAGCCTCCGCACTCAATGGTAACTACACCCTGGCAGATGTCCCACGTCTCGCCGCCTACAGTGCTTCCGTCTATGCCTCGAATCCCGTTGAGCATGCCTATTACGTCCAGTACTATACGGACTATTACACGACAGAAATAAGCAAGCAAAGCGGTAATCCACATCTGACTGAGGCTAACTCGGGGGCTGCAGTGGCGCTTTCGGCCATACAGCGCCAGCAGAAGAAGAATGCTTCGCAGGTCCCGATCAACATGGCAGCGGTGGCAGTTGAAGGGCAAAAAGCCTCGTTTAGTGCCCAAGGCTTGAATACGCCCAAGGGAAACGACGGAAAAATCTACCGTAAATGGAAACAGAATCACGAATTCCGTATTTCCAAATAATCTCTTTGTTTTGCAGCCACTCCCGATGTATCGCAGTATCAGTATGACGAGACCTCGGGCTACTATTACGACCGCACCACAGGCCTCTACTACGATGCGCACTCACAGTACTACTACAACAACGAAACAGGAGCGTATCTGTACTGGGATCAGAAGAGGAGCACCTATGTGCTGGCCACCCCAGCCTCCACCCAGGCAGCACTCCAGGAAGTCCTGGCTGATGCTGAGCAAAAGGAGGAGGAAGCCAGAAAGGCAAAGGAGAAAGAGAAGGACAAGGAGGCCGGCGCCAACAAGCACGACAAGGTCAAGGTGGCCAAGAAAATAGTCAAGGACATGGAGAAGTGGGCCAAACAGCTAAACCAAAAAAAAGACTACACTGCGGTTGCCACGCCGCAGCCAATACTACAGGAGAATGAAGGCGCCAGCACATCCCGGGCCTCGCAAGGGGGCTATGCTGACCTGGGATTCTCGCTCCTCGAGAAAAAGGAGCGTGGGGCTAAGACCGCTGACGTTGTGCCACAGTTGAAAGTACCGGTTCTGAGTAAACTGGCAAACGCCGTTGGAGGGACATCCGAGGACTCTGACGATGAGTCTTTGGGAGTCAGAACCACTGTCACTGCTTCTGCCCAAAGGGCAGCTCCAGACGAAGCGGACTACGTGGACTTTCAAAAACTAACCTGTCAACTTTGCAAGCGTGCCTTCCAATCACTGGATATACTGCAGAAGCACTTAAAGATATCCACTTTGCACAAGGAAAACTTGGCCAAACTTAACCGAAATTCCGTAGAAACTAGCATCGAAGTGGGATTGTCGTAAGTACATTTGTTAACCGATGTGTACTGAACTTGAATTATTATTAAAGCTATCTCTATCATTTTGTAGGTATCGTGACCGGGCCAAGGAGCGAAGACTCAAATACGGGGAGGGCGATCCACCTCCTCCGAATCGTACCAGGGAGCTCTTTGAACAGGATATGAAGACGTTGCAGACAAATCAGAATAATAACGTTGGACAAGCCCCTGTTATGCCCATTGGTTCCAGCAATGTGGGCAATCGCCTCATGCAAAAGATGGGCTGGTCAGAGGGCCAGGGCTTGGGCAGAAAGAACCAGGGTCGCACCCAGATAATAGAGGTTAAACAATAATACCAATGAACTAATTTAAATAGTTTAAATTGTTATTTTATATTCCTAGGCTGACGGACGCACTAACAATGTGGGCCTAGGAAACAGGGCTGGAGGACAAATGTTTCCCGGTACCGACTATAAAACCTACATCAAGAAGATGATGAAGCAGCGCTATGATAACGCTTGAGCGTTCCCTATTTCCATGTTTCTTTTATTTCCATTCCTTTTAAGTCTAATTAGCTAAGTGCTTACCTCAGCTTCACATCCTCATTTTGTGGTGATCAATTCATTTGTACTGAAGTATATAACATGTAAATAGATAATAAACAAAGGGTGGCTCAATTAAATTAAATTAATCTAAGAAGTTAAAATTTGATATTTAAAATAAGTTTTAATTTTATTGTGTTGTTAGGTTATAATTGTTCAATAGAAACGAGGAAAATAAAAATAAACAAGAAACGTCTGGCGTTATGGCGCTGTTTTTAGAAAAATTACCTAATGAATTTTTTTTATTGAATGCTTGAAAACTAACAAAAGTAAAATTGATATATATTTCATAACGAAGAAATTGAAGAAAATGCTCGAAAAGGGTCCAGCTGTGCTTTGCAATTAACTATAAAGTAATTTTAAAATGAATTCTAGAGGACTTTTTAAAATAATGGGAATTGAGATTGAGGGTGTTATTTTCACTCAACGAAATAATGGTTTGAACCAAAGTGTAACTTGAAAAGCTGAAAAATGTTTTTGATTCTTCGAAAAGCTGAAAAATGTTTTGGATTCGTCGGAAAGCTGAAAAATGTTTGGGATTTGTCGAAAATGAAAACAAAATATAAAATTCGTATTGCGCATAAAATATTCAAAGAACGTTAAGTTTCGAGGGGATAATTTAATTGAAGTTCGCTAAGGTATGGTGTGATAATTATGTGGCCACCACTGTATGCTACAATTAAATAATAATTTTATAGTATAAAATACCCAACTTTATTATTTCCCAAGATTTCAGAATTTTTGGTATTTTAAAGACATAAAAAGGCGGTCACACAGATTGCGATTAAAAAACGTGCGCCGGCTTATTTCGCGTAAACACTCGCAATTTGTTTGATTTCCAAGCTTTTCATTAAATATTAGCGACATTTAATGAGCCCTAGAAGTATTCCACCGCTGACCTATAAGGTCGTGGCGGAATGTTCTACCACCAAGGCCAGAGCGGGTCTGATGACCCTCAGGTAAGTTATCTAAACTCCGGGATTACAAGTAACTAACAAATTTCACTCCGCAGGCACAGCGAGGTAAATACTCCGGTGTTCATGCCCGTGGGTACTCAGGGGACTCTGAAGGGTATCCTGCCAGATCAGTTGATAGAGCTTAACTGCCAAATCTTGCTGGGCAACACTTACCACCTGGGGTTGCGGCCTGGGATTGAAACGCTAAAGCTAGCCGGTGGTCTTCACAAATTCATGGGCTGGCCGAGGGCTATTTTAACAGACTCTGGTGGTTTCCAGATGGTCTCCCTGCTGCAGCTGGCCGAGATCGATGAGCACGGTGTCAACTTCCGATCGCCCTTTGACAACAGCCAATGCATGCTAACGCCAGAGCATTCCATCCAAATCCAAAATGCCATTGGCGCCGACATTATGATGCAGCTGGATGACGTGGTGAAGACAACAACCACAGGTCCCAGGGTAGAGGAAGCCATGGAACGAACCATACGCTGGGTGGATCGATGCATCGAGGCGCATGCTCGTGATGACGACCAGTCGCTGTTCCCCATTGTCCAGGGCGGCTTGGAGGTGCCGCTTCGGCAGCGTTGCGTGTCCGCTCTGATGGAGCGCCAGGTGCGCGGCTTCGCTGTTGGTGGATTAAGTGGCGGCGAGAGCAAACACGACTTCTGGCGGATGGTGGATGTGTGCACCGGTTACCTACCCAGGGATAAGCCCCGGTACTTAATGGGCGTCGGATTTGCAGCGGACTTGGTGGTGTGTGTAGCCCTTGGAATCGATATGTTCGACTGTGTGTTTCCCACGCGGACAGCTCGCTTTGGCTGTGCCTTGGTAGACAGTGGACAACTGAACCTCAAGCAGCCCAAGTACAAAATGGACATGGAACCCATTGACAAGGACTGTGAGTGCAGCACCTGCAAGCGGTATACACGCTCGTATCTACACCACATAGCAACCAACGAGAGTGTTTCCTGCTCCTTGTTAAGCATCCACAATGTCGCCTATCAGCTGCGATTGATGAGAAGCATGCGGGAGGCAATCCAGAAGGACGAGTTCCCACACTTTGTCAGGGAATTCATGAAGAGACACTTTAAGTCCGATCCCATACCCGCTTGGATACGAGAAGCCCTGGTAGCGGTTAATATTCAATTGCCAGCAGATCCTGAGAAGGCAGTTGCACCGGAGGAGACGCCAAAGACAGAAAGGAAGCAGCAGCCGGAAAAAAATATGAGCCAACAGGCAGCCACTAGTTAATATCACCACCACAGACCTTAATTTTTGGATATAGTGTTGGTTTTATTAGCATTAATATTTACCAACAACATGGCTATTCGTTTAATTAAACAATCATTTAGTTATATATGTAAGACTTGTATTAAAATGACAAAAATCATGTAAATTTTAACAATTAGGAAATTAAAGAAAAAAAAAATACAAAATATAAACTTGTTTATGAAATTAGACAACACTTTTAGAGAATGTATTCGAGTTTTTTCTGGTTGTGAGTTTTGTTTGCCTTAGTAGAGCGTTGAGTAAAGCGCTAATATTTAAATATATTTTGAATGTTTCTATTTCATAACTGAATCTGTTCTAGAAACATATAAACTTAATTGAATCTTAACATATTCCATTAAAGAAGCAATCAAAGATTAACCTTTAAAAATATCCATATGATCTCATATTTACGTACATTTTATTGTGATTTTTATAAAAGTGAACGCTTTGCCTTTAATCAAGAGATCTTATTTATAAAAACCTATCTTAATAAATATTTTCGATCTTGAGACTTTTGCGATGGTAAGGTTTGGAAGGATGACCACATCCTTTTATTTTCATAAAATACATGCAGAAGGATGTATATACACCAAACTGTTTTCACTTATCTTTTATCATATAATAATATATTTTGTATACTTTTTCATAATATCAAAATATCTTAAATACCTTTCGAATCAACGAATAGATAGACCGAAATTTATAGGGTATTGAAATACTGGTTTTTGATTCGTCGCCGCAAAAGCTTTCGATTTACCTATGGGAAAAAGCTCCGTGGGCCGAAGTATGACGCATAACGCAAATCGGTGGCGATCGCGGTTCTCGCATGGAACGGCCGCCGACGACGACCAGTCCAATTCAGTTGTTTGTACTTGATTTTCGTTATTTTTCCGCTCCTCCTCGATCGTACGTACTTAGGCTACATGTGGCGGCGGTCACGAAGAAATGAACAAGAAATAGGGGAAAAAAAGAAAACAAAACAGATCGTTAGGAGCACCAACAGATCGCTTTTAACTCAGTTCTCGCGGGTCTAAGCTCTGGGAGCAGTGTGCGTCAGACTGGGGCGGGGGGACCTGAGGTCCGAGAGAGATCCAACCATAGCGAGGGAGAGAGATTGTGGCAAGTGGTGTGGAGTGGTGCTGCTGCTCGAACGGGTGCCAGTCGGTGGTGGATCGTTCAGTAAGTGCCAAGCGTTGTCGCCTCCACTGATAGCTGCTTTTTCCTCGGTCGTCGCGTCGTCGGTTGTCTAACGGTATATTGCGGCAAATTGGCAGCGAGAAGCCCGCGCTAATAATAATTTTAAAAATACTAAAAAAAGTATCTATCAAAAAGTGGAAAATCTCCAATCAGAGGATCGGAAATCCATATCAAGCATACGCCCCAATCACCGACAATTGTAAGGAGTCCCCCAAATTTATTAGTTTGCAATGACAATTAATCACGGACTTGCAGTGCCTGGCAGTGTGTGTGTGTTACTATACGATGGTGTGTGTGCGAGACTGCTGCTGGAGTGTGTGTGTTTGTGTGTGCGTGATCGCCTCGTATCGTTGCCAAATGTGGTCAAAGCAAAATAACAAAAAATATACATATACCGCATACATTTAAGCAACTCGTAAACAATTGTGTGCTGTAAAGTGCTTTTTATGGACTTAAAATAACAATAAAAAACATTAAAAAAGAAGGAAAGTCTAGTTGTCGTCAGGATCGTTTTTGTGGAAACCTTACATAAAGTATACGCCTAGTATACATCTGCACAAGTCCAAAAAAACCAACGATTTTCACGTTTTCTTCACGGTTGGCTCAGCTCAGCGGCGGCACTCTTCTCGTTCGCCTTTATTATTTATATTTTTGTATTTGCCATCGTTTTTGGCTTTGGCCTGTGTGTTTTTGAATTTTCATGGTTTCATTTCTTTAAATAAGTTTTATTTTTAGCATTTTTAGTTATTTTTGTGTATATGTTTTTTTTTCTCACCAAATTTCGCTGTTGCCCAGTTCGCCTGATTATTTTTCGAAATGTTCATGCCGATTCTTTGGAATATTCATGGGCTTTTCTATTCTCTGTGTACAGAGAATGTGTGTGCGAGAAAAGTGTGAAAAGATTTGTTTAAATTTCGATTAGGGAAAAGGTGCATATACAGGGTGGATCGAAAAATAGGTGAAAACTTTGGGATTTGGCTTAAGTTTTACTTATAAAAAATAGGGCAAATCTTTTGCAGATATTTATAAAATTAAAGTTAAAGAAACAAACGACTAAAAGATTAAATAAAGGCTCAGGACTTGAGAGCTTGAACGAGTGAACTTTCTGGGATTTTTCCAAGATGCTGCCTTTTCTGCATAACTAAGGAATATACAAACATTCTTAGCTCATTTAATTTAACATTTAACTCAACAGACATCCAATTTAGTGGCAGGAAAAAGTATATTATAAAGCTGTCTCCTCCTCTTTATTTCTTGCGGTCGTGTCTGCTTTTTATGGCACTTTTTTATTTTTTGGCTGTCTAATGCCACTATTGCCTCATTTTTCAACCACTCACATTTAGCTGGCCACAATTCATAAATAAAAAGTAAACACACAAGGCAGCAGCCGATTATGATTGAAGGCACATAGCGAAAAAAATTGAAAAAATACTCTTTTTTGGCTTTTGATTGTTGGCCTCCAAATGCAAAGTCTCAGACTCAACCTCCGACTCATTTGGTCAATACCAAATGGCAACAAATTGCCACCAAAGAGTGGCCAAAAAGGCAACAATAAATACAAGAAAAATTCAATGATTGCTGCTAATCATAATCACACCAGAATTTGTCAGTTCGCACCGTTAGTGGACCCTAGTGAACGGTCTCTTCTTGTGCTTTGCTTTGTATTTATAAATTATGACACATTCGACAGCCGAAGAGTGGCTCTCTCTCTCTCTCTCTCTCTCTTATTGGTATATAACTCTTTGAACAGCTGCTCGGTGGGCGGAAGACTCGGGGGCATGGCCTCAGTTTTGTTTTTATGGCCGCAAAAACACATGCAAAATTCGTCATTTCCCAAAGAGAGAGAATGAGGGAGAGAAAAATAAAAGAAGACCAGGGGCAATTAAGAAAAGTAATTATGGGGAAAAGAAAACACAAACACACAAGGAAATACACTTTCGCGCCTTTGTCTTTGCAATTGATTAATTTCGTTTTCACTGTCACAATGCTAAAAAAAGCTCATTTTAATTATATTAATTAATGAATGCTTTCTAAATGAGCGGAAATTAAAATACAGCTTTGCAGGCTTTTAGGAATACTTAAGATAACTTCAAAGTTCATTCAAGTTAACGAGTTAAGTTACAAATTAAGCTAAGGTATTTCCCAAAAATTCAATATATTCCACTTAATACATTTTTCAATAACAAAAACTACTCACACATTTATTCTAACTGGCTGAAACAAGTTTTTCATTTTCATTGCCAGAATGCAAATTTCGATGAGACAAAATTCAAATTCGAAAATCTTCTATACAATATGTTCGCTTTAATAGTTATTCTATGCAAATTGTTGTTTGCTTTTGTATTTGCTTAAAAATCAAAATAAACGGAAATTAAAATGGAATATTTGCACACATATTTAGTTGCTTAGAAATCAATGCTCCTCTCTGATTTAAGTTGGTATGAACTTCCAGTGTTAATAGTGTTAAAACTCCACTGAAGGAAAGGAATTACCCAGCCTCGAATAGAGCACAGATCACTCTCCAAATTTTTCAATGCTGATTCATTTGTTAAAAACAAAAAAAATTTCTCCAAAATCAAAAATGTTTATGTGTGGGAGATTTACTGTACGGCCAAAGGTAAAGACGCTTAGTCATTGGACCTATTTTTGCATCAGATTTGCGGCTTAGAAACACCCACCCTAATGTATTGGCTATGTGTGCCGTAATCTACCAATGGTTATTTGCCCATTTTTTTGGTCATCTAATGTTGCTTTGCCTAAACGATATGGCAAATATTTGGATTCTGGTCGAACTCGTTTTTCTCCATTTCAAAATTTTGCGATTTTCGGCGGCTTTTTGCCAAGTGTGGGTGAATAAACTTCATGGAGCTTGATCAGTTCTGTTTTTTTTTCTTGTCCGATTCCAAATAGCAATAAACAAAAAGCGACTGGGTTGACAATGAATGGGTGACTTTGAAAATACAAAATAATAACAACAATAGGTGATTTTAGCGTTGCTCTTCGAGAGCGAGAGTGAATGGTTTGGACTCTGGCGATTTGGAGTTGAATGAGAGTCAGGAGGGGATCAACCTTGAATTAGGAAATAGTGAGGGATAAAGTTTGAGTATTATGAAATACAAATTATTGTTTCCTAAAATAATAATAACTGCCATTGTTCAATGGAATATATATAGAGAATATATAGAGAATACATACAAGGCGTACATTTAATGGTTTTAAAATAGGCTAGCAAAAATTTGTTATTTTATATTAAATCAAACTAGTATTGTTTAGCTTATGGCTGAATGAACGTAAGAGTTGTTTCCCAAACGGTGCAAATGAACGTATTGCTTCATAATTGTTCATTCTTGTTTTCCTGTTTAAATGTTGTTCACTCTGTTCATTTTTGCTCAGATGCAATTCCTTTGCAAAGGTGCAGGTCCTAAAGTCTGTAAAAGCTGATATAAATATATTAGTACTTTTTTTAAAATTTATTTATATGTTTTCATGTTCAGTGTTATTCTGTATTTTATTTTGTTATTTTCACATGTTTTGTATATGTTTGATTTGTTTATTACTTTTTTATCGTAATTGAAATGCTGTATTTAGTGCTTTAAAATTTAATAAGTGAGTAATAACTGAAGAATGAGCAGTGAGCAATGAACAAGTGAGCAGTACTGGACAAGTAAACCATTTTCACTCAAGTGAACAGTATTTACCAAATACTAAATAAAACAATTATTAATCTTTATTATATTATATTGATCACTCTGGCTTATAGAACTGTCACTAAATTTTATATAGGTATAGAAATTCATTTAACCAAAGAGACAAATCGCTGACTGTCGCATTAGTGACACAATATCCGAACCCCTTGCCATTTGACTTTGATCTCCAGAGCAATAAATATAAAATTTGAATAGCCCAGCACATAAATCAGAGGTCACAATTTGATATTCGGTTATTATTAAATTTTGTTTCTTTTAATTTTAACTCGTCGCCTCTCTCTCTCTCGGGCACACAGGCGTTAGTTGAAAATATTTACTAACGAGAGGGACAGAGACACGAAATGGGAATTAAAGTTGCCGAGTCGGAGCGGGGCATTAATAAATCAAGTTCAATTCAATTAGTGCAATCCGGGGACGACACAAACATTTTCATCCCCACCCTCAACCCCTCCAGTCCCTCCATTTTTCATTTGGCCTCTCATAACCTACGACAATTTATAATGCTGCGCAGAAATGAATGGAAAGACTGCGAAATTCAAATGCGAATGCAAATTCGAAAACGAAAACGATGCGAAGTGACAATGAAAACATTGAAAAAGCAATTCACTAATAATGCAATACATGCGGGTATCCCAATAAATTGTTAAACAAATGTTATTCTGTAATCAATAAATGAGCCAGTGTCTGGTGAATTATTTATGCGGAAGTGAAAACCGCCCACTCAGAAGCGACAGGGAGACATGTTGTAACTGTCAGCTGGGTGGGAGGGCCTGCCATAAAAACATCGGCTTTATATATACACTTATCGATGGCTAAAATTTCGATTTCAGCATGATTTTATTTCCCACCTTAAGCCCGTAATTTTTACACGAAACAATGCCAAAAAAACACTGCCAATAATTCAATGATGCGCTATAAAGGGAATTATTTAAATGCTTGCAAAGATCTCAACAAAAAACGTTCAATATAATACGGATGGAATGTGGCAAATGTATAAAACATACAATATAATCCAATTCCGACTTGCATAACACATAACACATATTTCATATTTTATTTATCTTTTTTGTTTTTTTGCTGCCCAAACAAGAGAGCCAAAAACTTTCTTTGAATAAAAGAAAATGCTGGCAGAATGTTGGAAAAACACACATTTCAATACGAGTCCTATATCTATTGGTGTTTTTATTTTCTATCTGTGACCTTGTCCCCGCCTTTTTCAAATCTTTTGGCGACTCGCTCAATCTGGCACACATTTGGCACGAATCGATGAACCGATCCGGAATAGATTTCACGATCCGCTGGCAAATTATATGCAAACTGCAGCTGACTAATGTCTGGAATGGAATGGAATGGCGCTGATCGCATCAATCGTCTGCTGTCAATAGCTCACATATCTTGTGCTCCTCACATCCACAAAATTGCAATTCAAGGCAGACATTTCGTTCAGCGTTTTGGCATCGGATAATTCGCTGTTGAAAATTGTCAAAGCAACAAGTTCGCATATTCTCGGCCTTATGTATTTGCGCTTATGAAACGATATTCCAAGATGAAATCAGTAGAGACCAAGGCTGAAATCTGTTTTGAGTATGGATTGGTGGCCTGAGTGTTGACATCTTGAATATTAATGATTAATTCGGGATGCGAACTTGAACTTGAGTGATGACAAACAGACCTTCAATGCAATTAGGGGTCTCAGCTAAGATCGTGTTTATTGTGGATTATAGTATGTTAAGAAGCTGAAATAGCCCATCGCATCGGATTTGCAATGAGTGAATGAGTGGGTTGAGTCACTCTAATAGTAGGGTAGTACCCTAGTGCTTCATATTCGATATATTGCAAAAAGTTTTAGGGTATCATAATATAGCTATAAAGCTGTGCATCATCGATGGTTTCATCATCATTTACTTCTCAACATTTGTCTTGCAACATTTTTTGTGCTCTCCTACATGTTAGCTTAAAATTTTTACACATATTCTACCAAAATTAAGGGGATAATAAGAAAACTTTTGTTTAGCGATGCCCAAATTTCTATTTTATTTACAACAAACAACCTGGTGTATCTTGTATATAATGTTTCTAACAAAATTAGCTTTGCAACATTGTCTTGAGCAGTTCCACATGTTAGATTGAGGTTTTATTTGCTACTCTCTATAAAAGTTAGAGATAAGAAGAATGATTCTTTGTGTTTTATTAAATACAGAAAACTTTAGGTACCGAGTATTTAATGATACATTAGTCACATTAGCCTAGAGACCTTTTCTGGTGCCTTCCGCCTAGTTAGATTTAAGCTTTTACAAGTCTTATGCCATAAAATAAAACGTAATTAATCAGTGCGATTTGCCCTTCTCTTTCTAAAATTTTCTTAAAGTTTAACTTCATTTGATTTACACATAAGACAAAATTTCAATAAGTAAATGCCTTGTTAAATTGAGATATTCAATTAAATCTCAAATTTCTGTGTATTAATTTCCTTCCCGTTTGAAATCTCAATCACGTGTCCCAAGTGAAAACCACAACTTTATAAATGTACTTAGTTTTCTTTAGTTCTAGAAGATCAATGCGGCCTGACTGTTGTGGTTGGGATCACATAATGTTATCAAAGCCTCCACTTGATTAACTTTTCAAGATGAAAGGCCTGGTGATCTGTTGTGGATTGATTGTTTTGGGGAAACCGCAGGCAAAGTCAAAGCAGGAACCGTTTTATATTACACTTGTCTCAGCGCCTCTTGATAGAAATGTCAACTAATCAAGTTCTAATGGACTTGACGCCATCCCATTGGGGTTATACCAACCCCGGCGATCTCGGGCTGTCTCCGAAATATTCATAAATGTCATCGTCAATTCTAATTCAGATGGCTCAGATGGTTAAACTCAATTGGACACACACAGATCTTTAGATCTTTTTAGAAATGTTAAGGTCAATGCAAAATGGCTCGAGAAGCGTTTTCAATTATGAATTCAACACCAGAAATATTTCGCTGTACATATATTCGAACATATTGAAGTGTTTAGAAGACTTTTCTTGTTTATTGATGCTTGGATGTTCTGTATTTACGTAGGGTGTGAATTGAACTGGTATTCAATTTGAACTTGCATTTTAAAGTCCTTTGAAATATTTAATTTTTAAGTGTCCATTGGCAGAGATATAAAAGTGGCAAGGGTGAGAAGTGCGCATAGAAACGTTCCAATGTTCAGGAAAAAATACTTTGCTAGCTGGTTGATCTAAATTTAGTAAAAGGCGTGGGCCGTTTAGCATTGAACAAGACCAGGGTCTGTGACGCGCCTTATGGTTATCCCAGCCCCAGCGGCCAAATGGAACTTTCTATACGCACCGATATACATCTAAATAAATATACATTTGCTGATTTTCTTTTGCAGAACTTTGCTGATAAAAGTGCTACGGACCGAGCGAGAGATCGACAAGATGCATGTGCCATTATAGAAAGGAAAAAAAGGGAAGGAAATCTTTGGAGCAGTATCATAGCCACTAAGCAGGTCCTGCATTGAACCTTTGTTATATATGGAATACCGATAACTGATATTATATGTGAGTTAAATAATATTACTTAAATTGTATGTGCATTAAATTATATTCCACAAATTCCAGATCTTAGAGTACTGTGAACTTGAGTGTTAACTTTTAACTACATATATAGAAAACCCGCTCATACACACACACAAAGAACCTACAAAATGGGTAAAGATTACTATAAAACCTTAGGGCTGCCAAAAACTGCCACCGATGATGAGATCAAAAAGGCCTACAGGAAACTGGCCCTTCGCTATCATCCCGATAAAAACAAAGCCGCCAATGCCGAGGAGAAGTTCAAGGAGGTCGCCGAGGCCTATGAGGTCCTGTCGGACAAGAGCAAGCGGGAGGTGTACGATAAATACGGCGAGGATGGTCTGAAGAGTGGCGGTAAGTTGACTTTTCTTATAGATGTATTTTGGATTCAACATATTTATAATATTCCCTATTTTCAGGAACACGAAATGGCGGTCCCTCGACCAACTCTTTCACATATCAGTTCCATGGAGATCCGCGTGCCACATTTGCCCAGTTCTTTGGCAACAGCAATCCGTTCGCCTCGTTCTTTGACATGGGCGACAATCTGTTTGACAAGAACGTCTTTGATCTGGACACGGAACCCGACTTTTTTTCATCGCCCTTCGGTGGCATTGGATCCCGTCATGGTCTCGGAAGTGCCTTTAGGTTGGTCCATCTCACTTGACTCCCAGATTTTTTTTTTGCTAATCTGTCGTAGGCCCTCTTTCAGGTCACACTCCTTCAATGTGCACACGCCTTTTAAGAAGGAGCAGAAGCAGGATCCTCCGGTTGAGCATGATCTCTATGTGACGCTCGAGGAGATCTACCACGGCTGTGTTAAGAAAATGAAAATCTCCCGGCGCGTCGTCCAGCCCGATGGTAGTTCCCGCAAAGAGGACAAAGTCCTGCAGATATCCATCAAGCCGGGCTGGAAGTCCGGCACCAAGGTCACCTTCCAGAAGGAGGGAGACCAGGCGCCCGGCAAAATCCCCGCCGACATTGTGTTCATCATCAGGGACAAGCCCCATGCGATGTTCAAGCGTGAGGGCAGCGATCTGCGCTACACGGCGAGACTGACGCTCAAACAGGTGAGTTTTTTGGAAATTACTAAGGATTTATTCAATACGTAATTACTTAAAATTCGAAAGAAACAGGAGTCATTTTATTATCCTGGTGAGAAGTCATAGAAGAAAATGAAATTGAAATGAAATATTGAGATTAAAGATTTTATTTGAACTGAACTATAGAATACTCATATTTATATTTGAGTTCTTAAATATGAATCTATTAATATTAGGAGTATCAGAAAGAGAGAGAGAAAGAGATAGGAAACCGGAAACGGAAATAGCTAGGTAATACAATGACAGAGAGTTTGTTTATTCTTGAATTAGAAGTATTTCCAACTAAACAGTGAAAACATTTGAAATAAGGTATTAATAGGGCTGTCAAAAAGTAAATTGATTTGTTAGTTGAAAATCTGTAAGACGTATAAACAATTTTGAATTATTACTAGCTTATTTTGTTCAAAAATTGTCTAAAGAGTAAGAATATTGAAGATGTCAAAATTCTTATTCGGTTTCATTTAGATGTGTTTGATTGGAAGTTTAATTTAAATATTTGGAACAATCTCCTTTAAGATTTAATAACCCATAAGTGTAACCTCTTCAGTGAAACCTAAGCTTTAGAGCGATCTCTGTGAGATATCAGATATTTCCAGTTGAGACCTGCGGTTGGGTTCTCACAGTATGGCGCCCAATTAGAGGCGCAGCCAGTGCCTAAATCAAATTGTAATGAAATCAGGCAGGCATTATGGTTATGGCAAATTTACCATATACGCGATGACCAGACGAGCTCCGAAGCAGCCAGCCAAATTGGTCAACATGGTCAAGTTTCAATTAACGGAGACAGAGCAGAGATTTGGATTGAGGGAGGAGGAGGAGGCACGATTTTGGCCAACAATCTGCTCTATAGCGGCTCCCACTGAGGTGTTAAATTTTTACACAGTCGCCAGCGCGCAAAACTTCGCACAACATTTTTTGTTTGTTTGTTCACTTAATATTGCAAATATGGTCAGGTCCAAATGAAACTAAAAGGAAAACACAAACAAACAGAAACGAACCGAGAACGAATATCAAAAAATTTTGAAATACTCAAAACTAGCAGACGAACAAACTGAAATGACACGCCACTGAGTTTGCAGTCATGTTAAAATTGTTAATTGCATTAAGTAGATTAAATAGTTGACTTGGCTCGGTTGGGGATTTTTAACATTTTATTGCTTGTTAGTGCGACAAATTTAGTAAATAGTTTTGGGCTTCTCGCTCGGTCCCCACACCGCTTATGGCATAGTTGGCCAAATATTTTCGTTGCCTTTATTTTGAATTTATGAATTCCATATTGGTTTCGAACATGAGCTAAAAGTGTCATGTTGTTTTTTCTATATAGAAGTATTTGACACGGTTTGGGTAATGGGAATGGCTTTAATTGAAACATATATTTTCTAGACAGGCAATTTTCTTGGCTTAAAGTACTATTTTGTTACCGTGGCCTTAAATAATAATCTAATATGTTGATAGAAGACACTTGTTGCTCTCCTTTAGAGAGTCTTTTCCAAACTGGTTTGTTTAAGGCAATAAATCTTAATTTTTATTAGCACTTGCTTAACCAACTCTCTTTGCAAGATTCTGTTTGCCTCAATAAAGCCACCGCCATAAGGCAATTGAAGCTCTCCATATATGTTCATCCACATAATTGCCAACAAAAATTTCAATTTTTTCTGTCATAATTTGTTGTTGCCTTCACCGCTGCAGCAGTAAATTTAATGCGACCCATAAATTACATCATCGTCGTTTACGATAAAATTCAAGTCAATGAGTTTCGAATTAATTTTTTCTCTACGCTTTTGGTGTTATATTATATTTTATGCATATGACCGATGATATATGGACTTGGCTGAATCTACAGCACGTTTCAAACGTTTAGGGTTTGTTTCAAGTTTTATTTATCATTACTAAATAAGTGTATTTAGCTTTCTTAAAAATGGTACATAGAAAATAAAAGACTTTAGGAACAGTTGTTAATATAAACAAAGATGTTTGATCTCTAATAATTCAGTTGGGAATATAAGAAAAACAATCCGTCTTGCCAAGAACTCTCATCAGTAGAACTGCAAATAACAATCGATATCAGAATTGAGTATTTTTATGCTTAAACCAATAAATATTGAGAGTAAAAGTCCTATATATGTATGCACTTTAAATTCTAGTACTAACACAAGATAAATATTCTCCAAATCGATATAAAGAACCTTCAAAGTAATGCGCTTTGTATCAGGAAAATATCACAAAGTTTGATATATCGTAATTGGAAATATGTATTTAATGGTAACATTTTGTATTCATCGAAAACATATTCCAAAATGTTTAATCTAAGTGTTATTTTTTTATTTTTAAAATCTATATTTCCCTCAATCATGGTTTTAACTAAAGTTTGTGGATTCTTTTATACTTTTAACTTATTTCCGATATATCAAACAGAATATCGATTAACTTTTGACAGTTAATCGCTGGCTTTAAATATCGACTTTCCCATTGTCGATATTTTTTAGTTTTACCAGTGATAGACAGAATGTGTTGCATTTTTCAACTTTTGGATTCTATTAACTTTAATTATTATTTAACAATTTCCCCCAAATATCCAAGATTTTCCTTCTGTGTATATGACTGACTAGCGGGATACATACAAATATATATTTTCGAAATGGAAATCAAATTTAACAATGGTTTTTGTTTTCGAGTGCCTGCGTCAGAATTCTCGCAAATGCAGCAAACTAAAATTGATGAACAATTCAAGGATGTACGAGTATGGCTAGGACTCACCAGCAGGACCAGGGAATGGTTGTAACTGATGGCCAGACGATGTCTGCCCAATGGCATTGTCATTCGATTGGTAGCCCGGTGGTGTACTGCGAAATGATTTTGCTCCGAGTGGAAAGAGTCGAACCCAAAAAATAGGAAGCTCTATACAGAAGCATTTGGTAGTCGAAAACTTCGTTTGCATTTTGATGACAGTTGTCAAATGGGGAGGAGGAAAAACGTTTTTGAGGGGCTCACCACCAAAAAAAAAGTGCCAGAAGAATAATGCTTTATGACATGCGATTGAATGTTGTTGATTTGTTTTTCTCAACAAAAAAAAAAAGAGAGACTCCTGCCTAAACCTTCACTTCATTCAGCGAGAGTAATTGTCTGGGACAGCCAGGGAAAAGCCAACAAAAAAGCTGGAAAATATATGACAAAATTTATGTTTACTGCCGGAAACTTTCCGTTAAGAGCTGAAGTCGACATTTAGATTTATCATTTAGGGAATGATGTCTCTCTCTCCTGCCTTAAAAACGAGTTCCAGTTTCGGTTTTTCTAAATTCCCCTTTTAGGCCTGATCCCAGATACATCGATGGGAAATGCTCGCAAAATTTTATTGAATCGCTATTCACGGTTTGATTCCCTTTATTTATTTTTTATTTTCTTTTTTTGCTGTTCCCTCCGTTTTGCTTCGAACTTTTTTATGCTTCAGCTTCCGTAAAAGGTAGCAAAGTATTTAAGCGTTACAGATTTATACAAATATATATATGTAGGTATGTATGTTTTGACTTCTTTATGTTTTTTTTTGGCTGCGACAACATTTTCAACATTTCCATTAAAAAAATATTGATGCTGGTCGCCGTCATCATGGGGACAGGTTGTAATCGTTGTTTTTTGTTGTCGTTTCTGGGTCTGTCGTCATCAGTTTATGTTGTCATCGCTTTAAATTCGCCAGTCGGCAAAAATACTCAAATACCCGATCTGCGATATAAAAGTACGCCCATATGTACATACAATTTATATATAAATCATATATATTTGTATTTAAATATTCACAAGGTGTGCACTTTGGTTTTGTCGCTATTTATTTATGTTTGAAGTGATTTTTTGCGCTTGAATTTATATCTTATTTGTATTTTATTGGGTGAGGCTCAGAGCACATTGACAACTATTTAACACGTGTCCGGCAAGTTCTTTGGTTACAAATCACTTGTGACAAGTTATGGCATGGCATAAAAAAAATATTATATCAGTCGTCGTGGATAGGAATCTTGGGGATTGGCCAGTTATTCGGGAATAGATCAAATCCCTTTTGTGTGCCGTTCATAAATCATTTGTTGAGGAAGGGTTTGACATCCCAGTTATTGGTTGTTTATGGGTTCGAAACGAGACTTTTGAAAAATGAAGGCATTACCAATCTCAGAGTGCTGAAAGGATTAACGCGGACAATCTGTCATATTTCTGCGGATATTTCTATAGAACTCCCATTCTGCCATGACATATGCTAACAAGACAAGTCAAAGGAGATATATCTATGTTTGGGATTATATATTTTTTCTGCTTTACGTTATTCCATCTACAGATTCTTTTATATTGAGTTTGTAATGTGTTAAAAATTATAATTAAAATAAAATAGAAACACAAGTTTATTCCACAATCCAACAATGAAGTTGTTTCTCTTGGAAAATCAACTGCAAGTGGTTTAGTTATTACTTTATTTATTATTTATTTATTAATTATTTAAGGGTTCTCTTTCCTCTTATCAAAGGTTCTTTTATACCACTTTATCAATGCACTTTCCATGAGTAATAGTTTTTCCAGGTATTAAACCATTATTAAAGCAACAACTACTTTAAAGATAAGATAAAAATCAAATGCACTAATTGATATAGCATTTTCTATCAAGAATTAAATCATCTTTAACTTAAGGAAAGTTTTCCCAGTGGAAAAAGATTCAATGAGACATGTTCTTTGGGAATTAATTGGTTAAGCCACATCAATGTCGTGGCCCAAAACAAAACCTGATTGATGCCCATCTTTTAGTGGGCCAATTAAACAAATCGTATGTCAAAGAAGTATCAATGAAAGTGTCTGGAAAGCGAAAAGGAAAAGCAAACAAAGGAGCCAGAAAAATGGACAAGGACATGGAATCGTGTCAACAACATGTTTAAACACGAATTAGGCAACATAAAAAAGGATTTACGAATGTTATGTTCGATACGAAGGCAAACACAGGACCTTCGAAGACTAAAGACGGAGTAAAAGCTTCAAGGACCTCAAAAAAAATAAGGCATTGGTGGTGGAAGGGGGACACAAACAGGATTACCCAAAAAAGATTGATAGATCCCACTCGACAGTGGGACTCATGTGGTTGTGTTTGTTCATTTCGGGTTCGAAATTGAGTTATTGGCCGGGGTATTTGCTGACCATTTTGATTGATAAGCCAAGAACGGAATTAAATAAAATAGCATGAAAATTTATATTTTTACATTTTATATATTCTTTATTTGCAGGCTCTGTGCGGCGTTGTCTTCCAAGTTCCTACCATGTCCGGCGACAAGTTGCGCATCAGCACCATGCAGGAGATCATCAAGCCCAACACGGTGAAACGGATTCAAGGATACGGCCTGCCCTTCCCCAAGGACACCACCCGCAAGGGCGATCTCCTGGTGGCCTTCGACATCCAGTTCCCGGAGAAGCTGACCGCTGCCCAGAAGGAGGTGCTCAGGGACATGTTATGAGCGACTTGGACGACTCAAACTCTCCCATAAGTCCGATGGAATCGGACTTAGTCATCCCACAACACACACACACACACAGCACTAAAAATCAAACCGAATTCATATATTTCTCTACGTTCTATTCATTGTTTAACATCGCATCGACGAGGTCTTTCCCCATTTTGCTTGTTTTTTGTGTTCAGATCTGCGCATTTTTTACAGGAACTCTATATTAACAATCGGTTTTGCTCATTGACGTCGCGAACATGTTTGCATAATATGTATGTATGTTGACCATAGTTATTATATCATTAATTCTTAATTTATTTGTCTAAATTAAAGCTACATTTAATAAAAATTACACACACATTGAAACATGTGGAAGAAAAAACAAGCGAATATGAAAGAGTTTTACTATCAATTTACATTTATAATGAATGGGTTCTGTGGAAATTGATTTTTAATATGGCTTTAAGCTAAGAATTAAATAACTAAAAAATGTTTATACATATCCGAATATTTGATTTTATAAAACAAAACTAGAAAGTCTTAAATCCACTAAGATTGAGTATCTTATTTAAGGTCAGTTATTGTCTTATGCTAGTTTTAACATTAACAGTTTTAACACAGAATTTAATTTATTCATCAACTTAAAACATTACTTTTAAAGAAAGTATGTTTCAAACTCTTCATGAAATTTACAAACATTTAAATATAAAATAACTTGCAAACATTAGTAACAATAAACATCGAGTGTGTTTCTATTAAGGTTATAACACAATATTGTTGTTTTCAAACTATAAAAGACACAGAACAACATACTAAGAATTTCAAATAATTCAAGTTTATCTAATAAATGATTTTATTTAATTAAACAAGTATGTAAGCTGCAATCTATTGAAACCGACTGAACTGGCATTAAATGGAACATGAAAATTGCAAGTTCAGTTTGTCTAATTAAGTTAAATTTACGAAAAACTGAAATTAAACAGGGCAAAAAGCAGAATATAATGTTGAAAAATAAATGTTGCTAGGAACATGTTGAGCAACATCCATTGTGTTGCAAATGTTGATAATGCAGACGTTCAACATTCACAACAATTTGATTGTCTAAAAGCTTCATAGTTTTATATTGTACTAAAATTTTCAGGGCTCTCATTCAAGGTCAATATCTTGAATTTATTTAAAAAATTCATTAATTCGGGACTAAGCTATCCGTATCCTATTTGTATTGCATTTATAAATTAACAATATTTAAAACAGAACATGCATTATGTCTGTCAAGTCATGCTCCTGTAATTGTAAAGTTACAAAAAAGAAAACAAGTAAAAGTGGAAAAGTGAAAATTCCAGTTGGTAATCGCAAAGCGTTTGCCTAATTAGCTGCCAGTCGCCACCCCCAAGTACCAAAAACACTCCCATGTCAAACGGAATGCTGCTCGTTAAGTCATTAAAATTGCATGAAGTCAAAACTTTATGGTCTGCAAAGTTTGCGTCAAAGCAGAACTAACCCAAAAAAGGAACCGGGAAAGAAAGAGGAAAAGCTGGAGAAAGCCGAAAAAAATTAAAATCTGCTAAAAGACTGGGAAGAAAGTCCGTTGAAGATGCGAGGAACCAGACCAACATCAAAGCTGGCAAATGGTAATTCGTTTAAAAAGAAAGCCAGCGACAGACGGGACATAGACATAGACGCATTTCATTTGCAGACAATAAACAGGCAGTTGCTCCAAAACCAAAACCAGGACTAGGACTAGGAGCAGGAGCAGGAGCAGGAGCAGGAGCAGGACCACCAGCGACAACAACAACAACAGCATCTGGAGGGCAAAGTAAATAAATTAAATTTTGAACAACTCTTTGCATACAAAATAGCGGGCAGGAATGCTTGGCCGAAAAAGAAGCTCAGAAGCTTGCTCAGATTTCAAACACATGTAAGGAGACGAGCAGGAGTAGGAACAGGAACAGGAGCAGGAGCAGGAGCAGGAGCAGGAGCAGGAGCAGTGGCTGTGACCAAGATGAGCTCTGTGCCATGGATATGAACGTAGTCGAGTCGAGTGTTCGATCTGCACGTGCCGGGAACACTCCACAGACCTCTGGCTCTGACTCAGTAACAATTCGTTGCGATTTTCCACTTATTTGCAGGAAAACCAAGGATAAAAAAATGGGTACACTTGGAAAAATACCCTAAGCTGGGGGTTCACATAATTGTTGAAAAATGGTATATGTAAAATATATATGTTAATCTTTAACAAGTGAACAAGATTATATCAAATAACATTGCTATATAATAATTTATAAAACCTTACAATATATTAATTTTAAAACTAAAGAAAGACAAAAGGCTGAGGTCATAGAAATTTCTATTAATTTTTATCATAATACATTTTACAGGATTGATAAATCACCACAATTATCCAAGTTAGGTAAATTTTTAATACCTTTACTTAAAGAAGGAAAGAACTCCTTTTATCATATCTTTAAGATATGACTTCGACTAAGTTAAATCGTATTGAGAAATTTGCCTTAGAGTCTTGAAATATCTTTAGGATCTTTCGGGTCTTTTATACCAACAAATTTTTCCTCTGTGTAAACTCCAAAGGAAACCTCAAAATTTGAGGCCGAAGCCAAAGCAACCGGATGAGCAAGCAAGAAGCTTCCAGCGCCATTACCATTGCGGCCTGTTTTGGGGCAAAGTCGAAATCACAGAGAATCATCGACAACTGGCAAATGTGTGAATTGAATTTTCAAACAATTTTCCCCGTGCAGAGTGCAGTAGTCCTCGTCATCGGAATCAGGTTTGCTGCTTCCCGGTTTCAGTTTCTGGTCCTGTCGCTTTTCAATTCCCTCCTGCCACTCCTTGTCCGAGGGAACAGCGTGCATGATTTGAGATTAGATTTGGACGGCGGCGGCTACACATTACAGTCGCCATATAGCCTGAGCTCTCTCCCATTGGGTCCTGTCGTCCTGTTCTCCGTTTGAAGCGGCTTTTTAAACATTTCGCTCACGTCTCGGATGTTTATGCCATTAGCGTTTAAGTTGCCCATACAAAATGCGACTCGTAAATAAGCAAACGTTTCTTTGTTTTGGTTTCCTCATCCCTTCAGATTTTTTTTTCAACTCAGACTCTTCGATTGTTGCGGCAATTGCCATTGGTAATCGATGCTGCGGCTGGTTATTGAAAATTATAGAGGGGATACGATAAAATTCGATAAAATTAAAGAAATTGCGGCGTGAAATGAGGCATTTTAGTTAAATAATTGAACAACATTATTGGTTACATCCATTTGAAGACGGAAAATGATTGGTTTTTGATCAAAACATAAAGTATTTCAAAACATTTTTTTTTTTTTTTTTTTATTTCAAAACATTAAGTATTAAAATGAGCTCTTGCTTTTATAGTTTGCATAGTTTAAAAACAAAGTGGTGTTTCTTAAATCAATTTAATTTAGTGTGTTAGTTAGAGACCAAAAAGATCATCATTATTTATTATTTGAAACACTTCTTTAATCATATCTAAATTTACAATTTCTATACACTTGCACAAAATTTGGTTGTAAACCTTAAAAGCTTAAAAAAGCCTAGAAATATGCAACACACATGGAATAATTTATGTTCTGTAGACCAGTCAGCAAGAGGAGCAGGAGCAGCTGCAGGTGAAACAGTCCGGAGATTGCTCGAGATCCTGCTGATCCATGGCCTCCTGCTGAGCCTTCCACCGCGCTGCCCGATAGAGTCTGCGGATGAGATCGCTAAATGGTTTTCGATGTACGATTGGAGTTGCAGTACTGTGAAACTCGTAAAACGTATTTTCCTCATAAGGAATGGGCAGAAGTTCGGGCAAAGGACTCTCCTTGGCAAGCTTAGTCCTTTTTGCCTGCTTAACTTTTTTCATACGCGGCAAAATCTTTTTCTTCAAGCTCTTTCTGGGCTGTTTTTCCAATTCGATCAAGGAGGGCTCCACGACGGGCGCCTTAGAATCCTTTTTGATTGTATCTTTCGGGGTTAATTTTTCCTTCTTTCCTCTCTTGGCCTTCTTTTTGCCCACCAGCGGTAACATCTTCTTTTTCTTTAGGACCTTCCTCGACGGATTGGCCTCCTTGTTTGGTGTCGGCTCTGTGATAGCTGCCTGGATCTCCGCCTCAAAGGATTCTTTTGCCTTGGCCGCTTTCCTTTTTAGCGACGAAACCATATTGTAGCGATGTTGTATATTGTTAATGTTCCGCAAGGTTCTTTCGAAAGAAAGTTCTACTTCTTTCACGGCCAGCAGCGTCTCGCAAATATCGTTATTTATCATTTTTTCACGAGGAAATTTTATACAAAACAAATATTGGAAAATTCAAATACTACAGGACAGATGGGTTGGATAAGTGGAAATGAATGGAAACTATGGAGATTTTGTCACCGAAGGAATATCCCAGGCATTCTAGATTTATACGACAATTTGTCATTTGGGAAATTCCGATATAAACTGACACGTACTTAACACACCTTATCACGCCGTCAACCGATAAAGTACCTTTGTGGAAAACCCAACAATTCCTCCCGATTACTACTATAAATAGGGTGGAAAGCAATGCCAAAATCCAGTTTGTAGTTGAACTTGCTATTGGAAAAATGCCTCCACCGCCGCACCATCCCCACAATCCGCCGAAAGGACCTGCACATCCTGGTGATCACCATCCGCATCCGGACCCGCATCACCCACACGGACCACCGAAACCCCACCATGGACCTCACTAAACCCACCTTCAGTTGGATAAAATTAAGTTCACATATGTCACTAATATATTCTCCTTAAACAAAAGGTTAAAATCTTGTAAAAAACGCTGTATTATAATATACGGGTTGCAAAATTAATAAAATGTGTTGGACTATACCTATGTTTTTGTTAAATTAATCATTAATTTAATTAATCAATATATATTCGTAGAATGAAATTTGCTAAACTTTATTTATCATCGTCGATCCATCAATCTTAAGCCTACTTCCGGTTTTTGGTGCTTCGTAAACAATGTTTTTTTTTTTTTTTTTATAAAGGAACCCTGTTATTGACTATTGTTTCTTATCTTCGTAGCGGTTCTTTTGGAAAGTCAGAAATATTAAAAGTTTATACATACCTATGTAGGGGTCTCCCACCTTATCTAAAATACTGATAGGGTTTTGCCGTGTTCAATATATTTATTTATTTTTCATATAAACGCTTTGGAAAGACTGGGAAAGTTTAGTACACATCGGAAGCTAAACAAATAAAGATGTCTCCGCCGCCGCCTCGTCACCACCAACACAATCCACCACCGGGTCATCCGCAGTATCAGACACCGGTGCATCCAATTTGGTACGAGCCACACGGACCAGGAGAAACTCCGGGCTATAATCCCCCGCCACATCATGATCCTGGTTATAACCCACCTCCTCATCATGGACCAGGATATAACCCACCGCCGTCTCATGGTCCAGGCTACAATCCTCCCCCGCCCCATGGTCCATATCCGTATCCCCCAGGACCTGGTTATGTGGCACCAGGACCCCCCATGCAACCCCGCTAAATACCAAACCTAAAACGACAATTTAAATTATAAAACTGTATAAATTATTTTTATACAAAATAACTTATTAGAAAACGCAAAAAACTTTTTATTTTTATTGAGATTACAACAAGAAATACATTACTAGAAATGAAACAAAATAAATATAAAAAAAATAAATGGGAAAAATGAGATGTTCAAAATAATAAAAATGGCTAAAAACCATTAATGTTTTACATAAATGGACAAACGAATATTTAACTGGAAAAAACTAAATCTCTTAAATATTTGTCGAGCTTTATGAATATTTAAATTTAGTAAACATGAATCAAATATTGACTCATACTCATCTTTATAGATCAGATTAAATAGCCATCACAATCATATTCTGAGAAATTTTATGGGAATTCTATGAACAACTGCGTGTTAGTAGATATCGATAAGATAAGTTTATCAGATTGCAGACCCTTCGAATAAACCAAAGATAGTGCTTACATCATTTTGTAGTTAAAATTTAATAAAACAATCAATCAAATGATGAATTAATATCATACAAAATTATTAATATAATGCCAAATTTGGTCTGTACAATAGTGTTGACTGATATATTTATATATTACGTTCTGATTCATAAACCTTTGAACATTTACGTCATAAACTAAAATATTTTTAGCATACGTGTATAATGAATTTATTGTTGTTTCCTTTTTCTCTACAAAGCATGTTATTGACCATTATTGAAAGGCTTGTAATCTTTATAGCGGTTTTTTCGCAACCCCAGAAACTCTTATCTAGAAAGCTGATTAGGTTTCAAAGTACTTGAATTATTTTTGTTCAAATAAATGCTCTGTTTAAAAAATTAGAGTTTAGTACACAACGGTAGCTAATCCAACTAAGATGTCTCCGCCACCACACCACCACCACAACCCACCGGGTCATCCGCCACATCAGCAGCCGGTGCCTGCCATTTATTACGAGCCAGGCTTTAATCCTCCGCCGCCACATGGTCCAGGCTTTAATCCCCCGCCACCACATGGTCCTGGCTTTAATCCACCGCCAGCCCATGGTCCATACCCATCAGACCCTGGTTATGTGGCGCCAGGACCTCCGATGCAGCCTCGCTAAGAACTCAATAATTATCTGAAAAAGAAGTGTAAACAAATTTAGTCACAAATATCTGTTCAAATTATTTGTATTTGAACAACTGATTGGTAAAATAAAACCAAAAATGATTCCATTTAAAACAATGATTTTATTTGGGATTTGTTGCCTTTCTGTGTGGCAAATATTCACCAACAATACTTAATAGGATCGATAGCAAAATAAATAAATTTATGTAACTAAACACAGATATTTAATGAACGAAAGATCAGCAGGATTGTAGTTATTATTTAATTGACTTTTAAACTTCAATTTAAAAACCACTCTTTAAGTAGATGAGTATAGAAATAACATATTTTATTATTTATGAATTTAAATAAACAAATACACAACTTTAATTCGACAATGTTGCTCATCGAGTGTATCATGAAATATTTATATCAATGACAAATTATTTTTTGTTTATTTTTTGTTTGAAAATAACTTATTGCGTATACTTGATTTTGGGTTAGAATCATAAACGTAATTATAGATAAATTAGCTACATATAAGTATATACATATAAAATTATATTTTTACTATTGCAGGGAATTATAATTTAAAGTTTATAACTCATTATGTATTTGTTACCCCAGAATAATGAAGACAGAAAAACTTTGCCAAGATCCTATGGCCAAACTCAAGGGTATACACACTTCCGCTTCCTGAATTTGGTTTCAATCTTTTTTTAAGATCCCTGCAAATTTTAAATCTTATAATTTTCCATATTTTGTGGATTGTTGCGATTTCGGAAAACCACTTTGCACTTTAAAGTTTTTCAACCGCGTTGCTTTCCTAATTATTACCACTCACCAACCAAATCGTTTCTATATAAATTAAATACGGAATAATGAAGAGACACTGCCCATCACAGAAATAAAAAATCACTTTTAAGAATTAAAGTTGTTTGTTTTGTAATTTCTAAACATCAAACTTAGGCATTTTGGCACTTTGTGTTTAATGCGTGACACTTTTTGTAGAACTATTTGAATTTAATAAATATAATTTCCGCAGTATGATAAATAACGAATTCTTGATTTGATCCAGATTTGTTCATTCCTTAGCGAGGATGCATTGGAGGTCCGGGCGGGTGGTGATGGTGGTCATGGTGATGCGGAGGACCATGATGCGGAGGACCATGGTGTGGAGGGCCGTGATGCGGAGGACCATGGTGCGGAGGACCGTGATGTGGTGGACCGTGGTGTGGTGGTCCATGGTGTGGTGGTCCGTGGTGGTGGTGGTGCGGAGGTGGTGGCGGCATCGTGGCTTGCTGAACTACGGTTGAGTACTGAATACTCCTCCGCTTTAGGCTTTCCATTTATATATATTCGTAATACTATTTGAAGTAGACATAACAAGATAACGTTGGCACTCATAACAAATTCGGAATTCCCACTATACCGCTATAAAGATAGCCGACCTACCTAGACTCGAAGGATTTGTCATACGTTGGGGGAATAACTCTCCCAATGATTGAGTTATGAGGACTATTTTCGGGTTTGTCTCTAAAAGAATGTTCCACCCAGTGTTTAAGAATAATAATTATTTGATTTGTTGCAGCAGAATATATGCTTTCTTGAATACCTTCAACAAATTTTGTGTTATCTATCAATCATTCGTATTGTGCTGATAAATAGCTTATCGTATTAGTAAAATGTCATGTATTCCTAACCAAAGACTTTTTGATTAATTGCTCGTATTTGTTTCGAAAAATGAATATAAACAAGGAATGTATTTTATAAAACTGTTTACGTATTAGTAACAATCCCCTTTAATATCTGCTGTAAACATTACATATAAATTGTTTTGCCCAAGTGCGATAAGGAATTGCAATCTGAAAGGCTTGTCTTATCAGCAACCAATACGCATTTGTTTATAAATGTTTCCAAACATTACTCATACTACGACTAATATAGTCGGAACAGGTACATAGGTTTTACCACTTTGACTTCAGGGGAATGTACAAGGCGGAAATATAGAAATATTTAGATTTATTTATAAAAATATTACAGGCGAAACTATTTCATCAACAGCTGTTTTGACATTTGAAAAAGAGATATAAATACATTTGCATGTAAAAGTCGATATTTTAAGTTTTCAATATATTTTCGATAAATCAATATTTTATTTTTTTATATGGAATCTTTAATCTTTAAATTATTAATGAAAAATATTTAGCCTAAATTTAAATAAAACTAAATTATAAATACAAAATTAAATAACATGTGCTGAAACCTAATCAGTAAGCAAAGACAAAAAAGTGAATAAAATATTACTGATATAGCAAAGATACCGATATTTTCCGATATTTACTATCTTAATCGATGTTTTCAAATTATGGCATTGTGAAATGTATTTTGTTTATATAAACTACCTTTCATAACGGTCTTTTCCTACTACATTCCTAAAAATAATCAATTCAAAAAAAATATATAAATTACTCATACGCAACGTTGGCTCGCATGTGAAAAGATATGCAGTGACCTTATGGCAGAAAATTATGTACATATAATATGAACTTTTCTCATGGACTTACTCCCATCCCCTTTTTGTGTCCGCAATCACTCAAGCGTTTAATAATTGACTGAATCTGTGGTTGAATCCCAATCGAACCGGGTTGGGTGATAAAACTAGAGTGGGAGGAAAAAATCAAGCAAACAGCAAATAAAATTTATAACAAATCTAACACACATACATCATTTTGATATGGCCACGGACACGTTCCGTCCGTATATTTGCTTAAGGATGGATGCCTCATCGCTCTGCATTGCCCTGGATATGGACAAGGTCCGGATCTGAAGCTGAAGCTGGAGCTGGAGCTGGAGGCAACTTCGACCGGGACAGACACATTAATTTTGCTGCTCGCTTCCCTAACCGCATGCAATTTTTCTTAGCTGGCTCGGCTCAACCCGGCTATCGCCTTTCAATGGCAGGAAGTGGACCTCGGGCGGAAAATGGGAGAACGGGTGCTCCACACATCCCTCAGTCAGTCAGTTAGTCAGTCAGCCAGATAAGTGCGGTTTATGTGCAGCACGTAGCCCAACTCAATACACTCGATAAATTGCGGCGGCGTTTGGCTGCTTAGAAACCGGGAACTTGACCACATTCAAGGGGGTAAAAAGAAAAGGGGAAATGCAGGGAAAAGAGTTTTACACAGGCCGCCAAAGTAATGCTAGCTTAAAAAATTTAAATTTAAATGTAATGTTTGAATAAATATATATGCACATGTTAATTGGATAAAAAGAAGAAACAGTTTATTAGAGCATATGTTTAAACTATAAAAAAGAAAAGGAAATTTTATTTATTTATTTTTAATGTTATCACATTTCTTTATCTATTTAATTAACATCATTTATATTAATAAACCTGCAATATATTAAAATAAAAGTGCCTGAATACTATTATTTCCACCCAATTGTACCTGTTCCAATGGAAGAGGAAAGAGATGGCTAACCTCAAGGACCAAATTGATGCAGTGCAGTTTTTCTGGCAGCCAAAACTGCAAGTGCACCTTAACCCTCGATGAGGTAACCTCCCGTTGACCTAATACCCCACACCAAGACCAGAGTTAACTTAATTTCCGTTCGTTGAGAAACACTTGATTAAATACTGTCCAAAGGCATTTGAGAGCAGAATTCCGATTGGAAATACCAGTGAGGAGCCTCTTCACAAACAAACAGAATTCCACTGCAAATTTACTCATATTAAAAGCTCATTAAAGATCAAATGCCTCGCCAAAAACCCTTGGCATATCCCCGCCCGCGGGCATTGGGGCAAAATCTCATCATGGCAACAGAATTCCGCATTACAGGGGGGCGCAAAAAAAAGGAAAGGAAAGGAAAGCCCGGAACGGAAAATATGTTATTAATTCAAATTAATATAATCCCATTTTTTCCGCTCTTCCCTCTGCAGTTTCCTCCTCCGGCTGCCTGGGCGGGAAATGGAAACTACTTTCTCAGCGTCGCGCATTACGGATGGATGTTTTCCCTTTCCGCTTTCCATCTTTTTCACTCAGGTTTTCTGGGTGGGATCCGTCTATGATGTATAGACATTGTCGTATCTGGGTTGGCATGAGAAATTGCCGGAGCTGGGGTTATATTTGCGTTGGTGGGGAAATAGACTTCACAGGGTGTGGTTTTTGCATTTGCCAGAGCTCCTCGTGTATGCAGGAATGTGGGTTAATAATGAGGCTATAGACAGCAGCAGACGGGTTTAAATTTGAAAGACATTTGTCTTTCGGCATTTTTGCATTAGCATATTCGAAGGAGGTTTTTATACATTTATCTTTGCGGATTATTCTATTAAAGGTTAATGTGAGCAAGGGTTAATGCCACAAAATATATAGATTTCCTTTTGAACTTAGGTGGAGAAATATTTAGATAATATTTGCTTGATTATGGAATCCTTACTTACGAAATAATTTTATTGATTGATTTCATTTGTTATCTAGATTATTTTATCCACAGAAATCATAAAGTGTATATGATTTATGTTCACTTTTCTGACTGATCTATAAATATTTATTGCACAGACCATAAGAATTGTGATATCAATTGAAAGCTAAACCCTCTTGCATCTCGTTTAATCAACTAAATGCACATCTTGCACTTTCGATTTGCAGCTGGAAAACTAGAACGGAAAATCAAACTCATCGAATGCGATTGCCTGGCAATCTATTCTCTTATTTAGCCCACATTCAAAGCTCATCCGCTGGCAAATCACAGACAGACGACTTCATTTCAAATGCTCGATGGGGGAGCAAAAAAAGAGAGTGAAATGGTCAATGCACTGAGAAAATAATAATACTCATTTTATAAACAATAAATATTTTAAAAACATTTTAAACGCATTTCAATGATGGTTCGTTTAGATATACATACTAGAGGTATATAGTAAGACTTGTTAACATTTAGAAATCTTTTAGACTCTTATATGAGTGTCAACATAAATATTTTAAAAGGGAATTTAAATTCTCGAAAATGATTACAATTGTGACATTATCTTTAAATATTATTTAATATCTACAGTTGTAGTTTTGGTTAAATAACACGTAGATTTTTGATTTCTAAAAGAAATACAAAATAATTGAGTATTTGATATTTTTACCTACTTTGTTGATATATATTAAATGAAAATACTATAAGAAGAATGTTAAGTTAGCTGCTTCTTTAAAGAAATTTAAAAACTTTCAAGCATTTTCACATATTTTCATTATTTTTAAAACGGAAAATGATGCATAAATTTCTTCCAGTGCTACGGAAACGACTCCCATATGCAACAGTTGCCGATGCGAGCGTCGCCTATCCTATCTCAACCCATCCCAGAAGCCATTGTTAGCTTGTTGGTTCGATAACTCCCTGCCAACAGGCAAACAAATCCCAATCCCAGCTGCATCTAGTCGTCGCCCCTTGAATCGAGTTTTAGTTCCATGGCGAATGCCCGGCGGTGAGCAAGGAGCAAGGAGCAAGGAGCTAGGAGCAGGGAATATCTGGCTGAGTGCTCGGCATAAAACGGAAAACTTGTTACGTGGCTGGCAATGGATGTACTGCGAGCCAACAATGCAGGCGGCGAGAATCCCTTCAAGCGGCCAATGAATGCCCTGCAGAAGCAGTGGTATCGCGTCCTTCTGGCCCGCCGAGTGGGATTCGGGCAACGCCCTCCTCCCGATGAAAGGGAGCTAACCTAGTAAGTCAGCCAAGTGAGCCATCCAGGCAGCCAGCCAGCCCTAGGTTCAAATCAAATTGTGTGAAAATTGCAATTTCCTGTTGATTTAATACATTTTACAATTTCCCCACTGCCGTGAAAAGCGCCGACATTTGTCGTAAGCGTTATACGGCCGCGTTCCGGCGATACAACGAACGTTTCCGCCGGGAAATGGCCAGTCACGAGGAGATGCAACGATGCGCCATCGATGCCATGAGGGTTCACAGGTGAGTTAGAGAGAAATTAAAGAATAAAAACGGAAGTTCTTAAAGTATTTGCAAGATTAATAAGTAATTATTATAAAAGTAATAGTAACTGATTTGCAGTGAAGCTATAGATCGTTATATAGTTTAGTATACTAAAATAGACAAGTTATAGTTTTGTATTTAAGTACTCTTAAACTATAATCATGGAGAATGTTGTATATTTAAACCATTAATATCTGCTTCCTTGATTTATTTATTCATCTTTCCCTAGAACCTTTGCCATAACAACTTTCTGGCTGCCATTGCATTCGAAGCGGGAAATCAACTCTACGCTGGAGACCCTCGAACAGGTGAGTGCAAACTGAATAAAATCTGAGGTGTAATTCCGGTAACTGGTATTTTTTTTGGGGGGTTCAGGTTCTCACCGCGAAGGAAAGACGACGCCTGCAGGAGATACTCAAACATCGCTGAAACAACAGCCACTGCTCGAAGGCCACTCCACCGAATGGGAATCATCCTCATCCCTGTCGACATCATCTGCCAGGGCTAAGTGAATTCCATTTAGCTTGGATTTCACTTTGCCTGGGAGCCTGATTTTTCCTCGCTCACTTCTTCATTTTTCACTTTTCCTACGTTTTGTTCTTGAATTTTCGCTGTCAGTGGCCGAAGCATTGTCGTAAATATTTAATATCAGTAAAAGTGCAAAGTTCACTTTGGCTAAAACCGAAACTGTGTTGGGACTAGATCAATTTTCTGGAAAGGGAAACTCGTTGGAATTTCAAGAGGTTATAGGGATTATCTTTCCCCAAACGATTATTATATTTTTGATGCAGTTTATGAAAAGGAGTAAGAATTATTATTATTAACAAAGAATTCTGGAATTTTTTGTCTTGAACTTACAACTTCTTCTTTGAATAGTTTAGTTTGTTTTAGAAAATTAGTCTTAATGGAAAGGAGACAAATATTTAACAAAAATTGCCTCTAAATAGAAATGTTTTTAATATATCAAGTGTTGTTTTCGTCAACACTCCTCGATCTATATTTTCCAAACATTCTCTATTCTGATTTATGATGTTTCTTTTGACTACCGATTTAGCCTATTAAAAACTGCTGCTTAGGGCAAAGTTTTTCAATGTAAATATGTCACATGCCAAAAAGGGTTTCTTCCATAAAACACACTTGTATCGGGTAAGAGAATATAGGACTAAAGAAGGGGATGAAACTTGGGAAAAATCCCTGAAAAAACTGAGAGACAAAAGCCAAAGTCAGCTTCAAGCTTAACCCACTCAAACGTTCGAATGACATTTGCTGCCAGGACTCAGCCTCGATAGTAGGCCAAACAGCAAAAAGGACTAGGGCCAATATCGTTGCCAACAGCAAACAACAAACAACGGAAACAGAAGCCTGGCGAACGGGAAAAAAACGGGAAAAAGCCTAAAAGAAGGCTCAACTCTTAGTAGGCCCAAGATGTCGCAGCTGTTCCCGCTTTGGCATATTGCCGACTTGACAACAAAAACAGCTAAAAAACGAGAACAAAACTATTGAACAAAGTGGCGCCTGTCGCACTTTATGACGAGCTTGGCACTGCCCTTTTTGTTTTCCCCCCATTTTACCCCCTTTCCCAACATAATAGCAATCACAGAAATGTGTTCTAATTTAAAGCCATATATAGAAAAGCAAGCAGAGAAGGAAAAACAACAGACAGAGGAGACAAAAGGGAACAGATGCCAAGAAAAAGGAAGAAAATCAAGGGAAAGGAAGGGAAAATGGCAAGCAACTTACACTGATAAATTTACAATGGCAAGTTTCAAATAAATTTATATTTTTAGCAAGTTATCATTTAGTGTCTCTTTTTGATTAAGAAAAATTAAAATCGATTCAACAAAAGAACATGTTCATTTTAAATACAAATATTTTATGTAAATATCGATTTATTAATCCTTATAAGTACCATATGTTTTCAGTAATATATGACATTATGTATATGTAAATTTAATGGGATTAATGAGAAAAGCTTAGATCAATAATATAAGAGATTAATACATTTTTTTCTTTTGAAATTGATAAGCTTTTGTTTCAAAAAATTCAAACAAATAACAAAACAAAAATATTTGTATTAAATTCCCCTATTTTATTTATCAAAACTTTAAAGTTTACACAACTTTCAGTGTACGATTTTGGAGCATTTTTCCCCGAATGCAGTTGGCCAAAATGATTTTTATATTTTATGTCTGTTTGAGTTGTTTGTGTCGTCGAAGCCTTGGAAGAGAGCTCGTTGGCGATATAGGGTCGTGCCCAGTATCAACATTAGTTCACGGTAATGTCGTGAACTTTTCCTGGCCTCAGCTGCTCGGCTGGCATTGGCTTTGTCAGCGTTTATTGATGGCATCAAAGTGTTTTTCAATTTATTTTATTTTCCTTCCGCAATTTATTGGCACGCTCTGCGTGGGGGTTCGCTTGTTGGTCGTTGGCTCTTGGCTGTAGGTTTTGGCCTTTATTTCAACCCTCTGTTTATCTTGGCCAGTGCCAGATGCGAACCGAGAGATATGATTGATGTTGCAACAATTTTGCAGCATAATTTTAGGCTAGCCAATACGTATTGCAAGTACAAGCTAGACACGTAGGAGCCGTTAAGTTTAAATGGCTAAAGAAAATGTTCCATTAAAGGAATTTAACAGAAAATGGGGGGAAGATGTTAAAGAGAACAATTCCAAGGATTTATTTACATTTTTTTATTGCTTTGAATTTTAATAATTAAAAAGAAATAGGTATCACAAATTTGAATCAATATAAATGTTTTTCAGTTGCATTTCGATGTTTGATAAGTTCAAGTTATCTATACCATTTATATTTTAATGATTGAAAAATAAATAAAAGTAAATATAAAAGCATGTACAAAATAGATCGATTTATTTTATAAAATTATTATTTTTATTTTATATAATTTAAATATTCTTTTCTTTCTTTATGGGTTTTGCAATACAACTTTGACTTTGAGTTCGAAAATATCTTTGTAGTTCTAAAACCAAATATACATTTTTATGGCAACATTCAATCTCAAACTCTTGCATTTAGTCTTCCCTAAAAACATTAATAATTAACCCAATTGCAGGGGAATTATAGCAGCAGCATCGTATCATTTTGATCTGTTTATACCAAACGCAGGGCCCAAAAACATTGACAAACAAAAATACTGCCAAATTGGAAAATGTCAGAAGCCAAATGCTGGCCAAGAGAATCGCAGGGGTCAAAGGGAAAGGCTCCATAAGTACACAATGAGTTGATAATCCCAAAAGGCAACTGGGGAGGGCGGGTGGAGTGATATGTCAGTGGCATACATATGCAAACATACACGCAGACATCACATCTATCTATGCAAAGCCATAAAGCAACAATAATAAACGCACATCATCATCATCAACGACGGCATCGGCAGCGGCAGTGGCAGTGGCAGCGGTTTCCCCCCCCGCTTTCCACTGCTGTCAGCAAAAAAGTATGAAATATCATCTAAAATAGGAAATGCGTAAATGCGAAATCCTACAGAACGGAAACTCAACTGAAAGCGATGCGCAAACGAACGTTGATGATTTCCCCATCCTCCCAGCTCTGGCCCAACCTCATTCTCTACGCTCTGTATGAAAGTCAATTTTTCATTTAGATAACTTTGACATACGCAAACGTCATGGAAAGGAAGAACCCCGCATACAGTGGTACCATATTATATGGGATATTTTCTTACCTAAAATGACAGATATTTTGGGGACATAAAAGTGAAGAGTAGGATGCATATATGGCGTATGACGTTACGTATCTTTATTTTTTCTTGGTTGACAGCTAAAAAACTAAAGTATTTTTGGAGAAACCATATTTTGCCTTTTGATTGCAGCTATAAACATTTAGAGTTTATAATAATAATTAATAGTTTAATAAAAATAACAATGATTTCTGGAACATTCTTAACATAATGTATGGTGTTACTCATCTAATCATCTCATTTTTCATTACTTCATTAACATATCTGATTCGGAGCTAAAATTATAAAAAATTAGGCTTCGTGTTATGGAAACTAGTATAAATAATAATAACACCATTTACAAATTCTAAAATCAGATATGCGAATACTCAAATTTCTTAATAAAATAAAACCAAATATTATTTAAATAAATAAAGAAGTAAAATGAGTAAAGCGGCTTAAAAAAATAGAGCTACTCATCTTATATATTTATCATATCTCTCATCTAACTTTATTAATGTTTTATAACACATATTTTGCGTTAAAATTTGGCCTATAACAAATTAGTATTGGGATTTTTAATATGACAAGTAATAAATAATTATATAAATAAATAATAATAAATTTATTTTTTTTCCTTGACCCTTTTCCGTAACGTATCACTTACATATTATTTTATATATATTTATATTTCAGTTTCCGAATTATTTTCATCCACTGTGCCTAAGGGGTGGGGGCGTGCCTTCGCGACTCCTCCACTTTGCATGTGTGCGTCTGTCTGCATAGAACGATTTAGATTTTGGGTTCAACCTCGGCTGCCGCCTCCGCTCGTTTCTGCTGGCGCCAGTCAGTTTATCCTGAGGGGTTTCATCGCGGAAATGCGGGCAGCGTTTTGATAAATGAATTTTGCCCCAGCTTTGCCATCATCCCAGCTCCTGAATATGAGTGTGTGTGAGTTGTTGGGCTACACCATGTGTGTGTGTTTTTTTTTTTTTTTATATTCGTATTTATTTATAAAAACAACACCTAGCGTAACATTAATACTTAGAGACTAGGAACGAGGCAAGGGCCCTTATTGTGCGGTACGGCCGCAAAGCAATGCTTCGCACAATAGTAGGCCTCTTAGCCCGTCCGCTCCCTTCTACTCCTCTCCAGCACTCTCAGAGCCTTGAGCACCTTGGCAGAGAATGCTGCTGTCGCTTCCCACAACCTGGGATTCTCCAACATCATCGGCACCAGCGTGTCCACCCTGATCTCCGCTCCTGCTACCTCCTCCAGGGCGGCCCTCTCCTCGTCGAATCTGCGGCATTCGAACACTACGTGGTAAACATCCTCCGCAACTCCAGAACCGCACTCCGGGCAACCATCCTCGTCGTCATGACCGAACCTCTTGAGGTAGCTACGGAAGCAACCATGCCCGCTCAAAACCTGGGTCAGGTAGAAATCCACCTGACCATGCTTCCGCTCCATCCATGCCACTAGGTTGGGGATCAGCCTGTGCGTCCAGCGCCCTTTGGACGAGGCGTCCCACTTCGCCTGCCAGCTCTCGTAGCTCCTTCCTCTAGCCGCGCTCTTCGCCTCGACCTTCACGCCGCCTCCTGGTCCTTCGTGACTTCTCAGCGCACACCGAACCTCCGCCTTCTCACGGACCAGCTCCCTCAGGGGGACCATGCCGGCAATCACCAGGACGGCGTCGTCCGAAACCGTCCTGAACGCGCTCGCCACCCTAATAGCGCAC